TACGTGCATAAACAGATCTCCGATATTCCCTTTCACTCATGAAATTCCTCGTATAGGCCACTACGAGCGCAAAATGAAACATCTGGAAAATCAAAAGGAAAGCAAGCGAAAGATGAAGCGCATTGGATCCGTTGACCTCCCCCAAGACGCTTTTTTCGATATATTGAGCACCAAGAGCAACTGAACGGCGAGTGGTATGCTCAAGTGGTCATGCAAATTGACTGTCTGTAGCGTGTTTGGTCTACATGACTCTGCTACAGTTCGTAATCCTCGTCGTCATATGCCTCCTTGATAAGGCGATAAACCGATGATGGAGGGTGATCTCCACTGTAGTGCGTTGAGGAGAGGAGAATAAACTCGAATATAATAATCACTCACTCGTTTGTAATGAATGCGTCAATCAACTCTGGTCGGACGTAATCATAAAAGGGGTTGACCACGTCAACCTTATCGACGAGGTTGCCTTCTTCAAACCCTAGCACACTACTTGGATCTGCGAAGTCGAGCGCGCCATATTCGTGATACAAATTCCATTGCGGGGTGAGTTTAAATTGTCCAGCACAAACGACAACCGGGGTGCTATGCGCTCTAGCTGCCGTGGCAACAAGTAGAGATCCTGTTATCGCAAACATGCCACCGTTGGCTAGTATTGCATGGGCGCCAATCATGACTTTGTTGATCCGAGACATGAGCGCATAGATGGATGAATCGGGAACAAGAACTGTTGAAATGCCAGCGGATGACAGAGATTGAGCCATATCATGTCCGCCATATCTGTTGTACGATGAGGGCCAGAGATCATAGCAAGAAATACCAGGTACGAACGATGGTGCAGTATCCGCAACGATAACAGTATATTTCCGATAGGGCGCTGCAGCTTTAAGGAATGCTTCAACAGTACTCGACTTTCCGATGGTCAGGATTATCTCGCTATCTGAACTCAGCAACAAATCAAACGGCCTTGAAACACAATAGACTCACTCGGAATGTATATGATCCTTTGCATTTTTTGAGATATTATCATGTACTGTTTCCAGCTCATCCAAGACGTCTTGGATGGCTTCCATAAGAACGGGTTTGAGCGTTCGAGCAAATGCATCAGGATCATCCGCATCGTTCTCCTTCAACATGTCGTGCGACTCGTTCAGAGTCGTCTTTTGTGGAACATTCTGTTTCCGGGGTTGTCCCTGCAACACGAACTTTGCGATCGACAAGGTATCCTTCGATGTCGAGACAACCGCAGTCCCTTTCGAAGCAGTGTGGTATTCCTCCCGGATATGATGTAGCACTTTCCGCACGGTGTTCCCGACCGTATGTTCTGACGACGATACAAAGTGATGAGATGCCAAACGGTGTGGAACATAAATGGAGGGGAACCTTTAGGTTGTGCTTCCACGAGCTTTCGTCCAACGGATCGGATGATTTCGACTAGTTGGTCAATATTAGAGAACCGTGCTTTTGAGATAACCTGTCTCAGGACAAGGACTGTCTCGAGAGCAGTTTCGCGGGAACCTACAACTTGCCTGTCATGATATATGATGTAGGGGTATGATCGGGGGTTTCAACTCACCGTCTCCGTAATCTAGCTGCAAGAGTGTCAACAACTCGCTGGTTTGCGACGCTCGATAAATCAGTAGCCATGGCTTCTAGTTCCGTTCTTTGTGGTCGAACGGTGCGGGTATTTGGGACTGGGATGCACTAGTAGAAAAGGCTTGAGCTTGCACAATGCACAATGCAGTCACACTGATATTGCAGAGTCGAGTCATACTTGCCGTAAGTAGCAATTCGTAAAGGCTGTTACTTACACGGAGTACCAATACTACATCGTTTGTACATCGTCTATAATTCTACCGCGACCTGGAAGAAGCCGCATAACCACCCCATTGTTCTTCATTTATATGGCTATCAACCACGCGCATTGTTAATCCTTTGTGAGAGCCTCAGCAAGCCCGATTTCTCAAATGTGCCAGTCAAGCTTCTCAGCCCATTTTCCAGGGAGCAATTCCGATATCTGTTCTACATCCTTGTCGCCTCTCCCCGAGAGACACTGTATAATACTCCATGAGCGTCGCATAAACGGAGAATATTTTCGATACGTACAATGACGAGGTCGGTATCTTTTGACAGTGTTTTGGCAAGACGGACACCTTCCCAAATAGCATGCGATGACTCAAGAGCGGGAATGATCCCCTCTAACTGGGTGCAAAGTCGGAATCCTCTGAGGGCCTGCTCGTCTGTCGCAACAGCATACTCCGCTCTGCCAGAGTCCTTGAGCCAGGAATGCTCTGGGCCAACACCAGGGTAATCAAGACCCGCGCTGACCGAGTGTGTCTCGATAATCTGGCCAGCCTTTGACTGCAGGATGTATGTTCTCACACCATGCAATACACCGGGCTTGCCTTTCGTCAGGGTTGCACTGTGCCGATCGCCATCCAAGCCTTCACCACCAGCTTCCACACCCACCAGCCTCACGTTCTTGTCGGGAATAAAGTCATAAAACGTTCCAATGGCATTGCTCCCACCACCGACGCATGCAACGATAACGTCTGGGAGTTTCCCCTTGGCCTCTTTCAGCTGTGCTTTGATCTCTTGCCCAATCACCTTTTGGAAGTCGCGCACGATCGTTGGGAATGGGTGTGGACCGATGCAGGAGCCGACAAGATAGTGTGTTGTGGAAAGGTTTGTCACCCAGTCGCGCATGGCTTCATTGACGGCATCCTTCAAAGTACGAGAACCCGACTCGACGGGTATAACCTAGATGGAGGTCAATATATGCAGGACAGCACAGGACAAAACAACAAACTTTGGCACCAAGCATGTTCATTCGGAAGACATTCAAGGCTTGGCGACGAACATCTTCTGCACCCATGTAGATGACACACTCCATGTTGAATCGTGCACACACGGTAGCAGTTGCGACACCATGTTGACCAGCACCGGTCTCGGCGATGATGCGCGTCTTGCCTATACGACGAGCAAGTAATATCTGACAAGATGTCACTACATAAGTAAGGTACGGATATGCAATCCTACCTGCCCAATGGCGTTGTTGATTTTGTGCGAACCCGTATGATTCCTACAGTCTGTTAGTACATCATAGATACTTTTCGGCAGGTGACTCACAGGTCCTCGCGCTTCAACCAAATCTGGGCACCGCCAGCATGCTTCGTCAGGCTTTCTGCAAAGTAAAACTTTGATGGGCGATTCATGTATCCATAATAGCTTTGAAACTCCTCCCAAAACTTAGGGTCATTCACAGCTGAGTTGTGAGCTTCCTCGAGTTCCACTAAGCAATCGAAGAGCGCCTCTGGGACGTACTGTCCACCGAACTGACCAAAACGCGCGGGAAGTAGGGCAACTGAGGGGGGCTCCAAAGCACCATTGGAAGGCGTCGAAGTCTTTGAAGTCGGCAGCGACCGCGTGCGAGTAGGTTTATCCTTCAGGCTAATCTCCAGGCAGTAGTTTTCAACGGTTTGAGGTATCGAGTCGAGAGGTGCCTCCTTGATGATGGTCACGAGACGGCTGCCAACAACAACACCATCCGCCCCAGCATCGGCGACAACGTCAAAATGAGCGCGCGTTGCAACACCGAAACCAACCGCTAGTGGGACAGCCGTATATTCTCGGATACGGGCGATAATGTCCGGAAGAGCGGCATTCATCTTGCCTAGAATAGAAGAGCCAGTTGTTCCCATCTTCATGATGGTCAGATACACACAAGTTATCATTAAACGGGTTTGCATACCTTTGACACTACATAGATGAAAGAGTCCGCAATGGACGAGAGAAATTGGATGCGATGCAAAGATGTGGATGGTGCGATGAGAGGAACATATGACAAGCTGAGAAATGAAACAGGTCAGTATAAGCTGATGCGATCTCGGTTAACTTACTCTGCTTTTGCGCACTTGTCACGGAAGTTGATGGCCTCTTCAGGTGGAAGATCGACCATGATAAATCCGTTTGCACCAGCTTCACGAGCGTCTTGGATTGCTTTGTCCTCCCCATATGCAAGCATTGGATTATAATACCCTGGTGGAGACGACAGTCGGTCAAAAAGGTATATATAGAGAGATTGATACAGCATACCCATAAGAAGGACCGGCGCCTTCAGTCCTTGGCTTCTCGCTTCTCGCAACATTCCAAGTACAGTGATATATTCGATATCATTTTTAAGCGCAACCTATCTCACGTCGGTATTTAAGGAATCACATTGAAAGCCAAACATACAGTATTGGTCTCTTGGATAGCTGGGCCATCTGCAATGGGGTCGGAGAAGGGCACACCAAGTTCGATTATGTCTGCACCTCCAGCTTGCATGGCCAGCAAGATAGGTACAGTATCTTGTGTTCTTGGGTATCCGGCAGTGACGAAGGTCACCAATGCTGGAATCCCCTACTCAAGTCTTGAATTGAAGCACAAATTTCAGAGAAAGTCAGCTCACCTCCGCTTTTTTAGCTTCGAATACGGCTTTGAGAGCGTCCATGATCTGTGGTGAAGGAAGCTGAAACGAGTCACTGCTACCCTTTTTATCATGATCTATGCCCGCCGTGATCGAGATCATAAAGTAACCGATCACGTGACTGGACAGATTTACTTGTGGCCACATCCCGATCACACCTGAGGTAATATGCGCCGTGGTCGTTGCACCGCTCTCTCCCCGAGTCCGTGCGTACATCGTAAAACTCTGTAACAAACGCGTTCCGCCTTACCCCCAAGTAGATATCTCAGCCCTATTGGCCGGGCAACACTATCTCTGGGCAATGTGGTCATCTTGTATGCAACGGCAGGCGAGTCACGGGGAGGCGGTCTCTTCTGGCTCTCGGGCAGTTTTAAGATCTCCGCTTTGATGAGTCGGCCTACTTGCGGTGTTAGGATGTTCATGAAACGCCAACAAACCTGAGTGTCCCGTACCGTACGCGTATTATACTGTGAATTCACCCGTGTCCCTCGCTACAAGTAAAATGTAACCCTAGATTAGGACATGAACTTTATTTCCTGACGTCAGACGGTCCACTCACCAACTCCCAGCCGCACCACGATGCACTTTGACCTTAATTTCCCGGTCACTGCATCTGGATCCACTTCTCAACCAAAGAAGAATAAAAACAAACAACCCCAGCAATCCTCACAGACAGCTTTCACTCCTGCTCAGATAAAGGGAATCGAAGCTCGTCTGGACCTTCTTGAACATTGTCTGTTTATTTCACCATATGTAAAGCGAAGACTAATCGCATTACAGTAGGATACACTGTGATTGCGTTTAATCAATCTGTGAACAAGAAAATAGACCCGAAAACTCATGTCAACATTCTGGATGGACTCCTTCAACAGCTGAGGGCAAGGCCAGGGACGGTATTCTTGAAGCGACTTACAATCGTTCTCGATAATGACAGTGAGAAAGGCTTTGGTCTGGTAAGTACCTACATCCTGTGGTCATGAGTAACGTAATCTTTTTGAATGCAAGACGAACGCAAACACCTCCCTTGTTGAGCCCTACGATGTAATTGCTCTCCTGCCAACGACCCCCGCGACATTTTCACTTGCTTGCCTCACACACAGTCTTCCTTCGCCACTCACTGCACACATCGTCGCTCTTCCTTTAACGCTCCCCCGACTGCCCTTTCAGTTGAAGCACACGTTGGTCAGAACGGCGATAAAGAACGGCGCGGTGTTCGAAATCAACTATGCAGGAGCCATCGGTGGTGAAAGTGACGCCAGTTTATCAACTTTTGGTGTAAGTGATACTGGTGCAAGTGGCAAACGGAATTGGTGGGCCGCTGCACGAGAAGTCGTACGGGTGACAAAGGGCAAAGGCATTATTGTGAGCGGTGGAGTTGCCTCTGAGGCAGACTACAGAGGACCCAAGGATATCGCAAATTTGTGAGTCTATCGATATCAGTTGTTAGTCTTCTTCATGTTTTGGTCCACCTCCCTTCTAGGCTCACGTTGCTGGACCTGGCACAAAATTTGGCTCACGATGCATCAGTTGCTGCGCCCAAATCGCTCATCTTGCGGGCACGTAAGCCATTCCGTTAAAAACATTCGTCAGCAGTCTGATCCCCCTCTTCCTCGTGGAAACCCGATAGAGGCACGCAAAACCTATCGAGCGGTCCTATCAGAACCCAGGTTGGTGATTCCAGAAACTACTCAGGTGGTGGCTCCCACCCAGCAGACCGGAGATAGCGAGAAGCGCAACAATGTAAATATCTCAGAAAAATCGAGTCGATCTTCTCCGAATCCTGCCCTAACGCTACCTCAACCAGCGGGAAGCAAGAAGCGGACTTGTGACGAAGTTAGTCTCGAATCTACGGTAAACGGACATGTGAACAAAAAAATCAGAGAAGCTGCTAATGCCGAGGGCGAGTCCCGAAGAAAAAAGAAGAAAGGGGGAAATAGAGAGAGAGCTGGTCCAGTCTAGCAGTTGCCACATGATTTGTATTATCCTACAGAACATGCCTTGACCCTTCATCATAGACATCTGAGTGGTCTTCAACCGCTCATTGGTTCTTTCTTTCCGCGGCAAATGAGATGGTTACGTGGATAGTTCAGGCTTCCTCCACACCATCATCGATCCCACGATCCAGAGGACAAGCCAATGAGGTAGCCACTGGAAGAATCCGAAAAGACGGGACTTACCCCCCAGTGTCATGTAACTCGGAGGGCTGGGACTCAGTGCTTTTGCAACTACACGGCGTGCAAATTCATCGGCATCCATGCTCCCCTTGGCTTGACTGCCATCCAGGCGTTCGTACACCCGATCGAAGTAAGGCTTGTATATGGATGTGGGGAATAATTCCAAGGTGGCTGCCTGGTTAGCAGTGATATTTGTCCTGACTTGACCTGGTGCTACCAACATGACTTTAACACCGAAGGGCTTGCATTCCATGGCCAAAACGTCACTGAGCGCGCGAACTGCCGCCTTGGATGCAGAGTATAATCCATTCCATGGGGTAGCGCTATTCAGAGTCAGACAAGGTCAGCTAAAAGATTGAACCATTGCACCGTGCTCACATATTTCCTGCAAGTGATCCAATGTTGACGATAAGCCCTTGCTTGCGTTCCACCATAGAAGGTACAACTGCCTGTGCAACCCGCAAGACCGAGTATGTATTGGTCTCAAAGGCTTTTCTAGCCTGATCCAAGGACACATCAAGCAACGGTCCTACGAGAAATTGAATATGACAATTGGTTCATGGCTCGAGTCAACTTGACAAACCGATTGAAATAGCACCGGCATTGTTCACGACGATATCGATCTTCCCCTGCTCTTCCAGAATAGATTGTACGACGAGTTTTACATCGTCATCGCTGGTTACATCCATGACGCGTTTCTCTACCGGATGCTTGAAGCCGTCCATCGTCTCCAGCGTGCGAGATGTGGCATACACGGTACATCCCTGTTCAGAAAAGCGCTCGCATCTGTTATTATGAGTTGGAGTGCCCGAACTCCTTGGAAACGAAGGACATACAGATAAAAGCCGATACCGCCTTTTGAACAGCCGGTTATTAGAACGACTTTTCCAGACATGATTCCCAGACGAGGTAGTCTCACTAGCCAGACCTAATTAAAAAAATGCAAGTCTATCTGATGGCTCCAGTCACCACCCGACCTGTATATATAATTCGATGAATCAGAACTCCGTGACCCGGACACAGACATCTGATACCGAGGGCAAGTCGAAAGGGGATACAACCAATGATCGCCACGTCAATGGTTCTCGGGTGTTATCTTACAGAATGTGCCCTCATAATCACGGTCTGACCCATCATGTCACCTTTCCATGGCAAACAAGATTGTTACGCGGTGGCTACACGGATAGCCCAGTCTTCTTCCACACCATCCACGATCCCAAAATCCAGGGGACAAGCTAACGAGGGAACCAGCAGAGGAATTCGAAAGGGCCTGACTTGACTCCAAGCCACATATAACTTGGAGGGTCTGGACTCAGTACTTCTGCAACCACGGCGTGCAAAATCGTCGCTAGCATGTTCCCTTTGGCTTGACTGCCACGTATGCGGTTATAAATCCCATAAAAGTGAGGCTTGTCGACGGACGTGGAGGATAATCCCAAGGTGGCTGCCTGGTGAGCAGTGATGTTTGACCGAACTTGACCTGATGCTACCAACATCAATTTGACGCTAAAGGGCTTGCATTCCATGGTCAGAACATCAGTGAAGGCATGAACTGCAGCCTTGGTTGCGTAGTATCATCCATTCCAAGATGTAAGGTATCCAAGATGTGGTTATAAATTAGTTCCGTCGCACCCCGTCAAATTCGACGATCTCATCCACGAAACGCTCCCAGCGTTCCTCCCATTTCAGTGTCGCACGCGCCTTTTCATCGGCAGTGAGCATCGAGTACTGCGCCCGAACACATTCAGTCTTTGCCTGAAGCGGAACAGAAATGGGGAGATGTGTACCTGGATACTGTCCCGTGCGATGTGCCCCAGCGTGAGCAGGCCAGTAACTTCGCTTGCTGCAAGTACCTGTAGTTGCGTATGTTTGAGTGACGATGAGAGGGGGGCGTGAGAATGGAGCAAACCTGGAAAAAGTCGAAGCTCAAACCCATATTCTGGAACAGCGATGGGTCATCTGAGCTTAGTGCCACTGGTACACCATGGTTGATCAAGATTGGGAGAGGATGCATCGGCATCGATGCCGTCAATCTCTACTCGTTTCTCACGTAATCAGTGCCTGGATAGGATGAGGTGAAGGGAGGGAGGCTAACGCACCAAGATCTCATTTGAAATTGGGCAGACCTCTAACGCTATACCGCGTTCCCTGCACATTGACATCAACCTTGGGTGTTTCACAAGCGAGAACCCGTGTCCGATCCGCTTCGTCCCTAACAACAGTGCGTCGTACAGATTGTCATCTGCTATGGACCCGTCACCAGTGGTTTCACCCGCATGCAATATGAACGGGATATGATGGTGTTCTGGGAGTCCTTGAGAGGTCTGCAGGGTACTGAAAGAGAGAAGCTGCGGGAGGTAGTCTTTGAGTGGGCGTAGAATATTTTCGTCCCCGACAAGGTCAAAACCTGGAGTGGTTCATTGTCGGTGGTGTTATGAAGCGAAAGAAATTTAAAAACATCTAAAACATACCGGCTATGATATCAGGGAAAAGCTTCTTCATCTCTATACAGTCGTGGAGATACCACTCCAATTCCTCAGGCTCGCAGTCCCGGATCACAGAATATATAATCTATTGTTTTATAGGCTTGAGACGCGAGTCGAAGGATAACAAATACCTTAGCACCGATAAATCCATCATCTCTTCCTTGTGCTCGTAGGCTCTCATTGAATTCAACCAAGACGTCCTGGAACATGCTCAGCCACTCTTTGTGTGGGACATTTTCCTCCCCGTCGGGACCAATCATGTACCTACCAGTATGCCAATCAAAAACGAAAAGCACAACAGAGCAAGCCTTACTTTGGGCTGAAGTTGATACGCGCCTCTACATAAGATACGCCATCTGCAATGGTTTCTTCGAGGAACTGCCGGATATATGCGCGCCAAATTGGGGCAAAATACACCAAGTTCTGTGCACCTCGATGAGTATGGTATCTACCAACACCTAGATATGGGTACTCACACTTGTGAGGATAGCAGCTGCGCGGAATCTGTCCCATATCTTTGCAAAGATTATGAATGCGTTCTTTTGCCCGGTAAGATACAAAGTGGCACACCCTAATGTTATTATTATGCGTCACATATGCATCACTTGGGTTGATTGTGAGGCAGCGTGCGACCCAGCTGTCAAAGCCTTGTACGCCACCCAAGGCAGCATCGAACTGCTCACGCGCACGGCGAAGGGGTACCCACTGTCCTGGTCTGTAGGTGGGTAGACACAGCGAGATGCACTGTGGAACGAAGCTGGGTGGGAGAGGACGAAATTCGATTTCGACCGATTTGATGGAGCCAGGTGTGACTCGTGCTGATGCGCGGATATGGATTGAGGTGTGCTGTAAGGCGAGCGCCAGCAAGGTATTGCCGTTGACGGTGAGATCAAGATGTACGTGCAACAGTGCGCCTTTTGGCATCTTTGTAATTTGACGTGTAAATCATGCAACTGGTTGTGACTGAGACTTCTAAATACTTAAAGATGGACAAACCTTGGTGATGATATTGAAGAGCTGGGTCTTGAGGATGATATCCTTTCCTACGTAATAAGATATCAACTAACACTCTATGCTTTGGGAGCTTGAATATACCCGTGAGGAACTCCATTCCGGGGAACGGATGAGGGACCTCCTCGTGTTCTATTGCCCAAATCGACTTTGCCTCCTCCTCGCGGATGCGGCGTAAGATCACGTCTGCTTGTCGCGATTTTTCAGAGAAACGATCTCCATTGACCACATCAATGCGAAGGGCTCGATCATTTGCAATAAGCTGGGTTCGTTTGTGGTAGTACTCGTCGAGGAGAGTCATCACAACCGATCGATCAACATGTACTGCGGTTGCAAAGCTAGCAGCATTTAAGTCATGTAAGCGATAATGGATCACGTGAGTGGACAATGCGAGACTTGCACAAAGTCATGCTGCAATCAAATCCTCGACGACGAGCGCTGTAGCCACTCAACCACATTCTATCTGCTCGCCATCATAATGTCTTCAGGCGATGAAATGGGTAAATTTGACCTTCGTATACTAGTTCAACCTAACTGATGAGCGCACGTGAACACAGACGCATGGAAGACTACGACGCGTCCAAAACCTCGTAAGAAGCAGCGCACCGTGTCCCCACAACCGTCAACATCTAAGCAATCAAGTAATCGCCAACTAATAGCAGAATCTTCCCATTCCCTCCCTTCCTCTTCAGACGATATCGAGCTCATCGATCCGCCACCTAATCCACTCGCGAGTACGGTCCGTCCACAGAAAAAGAAGGGGCTGGGCAAGGCATCCGAAAGTCGCCCTAATGGGAAGGCCCCAGATAGCCACTCAAAGTCTAAGCAAGAAAGTCAGGCAAAGGGGAAAGCACCAGAGAGTCAAGCAAAGTCAAAAGACACTCACGTCAAACCAAAACCCGTCAAGCCTGCGGCCAAGAAACTTCCCTTTCCAGCTCCCATCGCCGAAGACCTCTCAAATCATAGTGAACCAGAGCATGAGCCTGATAAACTACCCCTGAGCCCACGTATCCACAAGGAGCTTGAAAGGTGGAAGGCAAAGACAAAAGATGTATGTTTCATACCCTTCATCGTTTGGATGAGTGACGCTCATTGATACCACCAGTTGGAACATCAGCGTGACAAACTTTCGCAGCAACTCGAGGAACTTTTTCAGGTCCGAAAAACAGATGCTGAACAAGCTCTTGATGACCTTACGGCTCTATATGATAGTCGTTCAAAAAGTGAGCGCCACCAACTTGACGGCATTCTAGCTAAACTAAGTCCTGCGCCTCTCCCTGCACTATCATTATCTCTTCAGCACAACAATCCATCATATCAACCCTTCAAACACAACTTGCCTCCCAGTCGCCCTTCTTCCGGACATCCGAGTCTGAACCTGAGCCCAACCCTCCGTCCAGGTCGACACACCCACCCCTCAATTCGAGCACTTTAGCCATTCCTCACTTCCTCACTCGTGCTACAGCCGATGCTGAACAGCGCACGTTGCATGATAAGCTCGCACGCATGCAGGACGAACTCGCAGCTAAAGATGCAGTTATCGGGCAGCGCGAACGGCAAATTGCCGAGCTTGAGCAGAGTGGTACGTCTTTATTGATAGATCTGGTAGATACTTCCCGTAGTGATGCTGAATCGTTTGCCTATGTACAGTGAAAGATATCCGCATCGAACTTGATGCCGAGATTGCGCGCTCAAAGCAGCTTCTTGCGCGACAACCACACCCCCACACCAAGACCTCCTCCACTGATGCAGACCCAAAACACGCTGCAATCATCCAATTCTATCGGGATTTTTCAAACCTCTTGGTCTTGAACGTCAAATGGGAGCCGCGCAAGGGCGCGGAAGACGACATCGTGCACACGTGTGTGTATACGTATGTTGCGACAGTGAAGGATGAGACCGACGCATTGGAGAATGTGGCGAAGTGTAAGTTTGTTCCCCTTTTCTCCCTCCTGCCATGTGTGCCTACTTAATTGATCCCCGAAAATCAGCAATATCCTTCTCCCTTCGTGCCTACACCGAGGTGTCAGAATCTGAAGACCCGGAAATGGACCGGCGCGTCAAGTATACCCCTCTCGAGCTTGAAAAATTGAGCGATGATTTCAAGGAACGTCTTGGCTTCCTAGCGAGCGGGTTCACGTTCCCGCATAAACAGGCTGCTCTATTTTTGGGGAGTTTGACGCGCCAGATGGAGACTGCCTTTGAGAGTGAGAGGACGGAAAGTGCAGCTGACGAACATGAGGAGAGGAGAGAAGAAGTCGTCGATGTGGACGATCTTTAGTACTTGGGGGGTGAGCCACAAGCCTGGGTTCACAGCTGCGTCGATGTTTCCGAATCGTTTGGTTTATGTACACCCCACATTACCCCACGGTGATACCCGTTATATGTGTATACAGTACATATATGATACACCGGCGTTGTGCTGTCGTTACAATATTGATTTCTCTATCAGAACATTCCTGGTTATGACCACTGAGCTCAGTACTGAGGGTGCAAGTCATTTTACGCGTGTTGCCATAAGATCGTTCAGTGCACTCAATAGATATCTATCCCATTTCTAATGCAAGGCAGGGGAACGCAAAAAGCCAATCCTTCTTCCCAAAGTCACGCGCTAGTCTAGCGCTTCGGGATTTGCATTGTATACGACGTCTGTCACGGTTTATATTCCGCGTATATGATGATCTGTCCCTACACTAAGATTCTGGCCTGACTATTTTCTCGTTTCGGCAGTGATTGTTGCGCTACTTGATATCAACTATCCAGTAGAATCATTAGGAGTTCTTCCAGATGTAGACCCTATGCGATCTTGCTACTTACTAATACTACTGTGCATGTGATGCCATGGGACAGTTCAACTTGTCATTCATGTCAAAGTCACGGTATCCATGATGACTGAACGTGCGTAGTACCTTTTCGTGCGAGCTCGTGAGTGAATTCCAAACATTGCTTCTTCTCCAGACTTCAGGTTGATATTCCGGATCGTGCACTTGGAGAGGCGTAATGCCATGAAGGTGCGTCGTGTATCTACTAAGGACCAGTTATTGAACATCTTGCTTGTTGGCGGCAAAGTACTCTTTACCTGCTTCGCTTGCCAGTGAATGGTGCCACGGTCAAGCCGCAGTCCCGCAAGACTGTCCACAGTTTAGTTGTTTTTATGGAACGAATCTGGACCCTCCTACCACTGACCGTTGGCATTGTTCAGACCATCGTAACTAGTAATGTGACTGTGTACACATTGCACAATGTAATTTCATAACAAAATTTTGATATACACAAGTGCGCAGTATAGACGCGAGACCACCACCAAGATGTGAATTGATATCGCTCATGTGTCTATGGAAATGGAAATGAAATGGGTTAACACAGTGAAGTAGCATAAAATGCACTATACACGCACCTCCAAAGTCAACCTTGATCGCGCCCAATGGCATCTACCTCTGGTAAAATGTCGAAGCTCATTCCAATCACTACACTCCTGCGAGAGTTCAAAGGCCATAAAGAACGTGTAACGGCAGTCGCAGTTTTCCCTGATAGACTATGGATGGTTATGGACTCGAACGAAAAGACGCTTGGTCTCCCTTTTCGACCGAGAGGTTACGTTGAATGGCGCATATGCAATTTATTTTAAGATCCACTCGATGAGTAGCTATAGAGATTCCGGATGCAGTAAGCATTCCCCGACTCTACGAAGTACTTACGATGCTACATAGGTGAGAGTGAGCCATTGACGTCTTGACACCGCTGGAGCTGACATAATTAACACTGAGTAAGAGTGTGCGTCAGCGCTGCACAGCATGACAGGGTGGACACAACAGGGTGAGTTGCTCCTCTCTCCCATGCAACCTGTATAATGACCGTCTCATATCCGCTATGTGTCTTCCTTGAGAGTCGTGATCAAGGGAAATTACCTGCTGGTCACCCCTTCTGTCACCTTGTGAGGGAGACTGTTCACAATGCTACCCTTGACCTTTCTATCTTGCATCACATGGCGAGGAACACTCTTGAAAATCCCGACGAAGTTGCAGTGAAGCAAAGGGCTCAGGAGATCATCCATCATCTACAAAACACCCCTCCCACATTTTCTGGCAGCGACTCCCCTGCGATGCACTCAACATTCATTGATGTGCGTGCATACTCAGGCTGTCATGGCGGCAAAGGTCCAAAGGACACTAGAAAACATATTTATGTTCAGAAGCGCTTGGTCAACAATTGGATGAAAGAGTCTACTAAAAATATGTCATCATCTTATCTGTAAGTGTTTCCATCTCTAGCCTAATTCAAGTTGCTGTTTTTACCAACATCATGTCTACAGTCTCACTATCTTCATGCGGCTTTGCTTGATACGTGGACTCATCGCTGTGATCAAACTTGCATTCGCTTCAGATGAGATCAAGGTGAAGCCTGATGCTCGTGGTTCTCCATGTTCATTGGAAAATTTCCTTTCGCAATGGAATGGTTGGCTTGAGTTTGAGAGTGGTACCTTGGTTCGCCGCAAGACACTGCCATATCGCAAATTGTGCGCTATAGTATTTTCAGATAGAGCCACCACTTTTTCTTATGTCCGCATAGGGACCTATAGTAGGTATGCGGCCCATAGTAGGTATCCATATCCATTAAATTTCACTGAAAGCTAATAACCTATTCTTTCTGGATGTTTCAGCTGAAGATCTTGAACGATTGGCTTCTGGAGATTGGACAATATTGAATAAAACCCCGTCTAAAATCCCCTACAACGTGTTCCTGCCGCACTGCCTACGAATGTGGGATTCCGCAATAGATCCCAAACCTCAAAAGATGATAGAGTCGGAAATCAAATAAAGGCAGAATAATGTAGATGGCACATGCCACTGCAGGGCGAAACAAACAAGTGAAAGAGCAGCGTTTCGAGGCTCTCATTGTATGTCCTGTTGTATTCATATCTCCTCAGTGTATATTAAGTACGTGTTGTTTCATGAGCTCGTCACATGATTGTTTGGCATGCAAGTGGTTCACCAGCGGCTGCGCTTGACAGGCCTGTTGGTGAGAGATGGAAAGGCCAAAGGTTCCGAGTGATAGGTATCTATTGACAGTTTACCTCATTGACAGACTGGACCTGGTCAAGCGAGTGACGTGCTACACCAACTTTCACACCCTTTGCGTTCACTGAATGAACACTGTGGTCACTAACCAGCAGAACATGAGTACTGATTCCTTATCAAATGCCTTGTCAGTAGAGCACATTTCACCAGTCACCAGGATAACAGGCAGGGAATAGCGCGTTTCTCGAGAGGAACTCAACATCTTACGCATGGAGGCCAATACATGGGGTGGAAGCTACCCAGAGGGTAGAACACTAGAAGCTCAGACAGTAGTCGGAACGTGGATGAGAGTTAGATTCGACAGTGACGGTAGGTGATAAGGTAAGTACAACTGCGATAGTCGAATATATATGAATCAGGACAAATAGCGTCACAACAGTCCGGCGTGTCCAATCAACGAGCAGCAAGGAATCACATGGTAAGCTCTGCTTACACCCTCCCCGACTATCCTTGAGGTCTTTCGCTCTCCCAGACATCTAGCGCCTCGCAATCCTCCAAGTCACGTCGCGGAAGCCACTCATCGTCCTCCGGGCCATACCCAACCCAACAAACCAAGTACCTCTTTCCTCGACCCACCCGCTTCTCATCTAAGATTCGCTCAATGAAGTTCTCGGCTTGTCCATCCTCCGTCACCACAGGTCCGGGTCTAGGCAATTCCCGCGTCGGGAACAGTGTTGCGTCGTTAGGAATGAAGGGGCGCAGTTGTGAGATGTGGAAGGTGGGACAAATGTTGGGTGAGTTGGGAAGGTTGAGTGTGTAAGTGGAAGTTGCAGGGTTAGCGTCCACGATCTTGTATGGTCCATCATATCGAGGCATAAATTTGGCGACACGTCCGTCTCCTTTCTGCATGTAATCCCTCCGACGGTTCTTCGTGGCTAGGAGCACAAGGTCGTTCACTGCGAAGATCTTCTCGTGCGTGCGATGTTTGTTGGCTGATGAGGCTTGAGAGGCCTTGGCTGCGAGCAGATTGTCTTGTGCTTCCCAGACATCGCTTTCTAACCGGGAGAGGATGGTGCGTGCGCGTTCTTCGTCAGTACCAGCCAGTGTTGCGTCCATGGTCACAAGCGGTGGCACGACACGTGGTGAACGTCCCGTCCGCAACTGAAATGGTGTATACCCAGTGCTAGTGTTCAGCGCATTCATGATGTGAAAACGCACCCGGGGCAGTGCCTTCACCCATCCCTTCTGGTTGCGATCAACGTGGTAGCGTAAGCACTGATTGACGGTCTTATTGCTGCGTTCGCTTGCACCATCAGTTTCGGGATGATATGCTGAGGACATCTTGAGTTTAACCCCCGTCAGTTTATTAAGCGCTTTCCAGAACTTGGATAGGAAAAGCTTATCGCGGTCTGAGACGATCTCTAAGGGTAAACCGTTTTCACAATACCAGTTGTCGAAGAAGACATTCGCGAACTGTTCGGCTGAAATGTTGTCGCGACAGGGTACCAACCGAATGTCTGAATTGAGACGGTCAGTCATGGTAACAAGCATGTTGTGCCCGTGATCCTCCGGTAGTGGTCCAATGAAATCAATAGCAACAGAGTCACCTCGTCCATCGGGCACTGGTAGAGGATGCAGGGGTCCGGGAACTGCTGTCGTTCGTGACTTGTTGCGCATACATTCGGTGCACGACGGAATATACGACTCTGTGAGGTCGCGTCTCATGTTTGGCCAATAGTAAGCTGATCGGAGGGCGCTATAAGTCTTGTCAGCTCCGAAGTGACCAGCTGCGTCATGTGCGAGGTGGAACAATTCCTCTCTCAGATTATCGATGCGAGGCACCACCAGACGACCTGCTGTAAAGAAAAGACCATCCCTTTCTGTCAAGCCTGGTAGTGACCCCAACAGGCTAGGCAAGCGTTGACACCAGGGATCTGAAGCATACCCGTCCCTAATACGATGCTCAATCAATTTATCTGCGGAGATAGACAAAACCGCTGCAAACACACGATCATCTTCAGTATCTGGGCCCACGGTCGCTAGACCCGTTGCGATATTATGTAATGAAGAACACTCAGCGTCCGTTCGTCGTGACAGGGCGTCCGCAACAGTGTTATCTTCTCCCTTCACGTAGGTGATAGACAGGTCGTATTGCGACATATACTCAGCCCATCTTGCTTGACGTCGTGACAGATCCCGTTGAGTCGCAAAATTCTGTAGCGTCCAATGATCTGTGAAGACATTCACATGGGCACCCAGCAGTTCGACCCGCCACTTCTTGAGAGCCCGGATGATAGCCAACAATTCCTTTTCATGAACAGGGTAGTTCAGTTCCGCGTCGCGTAGCTGTGTCGAGTCATATGCCACTGGACGAGCTGATTGCCACGTCTTCCCCCATGATAGCACCACGCCTGTTGCGTAGTCTGACGCATCACAGGTCACAAAGATGTGATTCTCCCCAGGGTTGTCATGGTCTATGGTTGTTAAACATTGAGGACTCACGACTAACTCCTTGATGGCTTGGAACACCGTGTCATGCTTGGAAGTCCATGCAGGGAAGTGCAATTCGGCCGCTTTCGTGGTCAAAGGTGTCAGTACATGGGTGTGCTTCGCGAGAGCAGGCAAATGATCTGAGAGGTAGCGTACTATGCCCAGGAACGCCCGAACTTCCGTCGTCTTTGTGGGCCTAGGCCAGTCCAAGATCCGCACTACCTTTGCTTTATCAACCTCAATACCGCATGCAGAAATGTGATGACCTAGAAAGTCCATTTCAGTAGCAAACAATAGTGTCTTCTTTAGTGAACAGTACAAGTGTGCGTCATGCAAGGCAGATAGAACACGGCGAACATTACGTTCGTGCTCCTCAAGAGTCTGTGACCAAATGATAATATCATCAAGATAAACATGGCAGATGTCGCCAATGAGGTGTCGCAAGGCCATCATCATACGTCGTTGGTGAACCGCAGGCACATTCCGTACTCCCATGGGCATCATGGTCCATTCGAATTTACCGAAAGGGGAGTGTACCGCAAGATACTTCATGTCATCAGGATGAACACATGTCTGAAAGAAGGCATTTGTCATGTCCAGTTTACCAAAGAACTTCCCTTTTGCACAATCCCGCAAGATCTCATCGATCCGGGGTAAGGGATGATTGTCCGGCACAGTGTTCAGATTGAGTTCTCGGAAATCATTGACCCAGCGCGGAAGCGCAGTCGGGTCGGCCTTTGGTATAATAAACGCAGGAGATGAGTATTCGCTCTCTGAGTGGCGAAGTCGTCCACTTTCAAGATGCGAATCTAGTAAGGTCTTCCATGCAGCCTTATATTTCTTCAGACAGTCGTAAGAGCACTTCTGAATTACCTTATTCACGTCCTTCAACCTCACACGAAAAAGGATGTCGGTCGGCAGCGTATCATTGTGAGGAATATCTGCAGGAAAACGATCAATGAATTCTTCTTTCAGAGCTACGTCTCGTGCCGTCAGTTGGTCTTGAAAACTCAACCGGTCGATATGTTCTTGTACCGCTGCAACAATGTTCACACCATTGACAGGCGCACACTCGCTATCAATAATCACCTTATACTCCGGTAGGACGTCCTTCAGCTCGCGTAAGACGTCTTGTTTGAAACCGTAGACTTGCAGTTGGTTTGGGACAATAGACGATGGGCGGACAGGCTTAACTGTGGGAGGCGGATTCAAGAGGTCGTAGTTGGAGTCTTTGGAAACAACCGTCCGTAGTTCGTGATCAATTACAATCTTGTTATGTGCGAGAAATGGGCCCCCCAAGAGAAGGGAAGTACAAAGATTAGGCGCGATGATCGCGCGTACAGTGTGGGACTTGTACACAGAATTGAGAGATGAACATGCAAGTTTAACGTAATGCGAGAGGAGAAATGACTGCTTCTCCTTTCCCGAGAGCGCAACTGAGACTGGGAAAGGCTTTGGTAATGCACGGCAACGGAGACCGAGTTTGATGGCGAGGGCTTCATCAATCAGAACTGCGGGAGATCCATGGTCAATCAATGCAGAAACGACAACAGAAGATGAAGCAGCTGGGCCATCAACGAGACATTCCCAGGTGAAATGTGGGATCGTGAATGGGGCCACATGTTACGGACTAGGATAGTTCGAGCTCTCCCTAGGCGGATTGCCTAATCTGATAGCGGGCTCGCTACTGGAGAGACGGGGATCTTCTCTCGAGTGAGAGGTTCGGGGGTTCCACTTAAGGTAGCGTCGGCTTTCCTTAAGGTGCGGCTTAGACTGAAGGACTGGGACTGTCTTTCAGAGGAAGTTCTGGATAAAACCTAGTAGAATCAAGTAGGGAATATACATGATTCTGTCTGCTCTATATACTGTCGTCCGTGTGCACAGACCAATACTACGTTCGGTAGGTAGGTATGAGTGTGTCTATACAAGGGCATCTTATCTGATGCCATGCGGGCGATTATCTATACATGAGGCTTACCATGCCTCTCTTATCTGTCCTCAAGGCGAAGCATGCCTTGGAGTCTAACTGCGCATGCTGCGGCATGCGGCTTCTCTTCTGACCATGAAGCGGAGCTTCTCCATGATCCGGGTCGAGGACCATCTAGGTCCGATCAGATGTAGCCTAGGCTGGTCTAGGTCATCTAACGGCATCCAGGCCGTTCTAGGTGTCTCTACGAGTCTCCGTTGAGTCGGTAAGTCTTCCAAGACGATGCATATGATGGGATAGGGGCTAAGGTCATGATGACCTCCGTAGGAGGGGTTCTCGGTTACATGTTATTGTAACACCACACACTCTTCTCCAGAATCAGTTCCGTCACCAAGAGCAGCAGACGGCATGACAACTGCTACCGTGTCTTGGATTCCGACAGCTGCCACAGTGGTCGTACCCTTCCTACCCTTCTTGGCCGCTACAGAGGCTGCTGTGAGAGATTTGTAGGTGGCGCCATCCGGAAAGCCCTTGGAGCAATTGCTCGACGAATGATGTACGAAGGGCTCGCGGCACTTAAAGCACCCCTCGTTGTCGCGTAGGAGCTGGCGTTCGTCATCTGTGAGCGGTGGTAGACGGGTGAACGGTTTGGAAGAGGTGGAACTAGATGTGGTCTGTCCTGCTTTGGAATTGAAACAAGACGATGATGCAAGTCTCCTGTCAGTGGTAGTTTCACCTCGTTTCGCACGCCAGGCCGCCTCCGCCGCTTCCTTGTGTTTTGCAAGGTGGCGTAAGCGTTTCTCATCTAGCAACCTCACCTTCTCAATCCACTTGCGTAGATTGGTCTCGGTGATCTGCTCAGTACGATACTCCGCAGCTAGGTCAGGATGCATGTGCGATTCGAGATGGTACTTCAGATTGGTGTCATTAAGGTGCAAAGTTGAGTCACGAAGGAGCGTGTTTTTTGATTGAACCTCGACGGCCCACTCATTGAACGGCTTCTGTCCTTGTGTCGACGACAACATCTTCTGACGGACGGAGTCTGCCCAGTCTGCGGGCAACCAGTAAGCATGGACTTCTTTTATATAATCCGCGAACGAGAGTTTGTTGAAACGGTCCTGGTCATTGAGGTACCAGTCCTGAATGATGGGCTCTTGCATTCCCCAGGCGACTTTTTTGACCATTTCGCCCTCAGGGATCTCTTTGTGCATGAAGAATTGCCTACAACCCATCTCCCACGCGCGAAAAACCTCAGGAGAGATCTCGCCCGCTGTGAGAGAGGGAGGTTTGTTAGCAGCTTGTTGCTCCACACGCGTGAGTTTCGATGGTGCGGACATGGTAGGTATGTCGATCCAAGAGTCGGTTGAATCAGAGGAAGTGGATATATGTGTTGTTGTCGGCGAGCTGGCACGACTAGCAGGTAGTTCAGTGAGAGGGGAGAGTGCAGGGAGCGGGTTGATTATGTTTGTGGTTGACGTAGCCACCGACGACGTTAATACTTTGCGAGCACGACTACGTGTCACGAGTGGGGACAGTACCGGTATACGGGAGCGGCGAGGAGGCAGTTTGCAAGTCTGTGGTAGCCAGGTGACTAAGTCGACCTGGCGGCGTGTTACGGTGTTTTTCAGCAAAAGATAAGATAACAGTAGCGGCAAGGATAACAGGAAACAAGTAACGCTCAACTGTACGTTCAAAAAAAGTGGAAGCTACCCAGAGGGTAGAACACTAGAAGCTCAGACAGTAGTCGGAACGTGGATGAGAGTTAGATTCGACAGTGACGGTAGGTGATAAGGTAAGTACAACTGCGATAGTCGAATATATATGAATCAGGACAAATAGCGTCACAACAGTCCGGCGTGTCCAATCAACGAGCAGCAAGGAATCACATGGTAAGCTCTGCTTACATGGGGCCTTCTTCAGGTTGATCCCGTGAGTGAATGCATCCTGCTGCTGGTTCCTGACTCAAGGCGACTGCAGCGCCTGCAAAACCAAATCAGAACTACATGTCCATCCCCAGGGCACATTACTTGCCAAGAACCCCTACACACACGTCAACACTACACAAGCAATCATGAATTCATCAGTGCTCCTCACAGAACTTGTTGTAGTACGAGAATGGTTTCATGAAACTGCCCCACGAGTGCAACATCCAGAAACCACCACGGGATATTGGAAGTTTATGAAACATATATTATGCAGGCTCTATGCACAGACTCAGGAATCAATCATAGAGGGTCTAGTAAAAGAGCTGAATCCTGATGCCATGAACAGGGTTATCAGATGGTTGATCATTAGCAGCTGATGACGCCGTGAGCCTAATAATAATCTATCAAAGCACTGAGTAACACATAATCATTTGCAGAAATCTGAGAAAATCCTAGCACAAGCGCTCTATTCATTTGTTCGCGCTGGCAGATTGGATGAGGCAGTCGAATTATGCAGAAAGCACATCAATCGTGGAGTGCTGCAAGTATCTGCGGTTCCATATTTTTTCAGTAGCGAGTTATTGGTAGGTCAAGCTCTAGGTATCATCCGCGCATCTCTGATCTGCTGACAGCAAACGAGCAATGGAATGACGATGGAATCAACTTGTGACATCAAGCCTAAGGATGCCAAAGGATGGCAGGGAAATCCATGTAGAAGATTAACATGCACAAGAGCAGCTCTGAATATGTGCTATGTGCGTCAACTTTTTCATGCGTTCTTCAAGTCCAACCTCCTCGATGCAGAGCACATTCTCTATGCAGCTCTTGCGCTCTGCTCGCAAACCTCATGTCGACCATGGGAAGACCATTTATGGGTGCAGATGTGAGTATCCTATGTGAGAAGAGTTTTGAATGAGTAATCTATGTTTCTGTGTAAATGGTGGAATGGGCATGGACTGCAAGGGAACCAAGGCCAGACCTCTATGGCGGGGGGCTACGGCTCTGTCTATCGAGGACAGACTACAACACACATGAGGACTACCGACTACAAGCCAGGACTCCTGCCACCACGCCAGGACCCCTGCCACTCCCGTCCTGTCCTGCCAGAGCGCCCCGCTCCAATGGATATCAGCCAGAGGCTCTTCAGCCACCCAAGTTCCCGCATGCTGCAGTGCTCAGGAGACTTACATCACACCTGTGTCACTACATGAGGTTCAAATTTCGATAGCCTTATTAGAAAACATGCCCTCACCACATCTCAAGAGGAAAATGCTGTTGAGGAAGAAGAGTGAGAGAAGGAAGTGACATCTTCGTTGGAAACCCTAGGTAGTGTTCACATGGAGGACGGGGATGGCTCACATACATGTAGCTATTTCCCATGTGCTGACCGTCAGTCAGTCCCACCGCATCCCACGTCTCAGCTGGCCATCATCCTCGATTGGACGAGTTCATTGCTATTGCAGCTGGACGCAAGGATGGAAACTTCGATCCTGAATTATCAGAGTAAGCCGAACAACGTGCATTTGACATTCTCTAACAAAGCAGCAGGTACCCTACGATGATGCATTTCTTCGCCCACCTAACCCACGAGCGAGTTCTCTTTGCCCTCTTCCACAGGCACCATTCGTCCACCATCAACCGCTCACCATCGTGCTAATTGCCGGAGAAAGGCTAAGAGCCGCAGCCAAAGCAATACCCCTCCGGTCCTCTTATGCTCCCATCGAATTCATCAAGACGAACCACGTACTCCTTTGTCAGGCGAGAACATGAGTCAGCCAGAGCTAGAGCTAGAATTGGATCTTGAAAGCCTAGGTTTAGAAGATCAAGAAATTCCACCTGACAAACTCACAAAACTGGAGAAGATTGGAAGTGGGGGCTTCAAGGACGTATTCATTGGCAAGTTCAAGGGCAGATGGGTCGCCACTGTGGAATTTCGAGATCAGCTCAATTCAAGTACGTCACAACTGTTACCCATGAGGCTTCCATGTTGTGAACATGTGCTGTAGTGGATATCAAAGAACTCAAACTTCTTGGTAGTTTTGATCATCCGAATATAGTTCGCTTCATAAGTATCCCGTCGAGTACGAATGGTGGGAAGTGCATGGATAAGTAGATTTGAATGTGACTCACATGTGTGCGCTTCTCGAACCTTCGCTATTGTCGTCAGTTGTATACAATTGTCCAGGAGTCTGAGTCCTCCCGATACATACAAGGCACTGTCATGGACTACTTGGTACCACACCCATAGTTCGACTTGTGTATAATGGCACTTGTTTGCATAGATGACATTCTCTTGTTCTCTTGATCAATGGAGCTCTGGAGTCTGATACATACATGAATTGTTTCACGATTGCACGACATACAACGTATATATCGCATTTATAGTATCACAATGTAGAGACTGACATCTCTGTGACCTCATAGAGGTCTAATTTCCGATGCATGTCGAATGCTAATCATTACCCGAATCATTCCCTATCATATCCGACTCAATACGCACCAAACCCGAAAATCATTGGACATTGGACATTGGACTATCGGACATCGCATCGGACTATCGGATATCATGCCCACTCGTCCTACCTATGTCCTGTGTCCTTTTGCTAGCCCCACTAGGTGCACAGTTACTTGTTTTCCCATCGCTAACATTGTAGACCACATTATTACATGTCTGAAGCACCTCATGTCTTATTACATAGGACATCAGACCCGAAAATATTGTGCTACTACTTTCGCCTATAGGGTTCCAGACTTCTACGTATCTACATAAATATTGGACTCCCCATAGCATTACCATCATCCAAGTAGAGGAGAGCCATTCTCTGATGCTTAGGGGTCAAACCCAATATTTCGTAGTTCTTAGTTGACATTGTGAATATCATTGTTCCTTCACCGCCCATATCAGTCATTGTTATTATTGCGCACACTGCTCGCTTTCCCGACGCTCACTATAGCGTTGCTATTAGTTTCCGATACCCTGAACCTGAACCCGATAACCCGAAAACATCGGACCTGACGCTTTTGCATCGGACATCGTAATTATACCTTCGGACATTGTTTCCCGCACTCGGACTATTGACCCCACATCACTCACTGACCCCCAAAACTATTCCCAGACCGCAGACCCCTGGGTCGAACGCACTTGTCTCACCAAGTATAGCAGACTAGGCAGTTCAAGACCACAACATAAATATATCAGTTTGGAGCCATCTTTGTATAGCCCCACTCTGTGTTGTATTCCTACAACAATAATTAATTGATATTAACATTACACCAGTACTACTAGGCGCTGTCGCCGGCGATAACCTTGCTTTCGTTTTTAATTGGAAAGACGAAGGGAACGAGCGCACTTGAAATGGTATTTTGGAAGGACAGAGACTGGTCACAATTCCTGTACCCTAGAAGAGGGTACAGGTCTCCTGAAATTTTTCTCTGTCGACTCAATCTTCATGGCTCCACATGGCCCGACAACCGTGTCTTCTTTAGGCATCATATGGTTTTGTCAGCATCCAGACTCGAGCGTGGGCCCGCTACCTGGTGTGTGGGAATCATCCTTCCTTTCTAAAACTACTGCCATGTTTATTGGATGTGAATCAGGCCCAAGCTGCGCGCTGAGCGGATCGAACACTTAGCAAAGATATATAAGATGTCAGTGTGTGATGAGTCCTTTTCTCACTCTGCAATCCCATCCTAGCTTCTCAGGCCTGAAAAGGTGCGCTGACTGTGCGCGGTTTGCTTTCCATAGACCTGACCGTGGTCTTGCAAGCCCCATAGTCGCGATGGAGGGATCAATCTTATTCCGCTCTTATTCTCTGTTTTCTTTCATACTTTCAGTTACTCGGTACATTCCTCTTGTTCAATCTTAATCTGTTTGTGTCGATGAAGATGTTGTTTTATGTTTTTTTTAGTGCTATGTTATTCAATGGGATGTTTGGAAACTTGACATCCGTGATGAGGCTGCGCTTATGCCGCTTTACAAAGCATTTGCAGCAGTGCACTCTGAATTGTCAATGGTGCAAGAGCTCTCACTGTTCGTAGGGGACTGGGATGATGAGCTTATGCTGGTCATCGTCGCACATTTTCCTAAGGGGAGGGCCAAGCGAGGTGCGCTCATTTTCGACGACACTGATACTCATTTGCAGGACACCATCATTCGGATGTGTTCTCATACATTATATGCTCCTCCACACCTGGTATCCGTACACATCTTCTGTCGTGTGATATCTTGCGTTGTCGTGAGCAACCTATCTTCCATTTGAACTTTGCTCAAATATCCTTCACTCTCAGTGGGCGTGTTTGGCGCTGATCGTGTTTGGTGGTCACGCCTTTCGTTCAGGGTTGAGTCAATCCTTTTTCAGGCTTCGTCCTCCTATGGTGGAGCTGTGCTTACTTAGCAGGTGGCGCTGTGTTAGATCGAGCTTGCCCTCTTTCTTGCTTTTACTGTCGTCTCATTTGGTGAACTCGTTCTAGCAAAGCTGGTTCATAAATTCATGGTCTGCTAGTATTATTTTCTGAACATTGCGGTAGTATAAATAAATTTATGAGCACTTGAAACACACCCTCTCAAGTATGAGAACATAAGGTAGAAGACGGGAAATTTCGATGAACCTCACGTGATGTGACAGATGTGTTATGCTGTGAGGATAAGTCAAGCCAAATGTCCTGCTGAATGGCACAGACTCGGAGATTCAAGTATTACTTAACTTAACTTAAGGATGATATGCAACTAGACTCATAGTGATTAAGATTGTACTATGATACATTGTAGCTCAGTGGGATTGCTCCAACTCCTGCATTATGGACTCAGGAAGAATGCGATGACCACAATATCTTTTGATCGCCCATGCAGCCTGTTTTCTGTCAAGTCCCTTCTTGTAAGCATCGACGAATCTACCAGACCTGACAAAAAAGCTAAAATTTAAAATTAATCACATTGTTGAAATCCGAAAGATCAACAAACTCACCGCCGCATGGATGACTGTGGGACTGCATTTAGCGAGTCGAGGACATTTCATTCAAGGTCGGCTTCTGATGATGATCATTCTTTCATACGGTACAGCCGCTTCACATATCCCCAGCACTGCTCAATAAAATTGAGCTCACAGTGAAATTTTGGCAGGAAAATTACATCGACCCCTCGTGCACAACACATGGACTCCAAATTCGATTCGACTTTAGTGAAATCTGGTTGAGTATACATTAGCCGCCAGCAACAACAGTCAGTCCAGTCAGGAGGGCATTTGAAGTCTTTGCATTCCATTCAAAGGTGAGGGGCATTTTCATACCCGCACTCAACAAGTATCTGAGCCATGCCTTTGAACCACCCAGCCTTTACATGTCCCTCTGCAAAATAGAGAGGTTGCAGATCCCCATTCGGTAGTGTTGCATCTATCATTTGAATTTTTTCCTTTACTTGTTTGCCATCTGGACCAAGTACGGCCTTTCCATTGGCATCCTTGACACTTGCAGATGGTCCAAACGACTGCGACAGATTCTTCGGCATTTTTCGAGCAGCTAAAGTGTCATCGGCACGTTTGAGGTGCATCGTTGCATTGTCAAAGACAAGCACATGGTCTTCGCCTGGATAATCTTTTTGCAGGATATCCATCGCTTTCACAGCCTGCGCCACAATCTCCTGGTTTGTGAAATAACCATCTCGTGCCCTTCCAGCTTTGAACAGGACCCAAGCGCTCTCCTTTTCATCTCAGGATTGAAGCCAGCCATAATCGGCTGACACAAAGTCAGTGACCATCAAAGAAGCACCCTCCCCTTTTGGTTGAGGTAAGGCGCTTTCTGAGTCATGGACCCAATGAACTTTTCTCCGGTCATTTGCATAGAACATTGACTCATCATGGAACCACATGATGGTGCGGCGCCCAGAAGACTCGACTTCTGACAAATCCTCCAAGGTAATGTTGTCAGTTTTCCATTTTCGCATGTAGCACTGATAATGAGTCCATGCCAGCAAAAATATGTTGTTGCGGTAGCAAACAACATCCTCACGCTCATGGCCATCTGTGTATTGTCCCTGTGGCTCCCTTTGCCAGCGATAACCCAGGTGCGACATCCATCGGTCTGCTGTTCTCAATGATATCAACTTCTTGATGCCAAGATGGACACCATTCTCAGGTACACCAAGGTAATCAACAATATCCTGTGCGCAGACTGACTTCCCCACACTCTGGAGATGCAGCTGTAGTTCGGCTGCGAGGTCTTCATCATCAATGCGGGAGTATCGCTGTGGCACTTTTCGGTGAGGTAGTGTGTTTCTATTATTGATGTAGGCCTTTGCCCAGCTCCGCAGGCATCGTGAATGGTATGCCCCCTTACCAATGTTTTGCGCTGCTCGATCAGCTGCATTGGTCCAGTGACCACCAACGGGGTTGCTGGGATGCTTAGTGTCATCTGGGTTACTGGGAACATCTGTATAGAGCCACAAGAAATTTTTCAAGTTCGTTAGGTGCTCCCTCAAGACAGTTGAAAGTTCCAAGGCTCGTCTGTTATGGCACGGAGGTTTCATGATGTGTCGACAGTGGTTATGTAAGCAAGCCCATCTCAATGATCACTATACCATCACCAAAATTACCGAATCCAGATATCACATGACATATTGAATTTTCTGATGCCGCCAATTACACATACCTGTGATATCTGACATTTGAAATATCGTAGCAATACAATGACATCAAACATGCTATCTGTCAGACACAAGTCATCCAGTAGAGTAGCTGTCAGCCAGATATCAGACATATCCAGATACATCCAATGTATTATATAGAGTAATACAACGAAAAATGGGTGAAACTGAAGTAAACTACCTAAAGGGCGCCAGAACCTTCCTCCATAAGTATTTTATCATCAAGTTCCTCGCCATCGTCCGCCACAATCTCGTCCTCATGCGGAGTTCAGACTTCAAGCTTCAGCGCTGCAGCAGGGAAAGTGAGGGCAAAATGAATTTTGAATTTTTTGGCCATCTACGCTCACATAAGTTCAGGTAACTAGGTTCCTCAATGGCTCAACTACCAATGAAACAAAAATGTCCTGCGAATTCAATCAAACGTCCGAAATTAAAGCAAAGCTCGCAAACTTGGTGGTAATAGGTACGCATAAGTGTCCAAAGACTTATATGCCACCCTATCAGAAGGAACGGCATTCAGAGACCTTATACGTCATTTGTACTCTCCCCAAATACATCCCGCCAGCTGAATACTATGCATGTACAAGGGATGGGTCGTGATTTTCTTGATATGGGAGTACACCACATGTAGTGGGAATACTTGGTGCAGCTGTTGCATTGAGGTGATGAGCACGCAATACCAATAGCCCAGAAGTATACGACACAGTCGTGATAGATATTAATAACACAAAACCTGCTGCAACACGAATCAAGACTTACATCGTCTAGATCTAAAAACCCATATTGGAAATTTTAGTGTGTTATGTTGATCGACGTGCAAGACTTGATATGTCTTCTGGAGGTGTCGCTGCCTGCTGTTAGTTTGCTCCCACATACAGAGTACAACGTTGGGTACGATCCATCTTCTTGGTCTACAGCAAGAGCGTCATCGTCATTCCCTGACTTTTTGCCTGGATGGGAAGGCCATCTATGACTCGACATTTCTGCAATAGCCTGTCGACGAGTCCAACTGGTCTGTGCGACAAAGGCAGCTAAAGTCTAGAACAAATTGATGATGGTTCGTCGTAAGCTTTTGGGTAAGAACATAAGAACACTCACTAGTAATACGGTACCCATGATTACTCTCTCTTTCCACCGCTCATCACTAGCTGTATCGTCAAAATGAGGACGACGCTACCTAGTTGACCATTGTATCGGATCCACTTTGTGAGATACGTTGTAGGTGGGCAGTGGCTGATTGGATACTTCAATGTTCTGAACCAGATATGAGAAGGACAATGTTGATCAGTGCATGTGTTTTGTCAGGAGGAGGGGGAGAGTCAGAGCACCCTTGGCAGCACTTTTTCGAGGTTCCCACGGTCTGTTAGACCGGGTTTTCTTGTAGGGCGAAACCTGTCTAACAGACCTGGCTCTCCTGAGAGGTTCTCACCCAAATCCCTTATAGGTGTTTGTGACCCTCTCAACATTGATGCGGAGGTACACTGTCTCCTCAGTGAAGCTTGCCCTCCTGTGCAGAGGCTCGCGCACTATCCACCCGAGCCTCCTCGAAGCCTCCGACGGTTCCAACTCTTGTGTATGTAAGGACGTCTCTGTCGACGACCAACACTCAGATCGGACGTGCGTCATAGGATGTTTAGTTGCGTCATCGAGGTGCGTCATGTAAGCATCCAGCTTACAGTGTAGTGCTAGGTATTACCGCGTTATCAATCAATTTAGTTTAACATGTACACTAGATGTCTAAGATTCAAAGGGGAAAAGACAACAGAAAAGCAAGTACGATTCATTGACGCGTGACTTTACTTTATTGACGCGTGACTTTACTTCCTTGAGACGCGAGAAGCTCATCTACTTCGACCTCATTCTCCCCAAGGGCAGCAATATCAGTACTTTGCGAACTCTGTGTGATGTGGGAGATCCATGGAATAAGTTCATCGACATTGTGTCTACCTCCTGGTAACAGCTCTCCTTCTGCATTGAAGTTCGACCTCCAGGGGGGAAGTGGGACCTGAACATATACCTTGAGTCTCTGCTGACGACGTGCAAGAGATGATGTACGGTTTTGTGTAGGAGGGTCTCATATACGGGATAATGGCCCAGGAGTAGGCCTTGGTGCAGGAGACGGTCTAGGGGATGGAACAGGAGATGTCTCAGAAGAGCTGTAGTCATCTTCGAGACGAGGAAGACCCCGTCGATCGGATTGGCCATTAGCATACCACCATCGGCCATGCGTGTAGTTGGAATGAGGAGCTGGTGCTTCCTCGATGATGACAGGGCTATGCGACGTGTTAAGCTTCGCAAGAGCACCTTGTCTGGTGACGGTTTTGATGGTAAGTAGGTTGTTTTTTAGGGCATCCGCAAAGACTCGGCGCTCACGAAGCGAAAGATCATGTATGCCCTTGCTCTTTTTGAGGGTTGCGTGTTTCTCACCGGGCATTAGGACATTTTCAGGATAGTTCTGGAGGATGCAGCCACAACGAGCTAACTCTCTTGGTAGCAACTTCCACGGAAATGTCCCCCCTTGTCCTTCAAGCTTGCCTCAATCGTTCTTAGGAAAAGTTGTTGAAATTTTTCAATAATCAGACTTACCAAGTAATGCTGATAAACCACCAACAATGCATGGTATGTCGTCAAGCCTTCTCCATCTGTCGGGTTCACTCACTTGCCGCTTCTCCAGCCACCTCTCCAACACCGTCTCCACTGGTAAGCCATGTTGTGATGCGATGCGTTCCACATGATAGTCTAGCCTAGTGAAGTCCATAATGGAATATGGATGTATAGTGAGTGGTAGAGGAGGATCACGACCATCACAGATAAGATGGCCGGCCATAAAGCAATGCATTATATGAAAAGGTAAAATTGAGATGAACTTCAACAAGAACGCATGGCTTAACAGTAATTTGTGAGGTCAGAGTTGTGTGATATGACGCGCGCGCGTGTTCGACTCAACTGGAGTGCTGATTTTTTTAATGTTCGGAATCATGGACAGCGAGCCTCCCTTCTCGGACGAGAATTTAATTTAATCGTAACGCCACGTACGCGCCAATTCCCGATGTTCCTTTCTGCAAACAAAAATCAAAAGCATAAGTTGAAAGGGAGAGAAGAAACACATACGCAGGTGACCCAAAGACACGACGCAAGCGACGAGCTACAGAAATCTTTTAAAGATAAGGTTGCAGGCAACAGGCGGCGCATGACAAAGAGGCAGTTTCATCGACGCAAAGCTGACATAAGAGCTGACATAAAGGTTCCCACAGTTTTTTTTGTAAACAGAACCCGGACTGGTCGTCGGGAATGTCCAGCGTGCTGCCCCCACTCACTTTCTCTCTTCCACCCTCTTAGCCAGCCCTGATACATGCTAGCCAGGTGGAAACTTGTTCTCGTCACCTACTCCTTGGATGTTGACTTCATCATGGACAGCGAGCCTCCCTTCTCAGACGAGGATCTAACCATTGACGGTGAGCCTCCGTTTTCGGATGAAGAATTAACTATCATTAGTGAGTCTTATACATCTTTCTGCTTGTTCAGAGTACCCCTTCTAACCTTCGCTGCTCTCGTCCTCCTCCAGCCCGTTTATGCGCTCGCTTCATTATGCATCTTTCTGCTTGTCCAGAGTACCTCTTCTAACCTTCGCTGCTCTCATCCTCCTCCAGCCCGTTTATGCGCTCGCTTCATTATGCATCTTTCTGCTCGTTTAGAGTACCCCTTCTAACCTTCGCTGCTCTCGTCCTCCTCCAGCCCATTCACTTCATTTTGCATCTTTCTGCTTGTCCAGAGTACTAACCTTCGCTGCTCTCGTCCTCCTCCAGCCCGTTTATGCGCTCCCAAGTTCCCTCGTGGTGCCGTTGTCAGCATCTGATATGTAAACCTCCCCGATGGTCTTGATATTGCCTTCATTCTCATTATCTCACGTTCTCGGCTTGGACCATCATGTTCCCGTACGACTATATCCATATTTATGTGAAATGTAACTTTCAATGATTGAGAAAATATACCATTATTCGTGTCCTATTTGGTGTGTGGGATGATCTTTAGTATGAATATGAATGTTTTATTTGGCTGCATCTGGAGCACTAGCATGTGTAAAGTACATATGAATACGTGATGACTCAATTACATCAAGTTAGTCGATCGGTTTCATGACAAGTTGAGAATCTACTATCCTGCGTGGCAACGTATACAGGAGTGTTTCCAAAATTAGCGGTATGTTATCAACCACTCCGCTTTGTTGTCAGCAACATTGCTTTCCCAACACCAACAACAACCGAGACGATGCTCCCACAGCCGGTGAGCACAACTTCTTATCACAGACGCCTCTTTGGATCGGTCAGTACTACCAATGCGCTCCCTGAACCTCGGGACAAGAGCGCCATGGATAAGCTCTTGGAGCAAGAACTCGTCGGTCAAGTTCTGTGGGAAGAAAAGTTTCTCCCCCAAGATGCCAAGTCTATTATGGATGCCCTCATCCTAGACACCAATTTCACACCAACATCTCTCAGCAAGATTCACTATTCAGTATCCGGGCCAGGAGAGAAGAAGGTTCAGGGAGCGCCTGTCTTTCATCCTGCTAGTTGTGGCGCGGGCGGGGTGTGGCAACTCGATAAGAGAAATGTCTGGCCGAGGCTGCTGGTAAACAGCAGGCAGACACAGAGGGGACAGAAGACACAACCGCGCGCACAGATGAGCAAGGTGGCAGTGGCGACCAATACAGAAGTGGATTCAGATTCCTCTTTCACATCGCCCGAAACCGACAAGAGCTTCGGTGCCAAAGGATATGACGACAAGAGCCCCAACAAAAAGTGTCAGAGGGCATCGGCAACGTTGGAGGGCAAGTGGACTTTGCTCTTCAATGCTGTACAAGCTGCCATGCACGCAATGTACGCGAAGATCTTCCCGAACCCCTCGGCTGCATTCCCCTTTTGTCCCATGGACATTACCAGCGGCCTGCCGAAGCGTATCTGGTCCTCCCAATTCTCTAACTCTGCCGTCCCGGACGACACAAACGCACAGAAGCCAGACATTATTCTGGTGGATTGCAATCTGCGTAGCCTCCCATTGCGATGGTGCAACATTATCACATGTTTCGAGCTCACTGAAAGCTCACTGTCCTTGACCTCGAAATTGTATTGGGGTAGCGCCACTAAAGGGTATCTGATAATGCGAGAGCAACCCTGGCGCCGGTTCGTCTTGATTTTCAGCATCGCCCATAACGAGCTTTGTCTTCACTACTTTGATCGCTCAGGTCTCATAATTTCACACCCCACCTCCATCGTTGCAAAACCTGTGCGTCTTCTTGAGGTTTTGAACACCTTGACGCTCGCGCACACCAACACCCTCGGGTACGATCCCACAATGCACATGTGCGACCCTACCTGCAAGGGCACACATCTCGATCTGAGGGAGAACGCGATTGGTTGGATAGAGGGTCCTGATGAAGCACGTCTATCAATCATAAATGTGCTTTGGCAAAGCCAAGGTTTTTTTTCTCGCGGGACCATTTGCTATCGCGTTCAGACCTTGTCTGGGGTGGAGTACGCACTCAAAGACTGTTGGGTCGCCGAGGACAAGAGATACCATGAGGTTACCGTTCTCCGGATGGTTGAAGGCATCCCGAATGTAGTTAGGCTCGTGGCCGATTGGGATGTCCTCTATGATGGGGAGCCGGACTGCACGCATCGTATTCGAGCCTCCCATGGTATGCATACCTCGGGGTTCATTTGCAGATTTTACCGGCGCCTTCTTTTGACCCCCTGCGGAGAGCCGCTTTTATCCTACTCCTCCAAGTCCGAGCTGTTGAGATCCTTCTATGACTTTGCAAGGGGTGAGTTTTGAGTGCGTTGAAATTGAAGCCTGAGGTTGACCATTAGTTGTTAGCTCATGATTTAATGCTCGGAAGGCATATCCTCCATGGAGACTTAAGCCCGAATAATTTCATCATCCATGATGGACAAGGGTATTATATCGACTTTGATCATGCTGGGATCATTACTCAAGGCTCCAAGCATATTCGTTCACAGGGCACGGTAAGTGAAGCTTAGAAGTTTCATGGTGTGGCACACGGCTGAGCACATTGTCTGAAGGGCACTAAACCCTATATGTTGATCCGTCTTCTGCGGGGGGATGTTGATAACCAAAAGAAGGAGGTGATGATTGAACACACAGCAAGCGATGATATGGAGTCACTGTTTTATATCTTCGTCGAATTTGCAACCACCTTCGACGGGCCACGCGGTGTAACGAGAGATCAGAACAGGCGGCCCTTGTGGGTTGAGCACTATGAAGTCATGGGCTCCGCTTCCTGGGTATCCAAGCAGGGATATGTGCTCTCACCGCTTGTCGACAGGTCGTTGATGACAAAAACAACACCATTCTTTGGAGCATTCAGTCAAATCATACAGGAATGGCGTCATTTAATCCTAGCAGCAGCAAGCGAGACGAACGACTCCTCCCCCGGTGTGACTCATGCGGCGCTCCTGGGAAAGTGGATCACCCAGCTCCCCCCAGATTTTCCCGAAGAAATTCCTGTGCCCATGGCATCATCGTCGAGATTGGCACATCCTCCACCCGACACCCAATCATCCGCGGGCCCTCGTCGTTCTGCATGCATCCAACAGAGATCATGATAGTCAACTACCCCTCGTCGTTCTGCCCATATCCGAATAAGAGCACCGTGACCCTCTTCTCGCACTCCTTTCTGCGCATATGGGTTGTGTTGTAATTTGGTATGACACGTAGATCTGTAGTAGTTGTACTACTGCACTACATTAGATACCCTCCTTGCCTGACATGTACATACGACAATATCAATGACGAAATGTGTAATACTGTGGAACTAATCTGAGGGAGCCTCCACTTCTCGGTTTGTAGAGTTGTTGGAATAGCTTCTTCTTTCCCTCGAATTTATTTAATTTTCGAGCGTACCATACCCCTTTAGGTTGATCGACCTTGGGCCTTGAATGATCAATCTTTAATTTTAAATTCACATAAGTCATGTCACATGAAATGCATCTTCTTCGACACTTGTCATTGAAGTTCTTCCTCCAGCATTTAAGGTCAAAAGCCGCAGAACACGTTCAGTTCTGAATTCTAACCAAGTTCAACTGAAATCATTGTTACAGATACCTCGCAGCAATTGGGGTATACAGCTAGAAGGTGAATGAAAAATTGATCGGAACACGCAGACCAACAAACGTAACATGGTAACATGAGTGACGGAGTAGGAAGATATTAAATAAAACATGGAAAACGATCGAGGTCAAAATAACACAAAACAACATGGTAGTATGAGATACATGAAAAAGGCAGGCGAAAGCGGTATGAGATGGCAAAGTAAATTAAAGAACGGTGCTGTAAATACTTGCCACTGGTTTAGTTGGGCCGAGCACTTGGAGAGGGTCTAGGATCCAAGTGAGGCTCGCGTTCATGAGACAAGGAAGAGGCAGTCTGAGCGTTTGGTGAGGGTCTGTAGTCCAAGGAAGGCTCACGTTCATGAGACAAGGAAGGTCCAGGCTGAGCATTTGCAGAGGGTCTAGAGTCCAAATAAGGCTCACGTTCACGAGACATTGGGTTGCGGTCACGATGACCGTCATCGTGTGTATAAATGTGAGGGGCTGGGGTATCACGAAGGGGATCAGAAAATGGTGTGTCGCGATCTATCCCTCGCGAGTCTTGATGCCTCCTCCATAGCCCTTGTCTATCCTGATACCCCCTTCCACCTCCCATATTGTCATGGTAGTGAGCATGTCGCTGACATGTGTCAACTTCATAGGAATACACATCAGGAACAGGGCTATAGCGGCCGGGATAACCAGGACGAGTGTGATCACGTTCTTCATTTAAGTGCATAGGAGCAGCAGGAGCAAGATGGAAGTTGTCGTGGGGATGTCCACCTCGGCCATAGAATCCATCCCGTGGAAGGACTCCATCACGGTTCCAAGGAGATATCTCGCGTGCGTAAGGGCCATCATGATCACGACTGTTGTACTGAATGGGGTCGCGAGGGCGATATGCTGGTCCATCATGAATATTATTTCGCATAGTCTCCCAAGTATCATAACTACGGTCAGGAGGCTCATGCCAGCCAGTTGCGTGAACAACAGGCTCGCGGGACTCTAGGTGCTGAGGCTCTGCTGGTGGGAGATTACGTGTGAAGGGCACATGAGGTACACGCTGGTCATGATCAGGAGGGTTCCGGATGGTGGCTCTGGAGAGATGCACGGGAGGCTCAGGAACGAGGCAAGGAGGGTCGCTGCTGGTGTCTCTGGAGAGGCACATGGGAGGCTCATTAGGCTGAGGAGGGTCACTGCTGGTATCCCTGGAGAGGCGCATGGGAGGCTCGTTAGGCTCAGGAATGTGCTGAGGAGTGTTGTTAGATTCAGGTGGGCGACCAACAGGCTCACTTGGAGGACGAAGAACTTGGCACGAATCTTCTTCAGATGGTCCAGGCTGAGGAATTGGTGACTGCACTGGAGTTTGTTGACCGGCAATCCCATCCGATGAGTCCTTCTTGTCTATCGGCTGCTGCACGTTTGGCTGAGGAGGTGGTATGACAGGACCATCTGCAGCCTGCTTGGTGACCTGTTTGACGACATCGTCGTCACCCTCTTTCGACTCATCACCATACATCATGCAATGTGTATGGCTCAGAATCCGCCGAGATCCTGGAACGATGGGGCGTGGTTTGATGGGGCCATCTCGAAGCCTCTTGGCATGCTGGAGTCGAGATGTCCCTGCACCCACAAGTGGCTCGTCACTCGAAGATGATATAGTCAGAGGCGACATGGGACCGCCTTTCAAGGGAGGTACCTCTGGAGCAGGCAATGGCTTTGCCTTCTCCTTGACCCTTCCCTTAGTCTTTGCCTTCACACGTTTCTTCCTCGTATTCGGCTCCACTGAAACCTCAGCAGATGACGCACGCCTCTTTGACTCTCGATATGGCCTACTATCCGCCACCTTCCTCTTTTCCCCCTGGGATGCATCTTCGAATTCTGTTTCAGGTGCCATCTCACGAGACTTATCTTTGGACTCGGACGTGGGAAACTCGATCACCTCAGTTGACGAAGGCTTTGGAAGAGGCTTTGGAGGAAGCTTTGGAAGAGCATGTGGAGGCCTAGGAAACACTATAAATGGGCATGAGGGAGGAGGCTTTGGTAGTAGAAGTCCAGTGGCACCAGTAGATTCCTGTTGCTGAGAAGTCGAGGGTGTTTTGCGGGTGTTTCGAGCCCTCTTGACTTTGGTAGTCGCAGCGCTGGTCTTCACACGAGAAGGCCCATTATAGTCTGTGTGGCGGTTGGCGAACATTTGTTGGGCACCAGCATGAGGGTGATCTGAAGGAGGTGCTTCACCAGTGATTACAGGGATTTCTGATGCAATCAGCGCCGCTATGATATCAAATATTAACGAAAGCATTATTGTAGCGTCAATGTATTGAACATACCTCGTGATGCTTTTGGGATCTTCTCCACAAACATCATTCCCGCCTTCAGAGCCTCTACAATTATACCGACTTCCTTCTGGGTCAGCCCTCTGATACCCTTGCTCTTCGAATTCATGTTGTGGTATTCCCCAGGCAACAGACATTTGTGTGCCGGATATCCCTTGATGCAAAGGTTCTTGTTGGCGAGCGCACTGGGCATCATGATCCATGGGAAGTTCTTAAAAGAGGCGAACTTCCCATTGAGATTGTCTAGTGTAGCCATTTGTAAACTGTAGTATGAATTATGTCCCACAGAAGACTTACCAACTTGTCGGGTGAGTTCCTGCTTGAGCCACTTGAGCGGATCTCCAATAACTTGAATATCAGACACGTCATCCTTCAAGGACGGCGAAGCATCTCTGTCACAGATGTCGTCTTCACCCTCGTGGAACGCATCTTCAACCACTGAGCGTGATGTTGCATTACTGTAAGAGATCAATAAGGGAAGTGAGGAAAACGACAACCGAGACCTACAATACATGAGCCTTCAGATGTCCAATTATGGTATCATCGTTGGCACGGCAGCGTGTCTCAAAGAACTGATAGAGTGAATCAATAAAGACAAGAGAATTTTGTTGACAGTAACTGACCCCTGCAGCAGCCTGCGTCATGTGTACATGACCCAGAGAGGCATCCTGGTTGACGACATTGCCACACAAGACAATGGCGGCTTCGAACCCAAACCTTGTTGAAGCGGAATCGAGCTAAACTCAGTGTTAGCCTGCTCTCAATCCCTGCGAGAGATACCATACCAAGGTTGCCACTCGTCTGTAGAGCTTTTGGAATGATTGTTGACGTTGATTCAGAGTGGAAGCCGAGCCTATGTGATTTGCTTCATTGTATGCACTTAGAATATCCTGGTAGTCGTCTGGGAACGCCCCCTTGAATTTTTCGTAGCATAGCCTTCGCACAGCCGTACCTGGATGGTAAGTTAGACTCTACCAGAGTACATATCGGTGTTCGCTTACCTGGCGTACTGTGAAGCTCTACGTTTTGAGTCTCTTTGCCTTTACCTTTATCGTTCTGAGGCCCTCCTGTGTTGAGCCGCGCAAGCTCTCGCTCTTTGTATGCCTTGAAGTAGTTGGCATAGACATTCCAATAATTTACGCTGTGAACCTCCTGTCCACGACTCTTCAGGTATGTGTTGATAACCTGGTTAGTGGGCATCATGGTAGACTTGGTCAAGTCGTTGAAAATGTGATCGAGCAGCGTAAACCCTTCTTCAAGTTTCCCATTGGCCTCTGATGACCTCCGCCCAGTCAAGGATTGCTCCAGTCCACCCGACTCATGATCAATGGTGTCGAAATCCTCTTCCGGGAACTGCCCTTGAGTGCCATTGGTGGGGTAGTAGCTCAAGTCCAATTGTTGACTCGATGCCGTGGTAAATGCCTGGCTGCCTTGGGTGCCATGCAGAGCAGTGTTGTTGTTGGCTTTTAGTGGCGTTGGTGGGATAAGATTAAGGGGAGGTGGGTGACGAGACATGCCGTCCATAAGGTGACTACCTGCTGCGGTCATTCCTGGTACTTGGTCTGAGAGTAGTGTAGAAGAATATGTGTTATCTACCATAAACTCAAAGGCGTTGGAAGTATCTTGACTTGGCCAGCCAGACTGTGTCTCCATGCTCGCGAAAAAAAGATCATTGAGTTGTGCAGGGTGTTGTAAAGCAGGATCGCCCACAAATGGTGAGGGGTGGCGTGTTGTGTGGCTGCTTGCAGCACCTGCAGAAAAGGGGGAGGTGTGACGGCTGTTTGGAAGTGGGAGTGGGAGTGATGATGAGTTGCTGCTTCCATCCGCTGGGAGCGTAAGCGAAGATGAATTGCTGCTCGCTGCTCCACCCTGACCATCTACAAGAGAAGGTGGTGCGGGAGAAAGGTGGTGACTGTTCTCATGCAGTGTAAGCGAAGACGCATCGCCACTAGCAAGATAGGGCAGCGGGTCAGTAGACTGGACAGGTTGAGGCGAGGGTATTGGGTGGACTTGGTGGCAGATATTGGCCTGTCTTGCGATACCAACATCACGAGTGGTAGCCTTGATGTTGGTTCTGAGTCTCATTGGGGTAAGTTCAGCAGCAGGTGTCGGAATTCGACGACCACCGCCAAACTGCTCATGGACATAATCACTGCTAGGGTGGTGTATGACGGGAGACAAGTCCATGTAATCGGGAGAGGAAGAGTATGGATTTTGTGCGGCACCAGATGGGTCCGCCATTTTTTGGGTCATAGCTGTAGGTCTGTCAGTGATGTGGATTGGATAGCACTATGAACATCACCTTTTTGGTAGAAAGATGTACAGCGAAGATGGATATCAATGATGAGTACTTGTTTATTCACAAACGACTTTATAGTGTCATGTGAGGACTAGAGACGATGCGAGAGTAACTGTGACTCACTGACAATATATATGAAAGTGTTTATGTATATGAGAAACACAAATAGTGTTCTTCGAATGCTCCTAGTCGTTTGGAGCAATACTGCCTAGAGTAATAGTTCAGCAAGAAAATAAAGAACACGTTGAAAGAGAACACTGACAGAGTCTAGAAGAATAGATCAGCAAAAAAAAGGGGGGGGAGTGCGCAAATGGATAGTGTCTAGAGACCTTCAGAGAGGGTAAAGGAAATATTGTCACCAGGAGGGTAGAATTCTGGCGAGTAAGAGACATACCAATGTCGCATACTTATAAAAAAATTCGGTCCTCCGGCTCCGTAGTACAATGGGCCAATACATGTAGTTACTACTACCGGGGAACCCCCATGAAAGAAGTGACATGATGCGGCATGCCTCGATAGAATAACCTGAAGGGAGCCTCATGAGGATCTACAAATTAAAATAAAGTTACAGGTTGGCTCCAGAGCCTCGGGAGGGTATTGCATATTTAATGTGGCTCGCACAAGAGGTTCAATCTGTTATGAGGCTCGCACAAAAGGTTCAATCTGTTATGAGAGCTAGCGAGAGCCAATGAGATTGAAAATACAAACCATGCTGACTTTAAAACATGCAGTAGTACAGACAGGTTCTGGGCGCAAACCTCCCACAACAATGCTCAATGATTCCAGTGACACACCCCATCCTATCCGTACCAAGATTTAAGCAAGAATATCATGTTGAAATCATTTACTGAGTTAAACTGGTTAACTCGCACCATTACAATACAAACTTAGTGTGCACTTTGGGTCACCAATCTGAGTCTGATCTCGACAATGGGGCGCAAAGCCAAGTACTTTACTGTGGCAGACAAAATGGCAGCACGACGAGAACAGCAGATATTATACATTCAGACAGAACGGCAAGTTGTTTTCACTATCTAATACAAGCCTTGGTATTTATTTATCATTCCCTTGGCAGAGGTAAAACGGTTCAACGATCTCAGAATGCTCGCGCGTATGCAAAGTGTCATCGTGGACACGGACGTCGGACAGCACCAAAGAACAAGCCACAAACCCTGGAAACAACTCTGGTTGCATATGCAACTCTTCCCCTACCCGATTCATATCTATTTCGCAAAGCTCTCGCTGGGTCACACTTGATCGATGAGTCCGATATTGCACAGTGGGACAAGCCTCCCCCTTATCACGCTCTGCCTCCACCGGAGACAACAGATGAAGAACGATTCACCGAGAACCTGCTGGATGTGATGCACGGATATCAGTTGCGTCGGTTAAGGGAGTCTTGCACTCGGCGCGCAGCTATGTTTAATGCGGGAGGTATTGCTAGCATCATCAATGAGATCCACGAGGCACGAAAAATATTGGTTGATGGCTGGGATGAACTTGATGCATACATCACAATAGGCTTACATGCATGCGCGAGGCACAAGGTCATGGCGGAATGTTATCGGCAGTGGCAAGCGCGGAAGATCTTGAACTATCAACAGGAGGAGGATCAGTTAGCTAAGGGAGAGAATCCATATGTGTAGATAGAATTTCGAATTATATTGCGAAGTTTGTTATTACACAGCTGACGGTAGAGAAAGAGCGAGAGTGAAGAGATAATGGCGCATATAAATAATGTCATCCTCCCCCAGTCCTGTAACATGTCACCTACGGAGTACTGCACTAAGTGCTGCTAGAACCCAGACGCCGCAGTCATAACTATTATTCTGGAGACATTGGATCTGCAATGTATGTCATCAGAGCGGTTAATCGATGCTAAAAATTGAACTCACATTGAGAGGTCACGCAACCCATCCCCGGAGATCAGTCAGAATGCAATAGCCATGTTTTTTTGCCACTGTAACCAACCGAGCAATTAATCTCATAATGTCCTTCTTTGTAGTCAGTAAAGGATGTCGTCATATGGATATTAGCTTACTTTAACGTCATTTGTCCAAGGTTTTTTCTCGCTGAGGCTATCGAAAAGGTGTATTTCCTTGTTGAACTTGTGAATTACGCAAATTACCCAATGTCCAATTGAGCTGGAGGGCCGGTGTATCGGCAGGACCCATACATCCTTCTCCCAGTAACGCGTCCATGAAACATTGCACCAAAGGATATCGTCAGGTGCATTGTAACGGATGCGCGGGAGGTTGTGGGTAGAAAATATTGCGCAAGAGAGTGTTGGCGACTTCAGTTCAGAGTAGAGTAGGGCTGCACAGCTGTTGATACAAACATCATTGAGACATGCTGTGGGAGAGCGGAGCAATTGATATCTTTCGGATCAAACACTTGAGGAGGGAATTCATCATGTGGGGGTCGGATTCGCGTGACGAGAGTGTCAGGGACAATAATGTCCTGCTTGGGAATCGGGACACAAAAATTATCGATTAGTAGGTCCTAGTATCGAAGAGAGTCAGTGATGGGATACCAATTTTGGACTGAACAGGCGCACCTTAGGAAGCTCCCACACAATGGTTGCCTTAATATCATAGTTTGTGTCGTTCGACTCAACAGTGTCATCCACGTCTAATGTAGCCATTTCTTGCTCCAGAACATCGGCAAGTGTGGCTTGTTCTGAGTCAATCTGTAGGGGATCGTCGAGGTGAGCAGAGACCAGCTCATCTTCAGCATCAAGATCAAGTGCAGTGATACTCATAGTACGGATCCAATGAAGGGGCGTGCTTTGAGAGCCTCCTGAGATGGTGATGGCAATATCTACTGCTTCCTTAACATGAGTAGTGAACCGTAACGATGACACCAGCAAATTGCTCCAGCAGGATTGGAGCCGAAGAAAGTTAGACCGGCGCTGTTGCAAGGTGGCCATAAAAGGTTCACCTGGCAACTTCATTAGAAAAGAAGACTGTTTGAAATAATCTACCTACATTCTGGGATGCGAAGAGCAAGTTCAAGTGCTGCAAGTTCTTCTCCAAAAAATCGACAAAGGTTATCAGCTTCAATACCAAGTCGCACCTGTTCTTCCCTGCAGCGGTCACATTTAAGAAGAGCGCGGATGCCACCTCTAACGTCTGTATCATCCAACCACTGTGGTACTTCTCCAATGGATGGTGTGATCCACACATCCTCCATTAGGGTGGGATCGGCACGCAGTTCGGTAAGTTTTGTAGGAAGGGGAGCGGGTAATGGAATCACACAAGACGGGTTATAGAGCGAATCTAACTGTTCGCAGTACGAATTAAATTTCCTGATGGCTGTCATGAGGGCAGGTTGGCATTTAGCAATTGCCTTCCTTGTCTGTTGATGGAGTTTGGTTCCTAAGAGATCGTATTAGCGATCAAATATGATGAGAAAGGTGAGATCTTACCTAATGCTTGTTGAGCACCGCCAACAGCCCGATCTAATTTATCCCACTCGAAGAAGCCAGCTATGGCACGTTTGCGAATATTGATTTTGAGGTTGCGTGCCATTAGCAGGATACGAACAAATTCAAGGTCAATTCCATGAAGTTCAGGAAAACTGTCGTGGATATTAAGAGATGCATATAGAGCTTCAACTTTGTCCATCAAGCGATTATGGCCTCTCTCGAGGCTCTCTAGAGCCTCGAATGTGTCATTGGAGTGTGACTCTTTCGCGATCATGACCCTCGTAGCCTGCAGTGCTCTGCTCGAAGTATCGAGATCAGCTTGCAGACTTAGAACTGTGTCAAGTTCTTTCTTCAGACGAGCAAGAGCATCTTAAAAGCTAATTAATGAGGAGCTACGTGTAGTGTGAATATGCTTATGAGCCTGGATCGAAAGCTGAGATTCCTGCTGATGCAACCATTGGGATGTCAGCTCCTCAATAGGAACTTCGCATCGGTCCAAATTGCCTTGAGCTGCTGACCCTTGGTCATTGACACCGCATTTGAGACGTCGTTTGAGCCAGTCGCCAAGATCTGTGCGCATCTCTAAACCTATTGCGGCCGCTTGGTGATCAATCAGCCATAAACGATGCTGGCGCTAGGTGTTAAATGATTGGTCAGTTATAACAAATCAAGAAAGAGTCTCACAGATGAGGATCTCCCAATGCCTATCAGGTGAACAAACCGTGACCAAAGTCTCTCGGTTCCTTCTCCGTCTGACAACCCAAGTCCAACACAGATACGTGGATTATATACCAATTGGCAAGCCCATTCATGTCCATACGCGTGCATTGCCATCGTGGCGAATCGGAGGCAACTCATAACATCTTTGGGAAGGATTTTGTACTGCCATCAATCAGCATGGGGATACATATGAAGGAAGGCTGAGAAGTCTACATACCTTTGAAAGTGACCGTGCCAGAACACATCCGACATCGTATAAGGCAACAACAGTTGCCTGAAGGGGAAGCAATGAAAATAAGTGTTGGAGAAGAGCAACAGAATATTTCTGTTGCTCACCGGGTGAATCTATGTTAGCAAAGAATAAGGGAATGTCATGACAACAAATGAGAGCCATAACTCCCGTGTCGTCAAAACTGTCCATAGCTGCCTTCTGCTTTTTCCCATCAGCAGCCTTGTAAGTGTTTTCGCATCGATCAATAGCCTCATCAGGCACAAGTTTACGTGCGCTAGGAGGCTGCTTGCATTGAGGCTGCTTACGTTGAGATTCTATCCGGCGGCCGACTTCATTGACGAAATCTTTAGGAAGAAAGTAAGTCGGGTTGTAGAACCGTGGACAGTCGCCTGCAGAGCGCCGATGGCGATGGTGGAAATTTCCATCTGTTGCGACATGTATATCGCCACCATCGCCGGTAGGTTTGCCATACAATACACCACCAAAACATGCAGGACATCATTGCACAAGAAGGGGTGGACATCGTTCTTTGCGTAAGATGGGGGAAGGGGGCTGCTCTAGATGTTGCTGTGGATCAGAAGACGAAGATGCATTGACGACTGACGATGCCTCTTTGAACTGTGTAATACGATAGCGACATTGTTGGATAAGTGACTCCAGTTGGTGTTCGACTTGGATTTGAAGGATATCAAACCACTGCACTGCATGGCCAAGGCTACGACGAAAAGGTTCACGAATTGATTCACCCTTGGAAAAAAGATATCAGCAGTGTTCAGAGGCACGTTGATTGGCCTACTGTTTTGTCCATCATTTGAAAGCCTCGGCGAGAATAATACGTTTTGAGAGCAGATGCAAGTGCATTAATCGCGTCGCAAGAGCGCTCGAAGAGCGCCCGGTAGAAGGAGAGCAAGTCGATGGAAACTGCCATACGAGGCTGGGACGGTGCAGTAGGGAAGAGACCGTGGTGGACGAGGACTTGGGCAAGTGAGGAGCAGTTGCAGCTAAATACATCAATGGACGAGAATCCTGATGACATATTAAACATCATAACTTGTGTGTGATTGAGGACGTACGGTCAAAAAACAAACATATCAAAGTCGTCCGTTTCCCTGCGCATTTGAGAGTGACGCATGCAGATATGACTTCATTGATTTGTTCCAAGGGTTGGCCATGTGTCCGCGCAGTATATTGGACTTGAGGTTTGACCAGAGTTGGGATGAGGGCTGACCAGCTATGATATAGTGCATCAGTCGATTTGTCAGGCGAAATGCGACGTCCGGATGGCAGTTGTTCGGCAGTGAAGTCAGGTTCTGTCTCCGGCCCAAACATATCTATCTCCGTATCATTCAAGTTCAAGTCAGTGGGGATATTTTCTGTGGGACCAGGCACTTCCTTCATTGTACTGTTCACAGGTGAGGATGGTGACTGTGATGCCTTATGATGTTCCGGATTCATTAAGTGTTCCATCTGAGCAAGAAGGCGGCGCCATTTGGCCTCTGCACCAGGCAATTCGATCACTATTTGACTCTTCTTCCTGTTACGAGGTTGATACAGGCTCACAAAATGGTGGCCAAGACCAGAAGATACAACTTGAGACTTGCGAGATAGTCGTGCCTTGCCAGGCGTCGATGGTGCCAAAGACATGGTTGTTAGAAGTAGCACAGTTGAACACATGTAGAGTATACTTATATGATAATATAGAGGGAACACTACAATCTTACAATCAGGTCAGAGGGTGGGCATGTCGAGGCTCCTCGGAGCCAACTGTGCCTAACGTGCGGCTACCCAGAGGCCAATTGGTAAAGCAAGAGGCTATTATGGGTGGCACCAGAGGCGCACGGAGTTATTACAGATGAAATCTATTATTAGCCTGCTGGGAGGTCGGGTCTCATTGATAACTTTCCCATAACATAGAAACCGGGTCTACGAGACCCTTTATTACCACCGAGAAGTGCTGCCTGAGGTGAGTCAGAGCGAGGCACATCAATGTGAATATGTAGATGTTTGGCGCGAGTGGAACGAGGCGACGAGGACTAGAACAGAAAAATAATCTCAGTCATTGCAAATGGACTCTTTGTATATTTAGTATGTACCAAGAACAGAAAAATACTAGGTACTTGTTAGCTTTTGAATGTACTAAGTGAAATAACGAGCACGTACATCTCAGTTGTTGCAAATGGACTGAGATGCTTGAGCGGCTGCACGAAGCCTTTTATCATACAGTAAAACTCGGAGAGAGAACATATACATCTGAAACATATGTATTTGACACTCGGCCGAATGACGATGCTCGATGCGTTCATACCTGGTCCGATGTCACTCACTTCCGCGTCTCTTCTGGCTCGGCTTCGGACTTCAACACTCCCCCTCGAACGTGATCGAGGCTCATGAGGCCACAGAGCCTTTGCAGGCATGGGCTAGGCAAGGCCTTCGTGAAGGCATCAGCGACGTTGTCGTCCGTAGGACAATAGATGAGCTCGAACACTCCATTTTTGACGTGCGTTCTAACGAAATGGTAGCGTAGGTCGATGTGCTTGGTTTGGGAGTGGAATTTGTTGTTGTTGGTGAGAGCTATGGCTGCTTGATTGTCGCAGTGTATAGGCGTGGGGAGTTCGGGTGCGTCGTAGAGCTCCTCTAGGAGGAGTTGAAGGTACAGTAGTTCATGGGCTACCGTCGTCAGAGCTATATACTCAGCCTCCGCCGTAGAGAGAGCAATCAGAGGTTGCTTGCGTGCACTCCATGCGACCGGACCACTGTTAAGCATGACAACGTACCCCGAGACAGAGTGACGATGGACCTGCGATGCCCAATCCACATCTGCATAAGCTTCCAGCCCACCTCCTCCACCTCCCAGCGTAATCCCATAGTCAGCCGTCCCCTTCAAATACCTAAACACCCGCTTGGCAGCCTCCCAATGGGCTATGCCGGGATTGCGCATGAATTGCGACAAGGTTGCCACACTGAACGCTATGTCCGGTCGCGTGCTTGTAGCCGCGTACATTAAGGACCCTATTGCGCGCTGATAAGGCACATTTTTCATCCCTTCGGCCTGCGAATGAGTGGCTGGGGACTGAGCATCAGAGAGAGTGGTTCCAGTCTCCATGGGAGTGTGTGCTGTCTTGGCGTCAGTGAGGTTGAAGTGTTCAAGGATAGTGTCGACATATGCGTGCTGAGAGAGAGTGATGGTGCATGCCATACGGTTTCATTGAACCTTAAGGCCCAGGAGCCAATTTAGCTCTCCAAGATCTGTGATTTCAAAGTGTTCTTGGAGCTGCGACTTGAAGGACTCGATGTGACGAAGGTAGTGAGAGGTGACAGCCATGTCATCCACAGATACGGTAATGACGGTATGTTCGTCATCTGTGCGCTTGAAATAAATGGCCTGGTCAACTTGAGAACGCGTGAATCCAAGTTTATAGAATACTCCTGCGAGTTCCTCCGCCCATTCGTACCCTGCCTGCTTCAATCCTGGTAAACTCCTCTTCAGCCTCAGCACCATCTTCTCCTCCCCCTGCTTCAAGTACCCCGGGGGCGCCCTCATATATATCTCCTCCTTTATCTCGGCGTAAAGGTAAGCGCTCTTGATGTCCACTTGATGCACTTCCCAGTCTCATTGTGCCGCCATGGCAAGGACCGTTCATATGCTGGTCATATTCAAGGTAGGAGCGAAAGTTTCGAAGTAGTCGAGGCCGTATTGTTGACGCTGACCGTTGGCTACCAGGCGTGCTCAGAGCTTCAACTTCTGGCTGTCGGGGCCATGTTTTGTGGCTAAGACGAAATGACAAGGAATCAAGTTAGCACCACGCGGTAAGTCCACTACCTCCCATGTGCCCAGCTTCTCGAGCTGACTAATCTCGTAATTGATTGCTTCCTGCCATTCTTCGGCATCTGGGCCACTCAAGGCCTGACTCAGCATTGGTTCGCCCACTGCAGCCGCAAGTGCGAGATCCTGCCATCGGGTAACTTCTTCTTCTTTCTTTCCTTCTAACTCCTCTTCCTCCAGGTGGGCTTGTGCCTCGGCAGCGAGGGTGGCTGTTTCCCCATTGTGAAGATCGGCATAATAGCCTAGAGGGGGCCGTACTCTAGTAGTCCTGGGCGCCGGTGGAGTTAGCGGTGGTTGGCATGGTCTGGCAGGGGTTGAAGGTGGTTGGGGAGAAGCAGGTACATGTTGATTTGACGGTTCCTGGACGTTAACTTTTGCTACAGGGTTAGACTCCCCCTCGGCCAGGATACCATCCGCAACATTGACACTCAAAGGTACGAATGTTACATTTCTTTCAACAGAAACACGCCTCTTACCCTCCCAATAGACTCAATACCCCTTGCTCTCCCCATCCACACCGACAAACTTGGCTGTCTCTGCCCTCGAGTCAAGCTTCCCAGCGCTCTCCACATGTACAAGAACCTCACAGCCGAATTCGCACGCTTGCGACAGGTCAGGACGCCTATGATGGACAAGCTCATAAGGTGTGTGTCCAGGTATCGACCTGGATGGGAGTCTGTTCTTTAACCAGACAGCATAACTGACGGCCTCCGCCCATAGGAACTTCGGTGCACCTCGTCCCAGCAGCATAGCTCGTGCATGCTCAACAAGTGTGCGGTTCAAGTGTTCTGCCACCCCGTTTTGCTGAGGGGAATCATGGACAGTCAACTCTCGCTTGGTCCCACTCTCCTTCAGCAACGCCTCAAACTCAGCACTGAGGTATTCGCCTCCCCTGTCCGACCGTAGCGTCTTGATTCCAACGCCATGTTGGGTGGTAAGTCTGGCTTGATACTGGCGATACGCGTCAATGGCCTCACTCTTGTGTTTCAGGAACGTTACGACGGTTTCCCGAGAATAGTCATCGGTGAAGGACATGTAATAACGTGTGCCTCCGAGGCTCTCATTTTGCGCCGGGCCCCAAAGATCGGTATGTATTATTTCACCATATCCTTTTGCCCTTTTTGTAGCCTCCTTGGGGAAAGGGACTCGTGCTGATTTCGCTTTTATGCAGGTGTCGCAGAACTCCGGATCAGTGGATGCGTCCACATCCAAACCCTCCACAAGACCCTCCTTGACAAGATGCTTCACAGCTGATTGGGAGATGTGCCCTAGGACGCGATGAGCTTCGCATAACGTAAGTTTTTTTTTTGCTACATTCGCGCGCTCCTGCTGACGATTATTGACACTGTAGAGACCTTCCACTTGCAGTATTTCCGCAATGACCTTTCGGTTGGGCCCAGGTGAGAGTATCTTGCACATATTTCCCTCAAAATGGACTGCTAATCCGGCAGCGGTGATCCTATTCGTGGATATGAGGGTAAATGCCATCTTGGGGGCATAGAGGGCACTTTTCAGCGTCACGGAGGTACGTGTGGCTCCCAGTGGTAAGTCGATCTGGACATCCCCGCGTCCTATAGCACTGACCATTGACCCATCAGCGGTATGAATGTCCTGCGGTGGGATGGAGACGAAATTGGAGAACTTGGCGCGGTCAGGGCAAAAATGAGAGGTAGCACCAGAGTCCATGATGGCTCCTCGTCTGCTTACAGGTACGTCAAGATTTTTCGCTATAGCTGCTAAATCTGACGTCGCGAATGCATATTCATCCTGCATGCTAGAGTGTTTGGCTGCATTTGCACCTTCTTTTGGGCCGCGTGTTCCCTTCCGCTGGGTCTGTCTTGGACCCTGTCCCTCCTTCCCACCTCCCGGCCTCCAGCAATCCTGCTTATAATGGCCCTTTTGGTCGCAATTAAAGCAGGTGATGTCTAGGTCGTCAACCTCCGCCTGCGTGGCTGTGGAGCCATCAGGCTTTTCGACAACGCCTGTCTTTGCATCCCTTTTGTACGGGACGGGTTTTACTGCACGGCCGTCGACATAACGCATCAGACCTCTAGCACCGATCGCCGTCAACATGCGTTCCTTGTAGGTTATCCAATTGCTGCCATCTTCGGCTAACTTTGGTATGTTGAATAGTGCGGACGTGGTGCTGGGGAGCGCAGAGTCAGTGGCCATGTCAGGGCTCATAACCTGTAGATGTTTGGCTTGAGCGGAACGAGGCAACGAGGACTAGAACAGAAAAATAATCTCAGTCGTTGCAAACGGACTCTTTGTATATTTAGTATGTATCTAGAACAGAAAAATACTAGGTACTTGTTAGCTTTTGAATGTACTAAGTGAAATAACGAGCACGTACATCTCAGTTGTTGCAAACGGACTGAGATGCTTGAGCGGCTGCATGAAGCCTTTTATCATACGGTAAAACTCGGAGAGAGAACATATACATCTGAAACATATGTATTTGACACTCGGCCGAATGACGACGCTCGATGTGTTCGTACCTGGTCCGATGTCACTCACTTCCGCGTCTCTTCCGGCTCGGCTTCGGACTTCAACAGAATAGAGGGGGTTCATCCGCGAAGAAACGACGAGGAGGCATTTATTGGCAAGCATAGATTTGTGTAGTTCATATATCATAATTTTCGGTCAGGAGTCAGAAGTCCTAGTCAGGTAGTCAGGTAGTCGGCTGGTGGTGCAAATACGATCACATGACTATTCAAAGCCCCCCGGCAAATTCCTATCAACTATGTTGACGTGCTATCTTTGCTAAGTTTGCTTATCCTCCCTCTAATTCTATACCAATACCAACACCGTTAATTCCAATCACTCGACAGGTTTCTGCAATTGTCACCATCACTCACACTGAAGACCACCTCAACCTGGCCAACAGCACAGTGTTTTCCATGACAATATGCTGTCTGGATGGCCGACTTAGGTGAGTGTATGCACATACATGCATACGTAATGTACTTATTTCATCCATCAGATAGATCCAGCATCGTCTACTCGCATCATCGATATCGATTTTACAGCTTCCACAGACTCATCTGCTCATCAGGTACAAAACTATCTACTATATCTAAATTTGTCTGACCATTGCTACTGTAGTCTCTTCTGCAAATCCAACATACGCTTATAAGACATCATATGTCAGATTCAGTCAGAAAGAAAGGTGAGTTGTCCATCTTTGTGTTTTGCACAGTCGATGTTACTCTGTCTTATGGTTTCTTAGTGTTCGAAGCGTTTGACGCACTCACTCTACATTTTCCCCATTGTTAAGTTATAGTTCTTTTGAAATTCGCGATGCCTGTTCTGTTCGTACACCACTCTGAAGTCGACGTTCTCATTGTCATTATTGCTGCTGGCCCTGGCAGATGCAAGAGTGATTGATGTCTGCATCGTCAACCAAAGGTCAGTGGTTCGATCACTTCCATTTCTGCTTTTAACTTGACTTTGCGCTAGAGCTCTCAAAATAACCACTGGTCATAGTCATGGACGTTCACCTCGCATTATCATAGCGGTACGTCTTTGTCTTTCGAGACGGGCTTGCAGAATATATGACTGATATTGATGCAATCTACTAGGTTCTCACACTCTAAATCAGAGCAACCCCGGCAGTCACAGAATGATGCCTTTCCTACACCTCCTCGCAGTTCCCCTGGGCCGGCACCTCCTTGCAGCTCCCTGGCGCCTGTTCAACGCGAACCTTCTCCTTTGAGCTAACCTCTGACGTCTCTTCCACCTGCTGGATACAAACCGAAATGAGCAGCGCCGGTGCCTCGAGCTGGTGCCCGCGGTTGTGAGAGTCCTAGTAGCTATTTTTTCTTGCAATCAAAACAGTTCGAGAGTTCGAACGTGTTCTGAACTAGGCTTGGAACCGTTCACTCAATTGTACCTCACTGCTTTGTACTACCAGTAATTCAATTCATTGCATTGTTATATCCGAACGCAATTACAATGTCTGATAAATCTGAGTGAAATTCAAATGCCTGATGTACATAGCAATGTCTGATATATCGGTACGCTAGCTTAATGTCATATGGCAGTCGCAATGTCAGAATTGAGTTTCCTAACATTGCCTTACATTGGGACCCTGCGCCAGATACATATGGCAGGTATGGTGGCTCCGACATGGTAATATATGACCATCTCTGGATTCGGTAATTTTGGTGATGACATTAACCCTCATCTAAATCTCAGGTTCAAGCAGGGTAGCTTTCAGACCGCCGCTCTTGCTGTTCTCAAGCAGAACGACGTTCGTGCACTGGACCTCCACCCAGAGTTGCCGCAGTTCAGGCAGTTGAAGAACTTCTTCAAGGGCATTTCTGTCACACTCATCCACCGGCCAGGCCTCAGATTGTACCTTCGACATTACCCATCGTTATCAGCCCAATGGCATGCACCTTCGTTGGATGCACAGCCTCCTTCAAGCTGGTCAAAGCGCCCTGCCAGCAGACGCAAAAGTATTGATGGCGGATCTCAGCCTGCTTTTAGTGACTCAGAAGTGCGCAACTCCTTCTATGTATATCCACCCGTTGAACTTAACTGTAATTAGTCGTCTTTCTCCGCCAGTCTCAGTGTTCGGTCGAACGCGCATGCCGTCAAATCCAACGAGTCCTTCAAGCATTACCATAGGACTATTCTCCCTCAACTCGACCGGCTTGTCACCTTTCGCGTGGCCACACTCCCGCACAAGCTTACTACTCCCAGGTATAATTCACTTCCGCAGGTGAACAGAACACTTGTATGTGAGTACAATGGAACACTTTGATGATATTCTACATGCACTAATTGCTAGTACTACCTCCCTGACGTTCTATAGCATTCAGTATCGACGAAAGAAGTTGTGTTTGCCTATCGATTGCTGCTTCAATCCCTCCCGCAACTTTCAGCAGTGCCTCGGCTACAGACAGACTCGGACTCGGAGCTTCAAACTGGAATGCACGTGCTAACTTCCGCCGTTTCTGTGGTGCTTCACGGGCTGCGGGTACTGATGCGCCCCGCTGTCCATTGAAAAGGTCATGGTCAAAGTAGCGCCGAGGCTGTTTGCAGTTGTCATCGGTCAGGTTGATTCAATCCTGAGTAGTATTACTTACCGTGACAGCCTGAGTGTATTCTTCAACTTGAATGAAGTTAGACTCAGAGTGCTGTCTCTTCTGTACATACGTCACGCGCGTCGCGCGCGGCGCGCTTAAACACCAGTGCAATAATTTTACAAGTCAAACTACGTACAAAGGACATCTATATGTTGGCAATAGTGCGTGTGAGTCGTGTATCCTAAAAACCATATGGTCCAGGCTCCAGCCGTCTGATGCACTTCGGCTGTGGTCTCCTCCATTCCACATTATTTGGGTCTGGCCATAAGGAAGCATTGTCCCATTGAACTTGAGGTGGTGCGCCGGGAGTCGAGAAAAACCCTATGGGCCAAGTAGGCAAATAGCACATCTCCTACACGACAAGGTCTGAGTCATTTCGCAAACAAGTAACTTGATTTTGTTACCTCGAAACCACAGGCCGATCGGCACTTCACCCACACGCTCCAATCTAACTAGGAGAGCAACTGTGTCACATCCTCCTCCCATTCGCCCATGAGGGTGCGTATGTGATCAGTTTCAGGGCGTAGTTCCTGCCAGTGGGGATAAAGGGGGTCGACTCCAAGAATCATTCCAGACGCCCACATCTTCGTGGCGACGCGGCATACTTCATGCGTAGTTTTCCGGACCGCCTGCAGGAGCAAGCGTTCGGAGGGCATCAGTGTCGTTCCATGACACACTATGAAAGCCGTGTGCGATGTAGCACATTCCCGAAAAACTGGCACAGCCCACGAATTTGTCGCGTTGGCAGTGACGGAGTTATTGGGAGGTAAAGCTGCAAACACAGTGTAGAAGAGCAGTCGTCTCTGAATTTGTTGTGCGTGGTTAAAGATTGACCCATCGTCTAACGTCAGGTTCAAAAGGTGGTGCATGAACTCTAGGCGGCTGGCATATTGATCAACCACCACCTGCAAGACCGTTTTCCAGTCAATGCCGCTTGTTGTCACAGGTGGTCGTGCTAACGCTTGAGATAGCCTGCCTTGGACACGTTCTATATCCTCCGATAATATTCCTCCTACTCGATGATCCCACCGCTTCAAGCCTACACGGCGCGGCGCCAAGGAGGGAACAAGAGCGGTACCGTAGAAAGAGATGAGCCCAGAAAAATCAAGCATAATTCGGCTTTCTCCTGGATAATGATCGTGCCATGAAGAAGAATGCGTTACTTCCACAGCGGGATGCACTTATGTCCGAGAATAAATCAGATCTACGTCAAAACATGGACATGGTTGCTCACTAGTTTTAGTGTCCTCAGGCAGCTCCGGATTTGCGCCGCCGCTGAGGCGAGTGCTTTCGAGATTTAAGAATCAAGCGACCTCCATGTGAGAGGTGAAGTTGCAGATCATAATCTCACTATGAATGTTGTTAACAAAAAATTGCCAAGGAGCTACATATGAGTTCGCACAAATTCACTTGCATCCTATAATTCGCAAATCAGCGTCAGCATTGACGCATCTTCACATCCAACGAACCTCACAAAGCCATTCATCCCATATTTCTGACCCCGTTTACATAGATCCTTTATGCGCTGCTCTTCATTTTTCACCCACTCAGGTTTCATTCCCGACCATGCCACGAGATCTTGGGTGTCCATGGTGCCCTCAAGGAGTTTCGCACCGCTGCTTCCATCAAAATAGAGCACTTTCATTGGCCGAGTGACTGTAAGGGTGAGGGGCCAGCATCCTTTTTCGATTGACCCTTGGCAGGAAAGTATGGAGTGGTCTGGCTCTACAGCCACGCAGTCGGTAAATGGGGACCGGCGGCTCCATGGTAGAGAACGGGGATGATTCCTGGGACTATTGTATGACCTGCAGGACATAAATGATAACATGAGTCATCTGCATGGTGTTCAGTATTTTCAGACATGCCAATACGATGACGTGTATTTGGGTAGAGTTGAAGCAGAGAATTGACCGTTTCGAACACTAGATGTCCTGTCACATTCACCGCAGGTCCTTCATCAGGACGTCCCACGGTCCGAGATCATTTTTGAGCCCCGGGTGAAAGGAGATGGCTCGACAGAGGTATCTGTGCAGTCAGAACCCGTTCAAAGGCAAGAAAAAGCCAAACGGCTTTCCTTGTAGACAGCATTCCGACAAAGGGCCAAGGACCTTCGTAACCTTAGTTATATACTGGGCGCTGCATCTTCCGTCAAGGCATCATCCAGTTTGATTCCCTTCAACTTGAAACTAATCGGTAATTGTGATAGCGGTTGGGGTGGTGCGCAGTTTTCAATGTTCATTCTTCTATAATCCAGGCCTATTATCTTCCAGCCCCAGATTTTCAACGATAGGAATAATGATGGAAGATGTACGCAAATATTATTTCCTGAACTTCGCCCAGGTTGCACGCAGCTGTGCGGGTACTTAGCTACCGCAGTCAAGACTGTAAGTTACTTACTACTAGTGCACAAATAATATCGCGGAGTTTCAAAAGTTTTGTGCACATTCAAAACTACTCACTGTCAGTAGAAAAATTAACCCCATAGCTGCAATATGGCCCATCTTGATCCCGTTTCAAGCGACGATGATGCTCCGGAAGCAGTTTCTCACTCTATTTCCAAACGGAAGGCCAAGCAGGAGAAGAAAACCCTTCGTGACTTTGAGGCAGAAGAAAACGCGCGGAAGAAGGCACAAAACCGGGAAAGAGATCGGAAATTGAAGGAGCGGGCGGTTGTTACGCGTCTGGGGAAGCTTTCAGATAATACAATGCGGAAGGGAAAGCGGAAAGTTCCAAGGGAATCCAATATCGAAAGTGACGGGTCCTCCAGTCAGGAGGATGATATTGTGAAGGATAACACGGCGGAGATGCGAATGCGCCGCGCAATGGAGGACGCTGCTACTGAAATGGATGACGGTGATGACGAGAATGGCGACGGTGAGCTAGAAAATCTGATGGATGGGGGATCAAGCGAAAGTGGAATAGATGAAGAGATGGCAGAGTTCGATGCTAAAAGCGGATCAGAGGAGGATGAGGAGATGGCGAGTGACAGTGAGGACGAATCAGAAGACGAAGACCGGCCTCCGTCAACGAAGTTATCGGCCAAAGGACAATATCTGGAAGATACACTTTTCGCGTCTGCATTTGCTTCGCAAAGTGCGCATGCAATGGCAGATACTACTGCAACCAAGTCACTACAAAAAGTGCAACCATCAAAAAAACGGCAACGACGGCCACTCGCGCGTGCCAAAGACCTACTTGTCGGGTGCGCATCTTGGACATTTTGCTGTGAGCTTTCTGATCAGTTCATAATTACAGAACTCGTACTATCCGTACCCTACCCGATTCACTTGGGTCCAAAGTTCGTTCGACAGCTCACACCATCCCATCACAAAAAATACGCAAATTTTTCGATCAAAGTCTTGCTATTAAAGGCCGGTTGGCGTCTGCTAAAGCAAAAGCACGAGGATGGGAGAGACGGCCAGGTGAGTCGTGGTCTGATATTTATTGCTTTCACTCATGTGAATCGGGGTTTAGCGAATGTCGGTGTAATGAAATGGACTGGAGCACCTTCTGGTTTTGTTCGCGATAAGCAATAATGAAACGCGCCTATTAGTTGCGACAATTAAACCCAAAGACGAAACCCCGAATGGCGATCGATTAGGGCACCTGTTACATTCAGGAATCTCATAGAGGGATATCCCACGACTGTTCATCTGAGATGGAAAACGTTGACTAAGTCATTCGCAGTGACCGTTGTACCCGAGAGAGTTTACTCAGTGGCTTCTTCGTGCAGACCTTACTGGAGGCTTGGACTACAATGGTTCCAAGTAGAAGCGTAGCTAGTAAGTTACAATTGTTTCGATAAATTTGTGGAAATTGAAAACTGATGACCGCCGTCCACCCACCCTCAACTGATGCATTCAATGTAAATTATAGCGTGGAGGATGTATTAGCTCTAAGCGTATTCCGGCACACTGAAAGCGCTGAATTCTATTGTCCCCGACACCCACGACTAGCCTTGAATTTCTCACAGATTTTCTGACTTGTTTGTTCTCGAAGTGAGGGGCGATGATAACTTATAAGTAGCGTGCTCTCGGTTCACACTGCACAGCTGGATCATTAATACTACAGGTACTTCTCCACGAAGAAAACATGGCGTAAGATCAGCATCAGCGTAGGGCAGAACGCGAACACTTCTGCATTGAGGCTCAGTGGCTACTAGACTTGAGCCGACTAAACATGAGAGGAATGCAGTACTTATATGGTAACAGACGGACAGCCAAAGTCGGAGACTGGCTGGTTGCCGCCGCTAGTACTTAGTCCAAGTTTGCTGTACAGTAGCTTCAACGTTCAACAACCGCACGCTTATTTGGCTTCCATCACTGCAATTTGGATTGCACGCGATCGCATTGCTATTGTCATATACAAGTACTGGAGTTTGGGAGCTTCCACACAGAAGGCCCGGACGTCGCTAGGCTTCTATTTCGGAGTCCGGAGGCGGCCTGCAAGTTTGGGTATATCACATTACTGGCCTCAATGGCTTGTTATCGGATGCTTGCGTCGATGAGCTGACCGTTTGATCGCCACTGGCCCAATTCCTCACTGTATGTCGTCGCATGAGTCATTTGGGTGCAAAGTTATTGAGGAAATTTGGGCTTAGGATTCCGGCCATTCAAGTTCAAGGCCTTACTTAAATAGCAGTGACACGGCACTGCCGCCTGCTTATCGCTTAAGCGCTTATGTATATGTGCAGTACGGAGGACTGTCTGTTTCGTTCTGGCACTACAGGTTCCAAGCGCACGGAACACCAATTAGTCCGGTACTGGATACAATTTTGGTTGGTTTCTGTTGTTCTTCCATGTGTCCCGGTCTACTGGATTGCTCAGGTTTTTCGCGTAGACGCCTTGATAATAGGTATGGCACCCATTCTTTTGTTATCAAATGTCGTTTATTTTCAACAGGTTTGCCCGTCTCCACAGCGGTTCAAACAGAAATCTAGGGCTATGCGAATGTGTGCAAGCGAACGCTTGCCATTGGAGCCGCAATGGGAATCGTTTATAACACTATCGAATTCATGGAATCCACCATCTTCCCCCTCCCCACTAGTGCCCTCGCCGATGCTCGCCGACTACTTACAAAGACGTGAGAAACTTATCGCAGAGGATCGCGCGCTGCGAATAGACCATGTTCGTGCCAACTATTCAGCGGCCGAGATCAAGGCAGACAAAGTCGTGCGCTCCATCCGTGCTAAAGAAGCTGTATCTGTTTGGGGAGCTGATCACGAAGACATCCCTCACCCATACCCCGGGATGGAGTTCCTGAATGGTAAGAGGCTTGACTCGCGCTTAGCACTTCCTCTCACATTCGCGTGCAGCCAAAGAAATTATTGTAAAGACAGATCTTTTTAGCAAAATAGTCTCCAAAGTAAGCATACCATATCACTGTACTTCCCGTCACCTACCATCTCGACCGCGGTTTTCCCGTAGATGCCAAAGGGTGGACTGTTGCATTTGCACCAGAACGCCTCGGTGGAGGCCAGAACGGTGCTTGATCTGGCACTAGGTCATCCCGCGATACATATCCGTGTCCCGGGTCCGTTAGACGCGGCTTCTCTCGAAACTGTATTGCCCAAGATCCAGCCGATTCCCGTGGAACAGTATCCTGCCGCCGACGCAGTTGGTATCACGGATCTTTTATATACCGGCGGCTGGGTTCCTATCAACAAGGCCCGAGAGCTCTTCGATCCTGCACTAGGCGGCCCTGCTGGATTTGATAAATGGGTACTTAGCGCCTTTGTGATCAATCCCAGTGATGCGTTTAAGACGTACAATACGCCGATGAAAGTGAGTTCCATATTAACATGCGACCTGCTGAACACGTCGTTAATGCGAGGGACTCGCAGATCTGGCTGAAGTTTGGGAGTACGTTTGCCGTGACCGATGTAAGCATGTAGCGTTCTGGAAGTCAAGATGTGAGCCTGTACTCATGAACCTTAGCCCATCATCCGATTTGTGCCGATTCAAAAGGAATACTTGCGGATGTGCATTCGCTCGTCGATAGATGATGGCATCTCGTATATTGAGATACGGACTAGTTTCTTCAATAAGTGAGTCGGAAAGACGTGGATATGCTTGAGATGCCTGACATTTCGTCAGATATATACTTGCAGAGGATGCAAAGACCAAACTTGAACTACGTGAACTACTCTTGATATTTCGAGAGGTCATAAACGAAGTGAAAGTGGAAATGAAGGCGAAAGGCCGGGAAGACGATTTCGCCGGGTTGAAGGTTAGTTTGGTTTCGATTGAAGCTACTCGAGCTCAGACTGATATTCTTCTTAGATTATCTATAATACCCTGAGAATTATCACTGTCGAGGAACTGGAAGCAGAGCTAGATCGGTGCAGCAGATTTAAGCAGGAATTCCCGGACCTTATTGCTGGCAAGTCCGCGGTTATGTTTGATGTCAACAGACCCAGATCTGAGTGTTCTATCTTACAGGATTTGATCTCGTGGGCCACGAAGATGGGGAGGAGTGTAAACCACTGATTTATTACGCAGAGCCGCTTCTGCGTTTCGCGGAGCAGCATCCGGACATCCCATTCATTTTTCATGCTGGTGAAACTCTGGGCGATGGGTCTGCAGCGGATATGAACCTGTATGATGCTATTCTACTTGGAACAAAGCGTATCGGACACGGGTTAGTTGCATTGTATGGCATAAAGCGCTCGCTAACTCATGTTGTATAGCTTTTCACTAGCCAAGCATCCCAAATTGATGCAAATTTGTCGAGAGAAGAAGATAGCAATTGAAGTCTGCCCTATATCGTGAGTGAGCCATGTAAGTAGATGCCTCCAACTTATCTTAATGTTCCAATAGAAATGAAGTGCTGGTAGAATTTTTTATATACTGCCTCCGAACCTATGTTGACTCAACAAATGATAGCGTCTTACCTCATCGATGCCTATGCACCCTCTCCCGATAATTATGAACCAAGGCATTCCGGTGGTACTGTCTTCAGACGATCCTGCAATGTTCAATAGTATGGGGTTGTCCTTTGATTTCTTCCAGGTGACCTCTTTCTTGTTTGTCCCTTAGTAGAACAAGACTCATCACTTTCTTCAAGGTGCTAGTGGCAAGTGAAGTTACGGGACTCCTTACTCTCGGCCAGATGGCCCGTGACAGCATTACTGTGAGTCATATCCTTGTCCTCGTCTCTTGCATTGTGTAATGTTCCCTGGGTAGTATTCTATGCTCGATGAACGGAGCAAGCGCAAGGCCATGGATGCATGGGAAAGACGGTGGACCAAATTTATAGAAGAGGTTGCGGCGATGAGTCCATGAAACTTTGGCTCTCGGATTTCACTGTAAGTCACGTCCTTGTGCTTATCCCTTGCATGGTATGATGTTACCTGTGTAGTTTGTCGTGCTCGGTGAACGGAGCAGATGCTCAGTCATGGATGCAGGGAAAATATGGTGGGCCAAGTACATAGAAGAGGTTGCGACATTGAGTCCGTGAACCACTCACAGAAATACCGAGATATAGAGCTCTGGATGTAGTAGAAATCATCAAACTTGTGTAATTGTTGTCCAATGATAGCGACTTAGAAGCCACTTCCGACCTCAACCTAGCGATTTGTGTGGGGACTACTCATGTCGCTACCGTTTCTTTGGCCTCATGAAATCGCCGGTGGTCCAAGAGCTGCATGCACATGCTTTGAGTGACACAACTTTCCCGGGTCGAGGTTGCGAAGCTGAGAGTGATGATGATGGGTGTATTATTTACAACGGCACTGTTGCTCATTGATATTATTCATGGCGTACTTTGCATGAGCGCTGTATTTCAGATGATTACGGAAAGCAGCAAGCGCAATGTTGAATGCATGTAATTAAGTAACTGTGGATTTGTCTCTGAAAGGATGTTGAGATGTCGACTTGCACGATTTACTCTATGAACGACCATTTTCGGGGCTTAGTCACACATGGCGGAGCTTCCAACTTGTTTTGCACGTCGAGCCAAGCGCAGTCTTGTAGGAAAGTAATATCGCTCGCAATGTTCCAAAACGCACTTCGGACATCTGTATCTGTATGTCTTTCCATCAGGTGTGCTCATATTTGGTGTATATTAACCATTTCGTCAGCTTTCGCTCTGCAGGAGCACTGTTTCCAGCTGTCTAAGGTCGCAAACGTTCCGTCGATTTCTATCTCAGGAGTCTCGCACGAAAATACAGGCTGCAGTGACCGAATACCCTGTGGTGCTATTTATGAAGGGCAACCCAGAGCAGCCTATGTGCGGTTTTTCACGAGGGGTCGTGAAGATCCTCAGTGCTTTCGACATTCCACCTGAAAAGTTCAAGACATATAATGTCCTCGAGGATCTAGAGCTCAGGACCGGAATTAAAGAATTCTCGTAAGCCATGCTTCATTTGACATTGTCACCAAGCCTCAGGTACTTCTCTTGCAGGGAATGGCCAACCATCCCACAACTGTATGTGAACGGGGAATTTGTAGGTGGGAGCGACATTGCTTTAAGCAGTAAGTCAGGGTCGCATTGCCGAATATATTTCTAACTCAAACTATTCAAAGTGTTTCAATCTGGAGAGTTGGAAACGCTCCTCGAGCAGCATGGGGTTATTCCGAAGGCATCAGAATCTCCCTCTTAGTGTACCACACGGGTAACACCTAGGATCGGAAAGTTGACACCGTACCCGCACGAACCTGCACCCGCCAACACCGTATAATCAAATAAATATTACTACTCTTCCTTGCCCTCCTCATCTTTAACTTCGTTTCGCTCTCGCTTTTGATTCCTCACAGATGCTAGAAGGTCCTCCTTCTCCAGAAGAACACTTCTTCCCCGGGCTCTGAGGCCGAGAAAGTCAAGAATTGTTTATGGTGCAAGTTGGTTGCGAGTAAAGTGAAGGGGCTGCCGGCCCTGCGAGAAGACACGTTCAACCGCAGTTGAGATAATAAGTACTGATTCATTGGAAGAGGCTTCGAGGGTGGCAAACCTTGGACACCTAGTGTCATTCAATGCAACGTTGGATAAGTACGGCCGTTGTTTTGCTAGCATGCAAGTGGGTCCTCGGTCTTCATGCACAGGTAGTCGAAGGAACTCGTCCAGCTCGCTACCAGTTGTACGAGACATGGAACCAAGTGAGTAGTCGCCGAAGTCATCTTCCTCCTGTATATATAGTTGTCAGTGTTCATGTAGGATTAAATACTCGTGTTGAAAATTTGAGGGAGAGAACAGATTTTGGCAAACCGATGACTTTGTACATGAAATACATAATTGTCCGAATCGATACCTACAGCAATTGTACGAAGCTGTGATCATGCGGAACGTTTTAGATCTGACGGCTAGTCCTGACTAGGCCGCCAGCCTACTTGAAGTCACTCTATGCTGGTCCGATACGAGCCTAGTGTCCGTCAAACCGTCGTTCAAACGTTCAAGTCTGGCTCATGAAACTTATTGGATATATTCCTGGAAAAGATGAAGTAATGCGTAGGCGCGCATCATTTACTGGAAAATCAGGAAATGTGGCCTTTAAAAGATACCCGTTCGACATCTAGTTGCTACATATCATACAGGAGATATACTAAGAATAATGTAACAACCGTAGTATCAGCGGTTATCTGTTTTGCTCCGCAGTGAGAACATCAGAACATCAACTTTTCGATCGCAATCTTGACATTGCGGATCTGGCTTTGCAGCTCCCTAGCCTCGCTCGTTGTAACGCTGGCAGCGATGACAGGCCTGGATACATTGCATGCACGTCCAAGGGCTGCCTTGGAAGGAATGAACACGTATGGAACATTCTGTATAGTCAGCAGTTAGCAGTCAACGGCGTAAATAGCTCGAGAAAGAGCGTACCTTTTCCTCGCAAAGAAGGGGAAGGTGCAAGAGAATTTCGAGGGGCTCGGTATCCGCGGTAAGGACGATGAACTCCGCCACACCACGGTTAAGCGTCTTAGTTGCTGTGGAGATGAACATCAAATACAGGGAACGGAAAAGGGGTTGAACGTTGCTCACCTTCATTGGCACCTTTTTTTAGTTGTTTGTACTGACCAGCTTGTTGGACCAAGTCCAAGATCTACAATACTATGGTGTCAGTCGTTAGTGATGAGCTCTTGAAAAAAACTTACGGAGTTAGTTAGACCCTCATCTGCAAGAGGCCATGCTTTTCCGCGTGCTTCAGCCATTATGAATAAGTGACCTCACGTTGGATTGATCCTTGGTCAAAAAAAGTTGTCGAGGATGGTCAGCATTAGTAGCAGAAAAGTTTGGGTGTTGTTGTGGCTGTGATGTATTGGTGTATTTGTCTCTGAAGAAACCCAAGCCAACGTATACTAGACTGTCGTCTCTTGTGTTGTAGAAACTATTTGCGCTACAGGAGACCCGGCTACTGGTTTCAATTAAACAACGGTTATTTCGTTGTATAAATTTTGTAAAGGAGGTAAGTCAATTTCAGTACTATTCAATCCGTATCCAACTCGCAATCCGTCTTCCTCACCACATCCACTCGTCCCCCATCAGACATTTCAAACCACACTACCATACGATACCACACTATCAAGCCCATCACTCCAGAATCCCGTCCTCCTAACCAGAAAAGATTTTTGAGCTGAATTTCGAAAATGGCAGAAGCAGACTACAATCGCAAGAGGTCGCGCTCTCCTTCTGACTCTGACGAGAAGAAGCATCATAAGCGTGCTAACACAGGCGCTACGGCTCACGCGGATGACTCACGAGTTGACAAACACCAGGGTTCTGGTTCAACAACCGCTACGTCTATGACTCGCGATGTGAACATGATGGAAACTCCCGCATCCGTAGTAGATACTACTGCGTCTACTCCTTCTCCTAAGGAAACTTCATCCGACAATCGACACGACGAGTCCCGCACTCGCTCTGAAGAGGCCGGAAAATCAACTTCAATGTCTGGTCCACCTTCCTCGTCCTCAGCTCCCGCCCCTCCTTCAGCTATGATTCATATGCGTTGCTTGATCGTTACACAGGACGCGTCAATCATCATTGGAAAGGGTGGTTCGCATGTCAATGAGATCAGAGACAAGAGTGGAGCTCGTGTTATGGTCTCTGAGAGCATTCCTGGTAACCCTGAGAGAATTCTCAATGTTAGCGGGCCGCTTGATGCTGTATCCAAGGTAAGCTTCAGATACCTTATTACCATTTCTTTTTTTTCATCACAATAAACCTACAGGCTTTTGGTCTTATTGTACGACGGATCAATGACGAACCCTTCGATGTACCTTCAGTTCCTGGAAGTCGTGCGGTAACCATCAAGTTCATGATTCCAAACTCGCGCATGGGGTCTGTGATAGGGAAACAAGGTTCAAAAATCAAGGAAATTCAAGATGCCAGCGGAGCACGACTGAATGCAAGCGAGGGCATGCTCCCCGGTTCGACTGAGGTACAGTACAAGAATTCATTGCAAGGCAGCAACTAATTGTTATGCGTGAATATAGCGAGTCCTGAGCGTTGCAGGTGTTGCGGATGCTATCCATATAGCAACCTACTACATCGGCAATATCCTTATTGAAGCACAAGAACGCATGCCTTCTTCGTCCTCCAGCCATTCTAGTTACCGCCCTTCCAGCTACTCTCGACGACCTCCGTATACTGGCTCATCATATGTGCCAGGGTACGCGAACGCATCGCAGCCTTACGGTGCCCCACCACCCCCTAACCCACCACAGCAACTGCAAACACAGCAAATATACATCCCCAATGATTTGGTGGGCTGTATTATTGGGAAGGGGGGTAGTAAAATCAACGAAATTCGCCATATGAGCGCTAGCCAGATCAAAATCATGGAACCGGGTGCCGGGCTCAACGGCGCTCCAGCGCCTCCGGGTAACGAAAATGAGCGGTTGGTTGTTATAACCGGACAGCCTGCAAACATTCAGATGGCAGTACAACTGCTGTATCACGTACGTTGCTCCTTTTTAAATAACGTCGAGAATTTCCTCACACGTAAGCTGTTTCAGCGGTTGGAACAAGAAAAACAGAAGCAGCTACGAACATCTACTTCATCTTCTTGAGCGCGCACTGTGGCCCTTGGACTCATGCACTGCTACTTTGTTTTCATTTGTCGACAAATCTTCGAGCATGCTTGCTGTGCTTTCTTTTTCTTTTTGATGTTATGGCTGTGAAAAGGTCAATGCCTTCATAACGCAGATATGTACATTAGTCGCCCTTCCTGTCTTTGGTCTTTGGTCAAGCAATTTTTTCTGCTTGCCGCTGGTGTTGGTATGACCTAACGAGTATTTACTTAATTTTTTTTGCCCTGTTGTCCCGACGCTTTCTGGTATTTATGGTGCGAATCAAAAACCTTCTGCGACGACTTGTTGCGCGTTTATGCAAGTATTGGTTTGGCAGGACAAGTCTGGGGACTTGAAAGCGTACCGCGAAGCCAGTACCGGTCGGTGTGTATTTGATTTACCTACACATTTATGACATTTTCATCCAGGTCGTGCGCGTGATTATTGGTATCGCTTTTATTGGAATTCTACCCCGAAGCGAAGTAGGAGTGTACTCGTATAGGGTACTTGTGACGTGCAGCAGCTGTGCTTCTCTTCTCCGCCAACTAGCGCCCAGGCTATACTCCAGCAAGCTCCGGTTGAGCTCTGGCGCCCTGTCCGCAGCCTGTCGCCTTTCGGATCTTCTTTTCTGCTACAAACTCTGGTAAGCTTTGATGGCTCTGATCTTTATGTGCATCCGCATGCAATGAAGCCAAGTCCGGTAGGGAAGCCGGTCATGAGTAGAGAGCACTCGAAGGCGCTATGACACTACTCTCTCAAGCTTACTCGTATAGGAAGTTCACCATTGTGAGCTCTCGTCAATTTTCTCACCAGAGAAGCTGATAAGGGGAGGAATCATCCACCCAGTCACCATGACACCTTTTGCCAGTGGCGAGCGATAGTACTGTCCTTGCTAACACCTGCCGTGCACATGTGGATTCCTGTCAGACGCCCGCACTGACGTGGATATCCACATTGACGCATCAACATGGATCCATTGATGCGGATGCCTGTATTGACAAATGCCTGCACTTATACTCACGTGGATACCTTCTTACTACTTTTGTTACTGACTGTCTCCTCACCTCGATGCGTCGCATTCACTCCTAATGTGGGAATTGAAGCTAGCGCCCACCTCGGCTCACTTTTACACAGGTCGGGGTCGCTATCGGGGCCAACTATCTGCTTACAACCAAGCAGACGTTGTTCTCGTTCTCACTACCTGTACTAGTACAAGAGACAAAGTTGAGGTACTTACTATATGTAGTGCTTGAGTTACATCAGCTGTAGCGTAGTCAGCCAATGAAAAATTGTTAATCGTTATGTAATTGAAAGTCTTGTTTTGAATCTACACCAGCTGTAGACAACTAAATGGCCCCCCTTACAGCTCAAAAAGCATATCTCAATGCCAAGGGCAAAGGCAAAAGAAAAGCGGGCGATATCGATGTCGACGATGATGATGTTCAGCAACCCAAACAGAAGAGAAACAAGCAACGCGTCTTACTACTCTCCTCTCGGGGTATCACCCATCGCATGAGACATCTCATGAACGATCTTGAGACTTTGCTACCTCATGTAAAGAAAGGTAAAGTGACACTTTTGTTGACAGATTCATCAGTTCTCAATGGGACCTATCTCAGATTCCAAACTTGATTCCAAGTCACAGTTGCATCTCCTGCCTGAGATAGCAGACCTGAACAATTGCAATAACACGCTTTACTTCGAGGCAAGGAGACATGAAGACTTATACATGTGGGCTACGAAAACACCAAATGGGCCTAGCATAAAATTACACGTTCAAAACGTGCATACAATGGATGAGCTGAAGATGACAGGAAATTGTCTAAAAGGAAGCAGAGGAATTCTCAGCTTTGACAGAGCGTTTGATGAAACAGAGTGGGGAAAGCTTACCAAAGAGGTTTTCACGCATGTACGTTCATGGGCCATACGGAAGGTCGCTGACGCCTGATTATGTTCCGTTCCTCCACGTAGATCTTTGGTGTTCCCCCACTGGCTCGGAAAGCCAAACCGTTTATCGACCACGTTTTAACCTTTTCTATCCTCGATAATAAAATCTGGTTCCGGAATTTCCAGGTATGCTGGCTTCTTCGGTTTGTTACCGAGCGTTAACTCCATTTCATCTCCGTAGATAATGGAAAAGGATCCGTTGCAGCCTAACGGCCCACCTCAGACATCTCTCGTGGAGATTGGCCCCCGATTTGTACTGACGCCCATCCGTATTTTTGAAGGAGCATTTGGTGGCGCCACCGTTTATTCCAATCCTGGTTCGTACACTGGAGCAAATATGTTTCTTACTCATGCACTCACTTCACAAACAGAATTTGTTACGCCTGCTTCCGTGCGCTCAGCAGTCAGGCATGCCAGAGGTGACAAATACCGTCAACGGAAAGAAGCTCAGGAGGAGACATCAAAGAGAAAAGTGCTTCGTAAGAGAGATGAAGATGCACTGGCAGTATCCAAGGTGTTTGCGTAGATGCCTACACGTGTCATCAACGCGCAATCGTACCGAGCGGTAAGCACACCAACTTGGCGTGCTTATACGGTATCTGTGGGCGATTATCTACGTGCTTTTGTAGCGTTACACACGTTTTATCGCCTTAGCGATGCATGTATGCCATCTGCTCATTGATGCGACAGACGCATCAAGATCTTTCTGCTCCTGCTGCTTTTGGAGCATTGTCTTTATACGGCTTGCTTTGTGCTCTCTAGCGCTCTGGAAGTAGCGCTTCTCCATTAATATTCAAGAGGTTGCACAGCCACCAAGACTACGTTTGCTTTTGTGCGCTCACAAAGGCAACAACCGGATTAATGAAACAAAAGGAATTTTGGCTGAGCAAACGTTCCCGTCTGACCAGGGCAGCGTGCCTTGACAAATTTTAGCTGATGCCGAAGTTCAGCCGTTCCAGATGGCGGGCCACGCGCCTTTTGTTCTGTCTCAGACCCTGCAGGTTGCTATGCGTGGGTGCGTGTAACCGAAAAATATCCTATATAACGACTCACGTCCATCGCTTAAAGGAAAGTCATTCTCCTGGCTCAGTCGCTGATATTTCCAGTCTCTTATAGATATCCCTTGCCTACTGCCTTGTAGACAGTCAATATGCCTGTGTCGATAGACATCATCCCATTTTCAGGTTCTTTGGAATTGTATGGTGAACCAGACTTTTCGTGAGCTAGAACTGCTAAAGTCAAACGTCTCGCTTGTGCTAATAGACCTTCTTAGATCTGCCTTCTCTCTGGCAGGCCATGTGTCTATCTCGCTCAGTTCACCTTCGTTTATGTTCCAGCGCCGGCGGAGCACAACGCGTGCTTTGATGCAATCGCTCACCGTCACATTTGAGGGACAATCCGAAATGATCACCCCAGACATTGGGTATACCCCTTTGCGGCTCTGCTCTATCACTCGTGAGCTTGTAAATGGTGAACCCGTCGACCTTTCCAACGAAGGGCACGAAGATTCCAATAAGCCCTGCTCTTGGAATGTCATTTTTGACATCCCTGTTCCTGGCTGGTTGCCGACTACATCTACGTACGGAGATCGCAATGCAGTTGAAGCTGGGACGCGCTACGCTTTGTATGCCACTGCAACTTTTATCTATCTTGAGGATGGCAACTCCTCTATATTTAGCAGCTTTTGTTCACCTTTTGGCTGTCGCACTCACACAATTAACGCGCCAAGATGTCCAGTCACTCTCGTTCGGTTTGCCAATGTTCCTTCTGCCCCCTCTTCTTCGCCCTCCACCTCTGTCTTCCCAATGGCATTGTTCATCGTCGATGCGCAATTAGGGAAAGATGACACAGAAACGGCTATTCCGCCTGAGGTCCTGAAAAAGATTCAGGTCGTCGCGTCCATTCCTACCGCAGTGACTTTGGATGAGACATCCGTTCCTCTCATCCTGCGCTTACAAGGCAACGGACTGGACACCTCTCAGCGAGAGCGCCTTCGAATAACTGATTTCACTGTTGACGTTGAGCAGACTGAAACGTACAGGTGTGTTGCATTATTGTCTATCTAACTATTCACGGTGCTAACGACATGTCTATTCAGGAGCACTACTTCTCTTGATCGCGTAGCTCGATTTATGGTCCCGCCTAGGACACAACAACCTCCTTCTCTCCCCCTTCGGAATGCACATTCTGTGCATACACTCTATGAGATTGGCCTTCTTATGAATCCATATCCCTCCAAATCTACTTCAACTCGTTCGTTTTCCCTCTTTGATCCCTCGAATTCCGGGAAGTACACTATTTCTGGCGACGGTCGCATCTTCATGAATGACTCTCCAGAAGGCGATGCGACCACTTGTTCTTCGTCAGAGAACTGGTATGTGCTCGAGGCAAATGTACCTTTGGCACCAGAGCCCCATCAATTGGATTGGGCTGGGCTCCGGGGCCGTCGCATATCTGAAAATAGCCCTCTTTTTAGTGTGTCCCACATGATGCACATTGCGCTCCGGTGTGTCTACGAACAACCCGACGGCGAGGTTGTGAGCGAACGCCTCCACTTTTCACTGCCCATGCAGCATGTGCGGGTGGCTGCCCCATCAATTATTCCACCTGCTGACGATCGCACCATCGTGGGTGAAATGGAGCTTCATAAAAGCGTTCCATACAGCCAGAGTCTTCCCGCATACTCTCAGCTCTTCTACTCGAATGGAGAGCGCAAGATCGATTACTCAACTCCTCTCCCACTTTACGAACCTCCACCATCAGCTTCGTCATCATCTTCGTTCACCCTTGATCACAGTGATGACAATCGAAAATCAATCTGATAATTTTCGGAATTGCATATACGCCGACACTCGCACACCGAAACCGAAGACATTAATATCGTCATGTAATATTTTAGATGTTCCGGCAGTCCACCGCACTTTCCGTCCTTTCGCTCCATTATCGTCCTGCTCTTTCGTCTTCTTTCGTTCTGCTCATCTGGCAGCTTTGCTCGTCTCTTGCTTTCATTCGCATTGATCTAGTCCGCATACCAATCATTCCTCGCACCTTGCAACTGATCTTGAAATTTAATTGTATCACTATAACTCCTTGTTCTCTATATCATGTAACAAACCTACACCATGACTGCAGTGATGGAGTCTCCGAGTCATCTCACCATGAACCTAGTCCTCAATCCTAGGTAACGTCTGGTGTCACTGTTATTTTATGTAACACTTGCCAGTGTTGTACTGGTCCTTCACATTGGACGATCCACACTTCTGTGCCTTCAAATCTCGCAAGGCACACATGTCCTTCCTCAGAGTCTCCACAGCGAAGAACAACTGTTTCTGCCTCATCTAGGACCGTCTCTGAAGCCTCAACAACTGCGATAGCCCGCAGCTCATCAGCGGCCTTCTTCCGCTCAGCATCCCCATCTTCATCTGCAATATAACTGATGGACATGTGCGGAAATGCTGGGGCTGAAGGTGATGCTCCATCCCTGTCGAGCGCAGCCATAATATGTTCATGCAGCGCGACGAGTTCGGTCGTCTTCTTTACAGATATGAAAACTGATCTAAAATAATGATCACCAACTTCAAGCTTCTGGAACTCGACTGGAATTGGATGCAGAGTAGATGGTATGGCTCGTAGGATTGCATCCTGCGTTGCCTTTCCCGAGCTTGCCAGTGTGATATGAGGGGTTATATCTGGGTAGGAAGCTGCAGACACGGGACGTGTCTTAGGCTGCTTTGGCAACACCTTTTGGATAAGTTGCAATTGGGCGGGATTGGGCACCAGCCAAAGCGAGAGACCTGACGTAGCTTGGTTTTGTCAAACCGTAACAATGACCGATAGTAACGTACCCATCTGGATCCAAAATGGTATCGATAAAGTATACCTGGGAGATCAATGAAGAGCTAGTAGAAGTGACTCCTGAATCAGGCCATCTTCCCGAGCAGCCGCCATCCATATTTAGATTAGACTCCCAGTAGACAATGATCAAGCTAAGTATCACGTTTTTAAATTTCAGAGCAAAGGAGTGTCCGCAGGAAAATGGGTTACAAATTGCAACGTGCTGAGCACGAGTAATATTTGTTCAACACAGAATATACATAAAGCGCACAAGCAAAGTATCAGTGATCAGAATCCTTGTCAATCAATAGAATAGCAACACGCAAAGCAGTCAGCCTTTTGCGAGACCTAAACCTCATCAGTGGACCCACGAGATCCCAAGCTCACCCAGCTACTTTCCACTGTAGATGCATCGCCATACCCAGAATTACTCTCGAAATCAACCTCCGAGCTTGTTCCAAGTTCACTTATATCTTCAGGCTCGGAAAGAGGCTCAGTCTGCTCGAGCGCAGGTGCAGCTGTCTCTGGAGGTGACGGACGTGGAGCAGAGTGTGTTCTGCTCACTGTCAAGGAAGATGATGGAAGAACTACAGAAACCGCGGTAGAAGAGGGAATGTTACGAGCCACCTTTGGGACTGTGCGTGGCTGTGCAGGAGGCACAGGCAAGAGCCGATTACGAACACCAACCAATATGTGAGGTAGACTCAGCAATCCATCTAGCAACATGCCAGGGAGGAATGACGCAAACATGTATGTCCCTGCTGTATGGACAACAATTGTTAGCTCTCATATATGCGTAAAAAAGACGGAAAAACAACGAACCACCGGCACCAACAGCAAATCGGTCGCCACGAATCCAATCTCTAATCTTCTCATATCCAAAACCAACGCGGATACCGCAGATCGTTTTACTCGCCATCTTGGTCTTTGTTCCGGCACTGACGACACCAACTATGTTATTTACCAGGACAGAAATGTCCTCCGGTCTGCGAGACTGTCCCATGCTAGTTTCTCCGAGCGCAGCGAATGCTTGACCGTATGTTGCTTTCTCTGAGGGAGTCCAGTCGTCCATTGCGTGTGAATTTTCAAGGCTGGAAACGGGGGTTTCGCCAACGGCACCTACATCAACAGCAACGATACGGATGGAGCTCATGCCTTGTCCAACAGCAACCTCACGGCGTAACACGTCCAACGCACGAAGAGTGGCCGCTGCGCTCATGGCACTGACTCCACCGAAAGGAAGTCCAACACGTGCATCAGCAGCAGGGAGACACACAATGATGGACTTGCGTCCGTACGCGCGCTGGGCATCCGAGCGGAGTAATGGTAGGAGTGCTTGAAGTGCCTGGAGAGGAGCAAAGTGTGTGGAGAGAAGATGCGGAAGATATGTACTTCGTAAAGATAGCTGTTCAATGGGGGTTGGTACCGTATGAATGGATGGAACCGGCAGTGTGAGTAGAGATATTATGGAATGCAGAAGGGGATGATAAGGGGTGGTTGCATATGGGTCACCAGCGGCTGTAATTGGGAACCGTCTGGATAAAGTAGATGCGAGCGACCGAAGGAAGATTGGGATGGTGCCAGGCTAAATGATCTTCGGTTATATGAACTTGTTAAGCAGTGTTCAATAGTTGCACACCTCATTAGGGTCAAGGACAAGAGCTCGGACATAACCATGTCCTTTGCTTTCAATGCTACTAACAGCTTCCGGTGTGGAGACGCTAGTGATAACGATGTATCCCTTCTGCTCAAGTTCAATGATAAGAGGGAGGCCAAGTGGGTGATCACCACCCAACACGACTAGGAAGATATCAGCAATGGAAAGACAATCCAAGCGAGTGGTAGAAGTGCTTACCGACAACCTGCCGTTTCTCGGGAGTGACAGTAGTAGAGCGAACTCTTCTCTTATGGGCGTGCGTCATATGGAAGGTAGTGTAGCCAGCAAGTAGGCCAGCTCCAACAAAAGCTGTTACTGCTATGCTAGAGCTCTTCCATGGATTTTCTATGATCCAATCACCAGCCTTCTCTACGAGAGTCCTCGGGGGTGGAGGCGGAGGCGGGGGTGGAGGAACTTCAAATGCCCCAAGACCGGGGACATGGATGTCAGGGAATGAAGAAAGACCAGGTGGCCCAAAGCGAGAGATATCAACCCAAAGACGGTGAACGGCCTCTCGAATGTTTGGAAGAGCAGGCGAGGCGACCACCAGAGAATCTGTCAGAAAGCGTTCGAGAGACTGAAAGTATTCCTCGACTTCATCAATTGAGGGAACCATAGCATAGGATTTGGTAGGAAAAGAACGTAGTGGTCACAACCAAAGCCCACGCACGAATTGCAAGTCCTTTGAGAGCTTGTGGAGCTACTTGTTGCTGATTCGTATCGATATCTCGGATTCTGCCTCGTGGCTAAGTATAGGGTCTACTGCTGGACTTTGTGTGCCGTCGGTATCATATTGTCAACAAACGTCAAGCCAAATTATTAAGTGCAGGAATATTTCTATACTCTGCAAAAACTCAAATAAAGAGTATACCACGGAAAGCTGTCCACCACCACCCCAACCTTCCTCCTCAATGATCAGCCTCGCGCAACTGATAATTCCGGTATATCCATCTTTATCAGTCCATAGTCTGAGGGGCAATGACGGATGTTAAGATGGCCCCGGAAAACGTGAATGAGAGGGTTTACCTGACAGGCCCGCTAGTTTCAACCGGTGGTGTATCCAGAAGAAGTACAACTTGAGTCGCCTTGGCTTGGATAGACAATCGAACCATCATAACTTCCAGTGGAGTGAGCACCAGAGCATTAAGCGCGAACGAGAAAATCACGGCCCCAACCAAGAGAGGAATGTGGGGCCTCATGTCCTCCCAGTTCCCAAAGTTCTCCGGAAATTGTTTGACGAATAGAAAGTGACGTGCTCCAATTGTGCCTACGATATACAAAACCCATAAAGTGCAGGTCGCAAGCAAGCCCGGGATGCTAAATATGCGATAAGGGTGCTTTCTTTCAGTCGGAGAGAGCAATGCATCAAGCGCTCGTCGTAAGGAGAATGAAGAGATGTCTTCCCGAGTTGTTACAGCCCTTTTATGCCTTTTCAGCCCACGGAAATGAACGATTGCCCAATAGAACGCACCGATTGACAAAGACAACCTCGATCACGGTTGCGATGATTTTGACGAGAGAAGCGATAGCAACTATGAGAACAGTACTCTGGTCGTACACCCCGAAATGAAGACATCCAATTACCACAATGGACGGGATAGACATTTGCTCCCAGAATAACATGAAACCGAGGGTAGGGACTGCGTCACGGAGGAAGATAATTATTGAGAGAATGATTCGGAATGCTCGAAGGACTCACGAATTCCTTTGTACAACCCGTCAATTCCCTAGGAAACAAGGAAGCACGGATAGTTAGCGTCCAAGCACCCTCGTGTAAATTTGCACATACTTCTTCTGTGTTGACTCGTCGCAGCACACCTACCAACGACCGAGGCTAGAGAGACGTGTTGTAAATCGTCGACCAAGGGCAATTCTGGAACAAGTTGAACTTTGGGAGTGAAGTTTGCCCCCCATCTTATTAGTGCTCCCTTAAGTGGAGACAACAATGTCGCAAAGAAGAGTGTGTAGATCATTGCGCTGCAATGTCAATGTGGAGTCGTGAGAGGAGGGTGATTTGTTGGTAGTATCATCCAAGCAGGATCGCACATTGATTTTGTGCGAGTCAATCATCACTTTCTAAAATGACAAAAACAAGTCAGACTGCAAGGCACGGATACTGTGCCACGTCAAGGCCTATACGACCGCAAAAGATTGCAAGGCACTGGCGGCGCCCCTGCATCGTGATACCTGTCGCTAGGCTCAAGTGTCCTAGGCCTCGCGTATTCAGCGCTCAGGTTGTAGTCGAACGGAGATACTTGTCAATGAGATTCAGGTACTACGGTAATCATCCCCCGGATCACAAATATGGACACGATAACTTCTCTTCCACTTGTTTCGGCACATCTAGCCTGATCTGTAATCACCTGTCCATGGCATCGTCTCTATTTTTGCAGGGTTGGGATCTGGTGGAGAATTCCACATCCGTAGACAGTGCGGCTGGAGCTCATTGTAGAGCATAGGACACACTGGTGGAATGGCTGTCCAATCTCCAGCCGTCAATCGAATATTCAAGTAGGACCAATCACCTGAAATAGTCCAAAGGTCACTGATGCATGTCAATACCTTTTGTTAAAATTCCACACATACCTTTTATCCGCACGTAACCACGATTCAGAGACAATTCAGAATTGTCTGAAAACACTATAGAGTGCAATTTGCGGTATGGCAATTTCTCGCGATGAACAGATTTACCAGCGTCAAACTCAAGCCAACCATTCCATTGTAAGAGGAAATTGGTCAGCAAGCATGGAGAACCATGAGCCTCATACTTCACATCAACGTCCTGTGAAGTGAACGCAAGTCTGACCACAGCAATGAGCCCACGTATCAAGCAAAGCTTCATGAAGGTAGTGAGGAGCCTACAGAGATGGCATATTTAGCAACAAGCAAAAATCTAAAGGTCAAGCTACTTACCGAAATTCTCGCTCGAAAAGATAGGAATCCATCGTGCCATTGGTTGAAGCTAAGTTCACCCAGTCGTCAACCAAGCGCTTCTGAATATATATGTGTTTTCGGGCAAGCCTCCTGCTCCTTGGATCTTTGCCACCTTGACAGGCTGTGTATGCACGTACATTGATGAATGTTGAATTCATTGCGGGGGAGTCACTGCCAGAAACTGTGGGGCAGGTAGTTTGTAGATATTGGGTGATCTCCTGAACCCTTTGCTCCTCCACAACTTCGTTCAAATTTTCGAGTGTGCTCCTCACCATATAGTGCAAGACGGTCGGGCAATGTATGACATTTTGAATAGTCTCCTCAACGACGCGATAGAAACAATGATCAGGAGATAGTCTTTCTTCGCGACTCTCGAGGAAGACACATAGCGGATATGAGATAGTCATGATAGGTCACGTTCAAGTGACGAGACCCCTAAACATGTAAGTTGGTTAGTAGCCCCTGAATGTGAATACCAAAATTTGACTATCATGACTGCAAACTCATCTGCATGCAACCCTCCTCCTTACAGTGCCGACACATCTCTCTACGTCTTTCTTGAAGATGGTGGAGGTCGCCTTCTCCCAAACCATAAATTTTATCAGCTCGTCGACGAAACTCGTCGAGGTTTTCTTCATCACAATGATGACATTCTGGAGTACATGGCAAGATCCACTCTCGTAGACAATCCTACACCAGAATCGCAGCTGACAAGGATGGACGAAATTCGAGACCTTCTTCGGAACAACTGTCCAGTGATTGTTGGCAGTAAATCAGCAGCCATTGGTGGCGGGCTCCTTCATGATGGTCCCGATGTTGCTGAGAAGGTGGCGGGTAGGGAGCACATATATCTTGGTCAGGATTTGATCAATCAGTGGGGAAGCAAAAAGAGTCCAGATGGTCGCTGGCTGTGAGTCTACGTGCCTATTGAATCTGTTTGCATTTGGCTTAAATGGTACTACTGCCTTATAGCCTTCTTACGTTTCTCTTGAAAGTCATCCTCCTGCGCGAGTTTACTATCGCTTCCTGGCTGACATATGGCATCAAGAAATCTGACTCCATTCACGGGAATGGGAGATGTAGTACACCATTCACACAGCCCACAGACGTCTTCGTATCAGGGTGTGGTCACCTTTTCAAAAATTTCAGAAGTGCAAAGGATCGAAAACTGTGGTCCATCCTGTTTCTCAACGATGAAGGAGGATATCTCGAGGTTCCAGGTAAGGACACGGGTTTGATTAAGTCATTCATTTGTTAATTCTGCTCTCTATGTAGCAGTCAACTCACCTGTCTTGCGAAAGCTTGCTGCGGGTGACTGGTCTGTGTTTCAGCGAGACGTGATCACAAGCATGGGACCGTACCGTAAGCACACTAAACACCAGCACCTCGAGCGTGTCTGGGATGTATCCGAATGTACTTGCTTTGGAAAATGAGTTTCTGGATGTAAAACCAGGATACTTTTGAAGGCATCCTAGGACTATCTCGATCAAATTCAAAAGCTTTGTGGCGAATAGTTTGTACGAGTTTCAATTCTGCCAGGCAACTGGTTGTGGAGCCCTGATTACACTTCTTGTCCACAATCAGTTGCCTGGTCGATCTTCTCGCTGTCTTTCGATGTCTTTCGAAAAATTTGGTGTATCGATAAGTTTTCGTTCTGTTTAGTTGAATATATGCGCTCGAAAATCATCCAGAAAATGGTATCAATACAGATCTAATAGTACTGAATGAGTTATCGATGGGTATCGCTGTGAATTGTTGATATTAGATGGTATAGTAGGGTATCCGCTGGTCCTCGCCCTGCCCGCCACACCACCTCTCGCATATCCCTCCCGTTCCCTCCCCTAGGGCTCCGCTTGGGTCCTGCTCTTAGTCGGTAACGTCGGCACTACCGCTGGTTTGCACCATCGAAGACGAGAACATGTAGCAGGCAGAGGAAGTTGATGGTGTTGTCGAGGTTTGTGGGAAGGCGGAAGCTGACTTGTGAGTGGTATGGCGGGTGAACGGCACATAGTTGTATGCAACGACCCATGAATCGAGGCAGCGCAAAACTGTTGCGAGTGATACGGACATCAGAGCAAGCATGGAAAGAACTTCAATTGACTCACTGACGTCGGATTCCGAGTGCCTGTCCAAGTGTCGAGTTGAGTCACTGTAGCTGCCAATGAAGCGGTACCCGAGTCCGGTAGATATTGGCTGAGTGCCAGGTGTAGGGTGGATGGGCAGCCTGGTGGTGGATGTAGTAGTGTAAAGCAATAAAAACGGACTTAGCGACTAAAAGTGTCGAAGGTGGAGAGAGCAGAGGCTCTGCATCTGGGAGACACGCCATAGACCCTATCCAGAGGCTCGATGAAGCGGAACAGTGATGTTGATGAGGATTTTGCGAGGTCGGATTGGAGGTACGAAGTATCTAGGGAGGACCACAAGGATCCGGGGAGGCACTGAGGAGGAAGTAAGGAGTCTCTATCCCGGATATTTATACAGCACATATCGCGTGAAGTGTCCCTCGCGCATGGACTTCGTGCTCGGCTGACGCTTCTTGACGTAGTATGTGCTCGTGGTATCGCTGCGCCCGTGAAGCTCTGAATCGTTGTGAAGGTATCTGATAAGGCGAAATGGCAGTGGTTGTGATGCAGAAAAATCGAATTCAGCCTCAAAGTTTCGCTTCGTTCAAGAAGTTCAGAACAATTTTCACAACAAGAAAAATAACTATACCTAAGCGTAACTTCAAGTTCATGCGCACATTTACGTCGACACCATGTGCGCGCTCTACTTGAGCCCCTTTGAGGCTCCACTGAGCACCACCAGCGAGCGCTCCAGATATTCCGACATATGTTAGAAACTGCGATTTACGGTCCAGCTTGAGCGTGCTGGATTGAAAGAGAATGTGATGCGAGGCAGGCAATGCCATTCTCCTCTGAGGAATCTGAACCTCGACGAATCTGCAATGAAGAATGCTGATGCAGACCGGACTTTCGAGAGCGTGATGTCGCCGAGACACTCGAAGCGCTGTTTGCAACAGAGAACGAAGAGAAAAATACAACGGAGAACGTAGCGTACAGGCCCGATGATATCTTATTCTAATTCACGGTAGAATTCAAAACGTCCGAAGGTGAACGGACCGCTTGTATATTGTAGATATATAGATGGCAGTCCAAATGTCAGAATTGAGTTTCCTAACATTCCTACATTAAGACCTTGCGCCAGATAACTCGGAGAGCTCCAAACCCTAGTCTTCCACTTGTTTCGCCCTGTAAATCCATCCACGATCTGATCTGCAAGTATCTGATTTCCATGGTGTCGTCTCTATTGTTGCAGGGCGACCTTCTGTTGGCGGGGAATCCCACATGCGTAGGCAATGTGGCTGGGACTCATTGTAGGGCGTAAGCCACACTGGTGGAATGGTCGTCCAATTTCCAGCAGCCATTAGTTCAATATTGAAAAAATTATCTGGAATAGTCCAAAGGTCACAGCTGATGATGTCAATGCCTTTCATTGAAATTTCCACGCATACCTGTTATCCGGATGTGACCATGACTTGGAGACAACTCAGAAATGTCTGAAAATACTATAGAGCGCAATTTGCGGTATGGCAATCTCTCGCGATGGACAGGTTCACCAGCGTCAAACTCAAGCCAACCATTCCATTGCAAGAGGAAATTGGCTAGCGAGCATGGAGAACCATGGGCCTGATACTTCACATCAACGTCCTGTGAAGTGAATGCAAGTTTGACCACAGCGATGAGCCCACGTATCAAGCAAAGCTTCATGAAGACAGTGAGGAGCCTACAGAGATGGTATATTTGGCAACGAGCAACAATGCAAAGGTGAAGTTACCTATATGTGTTTTCGGGCAAGCTTCCTGCTCTTTGGATCTTTGCCACCTTGACAGGCCGAGTATGCACGCACGTCGACGAATGTTGAATTCATTGCAGGGGAGTCACTGCCAGAAACTGTGGGGCAGGTAGTTTGTAGATATTGGGTGATCTCCTGAACCCTTTGCTCCTCCACAACTTCGTTCAAATTTTCGAGTGTGCTCCTCACCATATAGTGCAAGACGGTCGGGCAATGTATGACATTTTGAATAGTCTCTTCGACGATGCGATAGAAACAATGATCGGGAGATAGTCTTTCTTCGCGACTCTCGAGGAAGACACATAGCGGATATGAGATAGTATTGTTCATTACGGAATCTCTGTGTCTCGGGACAAGGAAAAAATGTACGACGCCAGCAGGATTTGAACCTGCGCTCGGAAACCGAAACAGATTTCTAATCTGTCGCCATAACCACTCGGCCATAGCGCCTTAACATAAACCAGTTTGCTTGCATACACGAGCACATGATATTTTCAGTTTCTTGCTATCGTGGCATCAGGCATATTGCAAACGACATTTATTATCTTGTTACACATGCTCCAGCTCAATTGCTGGTAAACGCAGGCCGGATGAAATCATTCACCACCGGCATGCACAAATCCAAGCACGCCATATTAATTGATTGAACATGGTTCCCAGGCGTCATGTCACGGTGGTACTCGCGTTACCAAAAAGATGTCGATCGGTTTGGGTGCATCTACTCTATTCTACACGATTAGCGGCATGGAGTTGTGCATGAATATTAATGGCAAACAGGTTACTCACCGAAGAGCTCATCCCAACTAGTAGTTATTCGATGACTTCTCCATTGCCTAGCATTCCACCGAGCTCGAACTTGGATGCCCACATGACCAATGATAATTTTTGTCATGCATAGAGTGTTCTACAAACAGAGAATGAATCGTGAAATTGCGTTTGAAAGTCTACGTGGGATTTTACAGGGACATGGTCTCGCCACACGCTACAGATTCGTCTGATGATAGGACTTTGACGGTCAATCTCGAAGAGATGTAAATGACAGCGGGCATGCGCTCAGAAGGGACTAAATTCGACATTTCTTGGCGTTGATGACTGTAGAGGAGTGTAGGTAGGGCGAGATACTAGGTTATATGGAGTGACCAACCTTCAAGTATGATAGATTGGCCTTTCCAGCTACCGGCCATGATGGTGCGATGAAGGAATAACAAGAATGGAACATGGGTTGGGTGGCGGACAGAACGAGTGGTAGGAGAAGATGGGAGTAAGGACATGGGGACTCTGAGCGAAGTTCAAGCATCAGATCCGATCGTTTTCAAATATTCGAATAAGGTCTTTAATAAAGACTGACGATCGTTCTTTTGACCATCAAGGACCTGTACTTTGTATTTGATGAGTGATCGGAAGTGTCGGCACGATAGATGCTAACATGATTGCACTATTAAGCGCTAAGGATCAACTAGTGCTGAACAGAGAGCTTGTACTGCAGAAGTGGGCATGGTCGATCCGACTCGATCGACAGCGAAAGTGACGCACCAAGGTCGTGGGACTCGTGGGTCCGGATATGCAAGTCTCAGAGCGTCTCGCGAGCCTTGCTGCTGCCACTCGATAGCCTCAGGTTACATATAGCCCCAGGCTGTAGAACACAGTGTGTCGTATGTTGCAAATAACGACACAGACAATGCATTCTGGCAGTATCTACGAGCTGGGCCCGTGCTGTCAGTGAATGTTTAAATAACAGTACTTGATGTACTTTGTGAAAACGGTTCACATACTATACTTAGACAGAACCTCGACATATAACCTGAGTTGGTTTGCCAGTTAAACTAAATCTAAGGCCTGGATGATCCGACTTTGAGTGGATTCTGTGAGAAAATCAGAAGGAACGTCCAGATGGTTTGTCATGCTGCCACAGAGAGTCAGACGCGTCGCGCGCGCTTCCCACGGTGACTGACGCGTGTTTTGACGCGACTGTACGGCTCAAAGTCACATAACTGACTGTCATGGCAGATACATTTGTAGCTACTGGACTGCTTGGGCTCGGGCCATCGGCCTCGTTGCTAGGCTCCTCATCCACCACAGATGGGCTCTCCTCCGTCTTCCTATCGAATGGCCTTTTGGGCGGATTGTGTATCGCCCCAACTAGTCATGCACAGCCAGAAGAACGAGCGCAGGAGCTTAAAGGCATAGATGAGCCACAGAGTTCCCGCAACACCGTGTCTTCATCCTCCAGATCATTTATCCCTACGCACATACGTGCTCCGCTTCGTGCTACGACATATGACGGGAATGCAATACATATAAGGCGAAAGCCGTACGTAGGCACAACACAGAAGGCAAGATACCAATGCATTCATTTCCTGTTCTATGCTTATCGTGTTCAGACTTCTTCTGCTCCAACTCGATTAAGCAACCTATTAGATGTCCCTATACACAGACTCAGGGATGAGCTATCGGCTGCTACTGCTTCGAAGTTGTCCTTTTCGTATGTCTCTTTTGATTCCATTTGGAACACGACCTCATATGTTTTGGCAGGAAAACCACCACCAGAGCGTCTGAGTCACACAAGCCCTCAATTCCAGTGCCAGAGGATACACTCTGGGTTGATCGATATCGCCCTCGAAAATTCACAGAACTATTAGGTAATGAGCGTGTTGCTCGCGAAACAATGGCTTGGGTAAAGCAATGGGACTGGTGTGTATTCGGTAGGAAGAAGAGCAAGAAGAGGCTGCGGGAAGATGATGAGAACTATAACCCTGACGATGAATACCACCGTCCACGAGAAAAGGTAATAGTTCATATAATGCAACAGAATGGGCACATTTGTTTATTCATGACCTTTAACAGCTACTGCTAATATCCGGTCCCCCTGGGCTTGGTAAGACGACATTAGCTCATGTTGTCGCGAAGCAGGCCGGGTATGAAGTAATGGAGATAAACGCGAGGTCTGCTTCTCCAACAGAATTTTTGGTCCAATGCTCATTCCGCACAGTGATGCGCGTTCTGTACAGGTCATCGACGAGCGAATACGACCGGCGCTGGAATCAGGGTCTGCAGTCGGGAGTGTAAAACCTGTGTTGCTCATCATCGATGAGATAGATGGGGCCACTGGAGGCGGGGATAATGTATGTGTTATGAATAATGATCCTGCCCGTGGTCACTGATGCAATTTAGGCAAGTGGATTTGTGAACAAGCTGGTTTCGCTCACCTTTGACAAGCCAAAGAACAAACGTGATTTTTCCACTGGCAATGATGACACTCTCTCAAACTTGTCTTGGTAGGGAAGAAGAGCGACCAGAAAGACAAGCGTCCACTCCTTCGCCCAATAATATGCATCTGTAATGACCAAAATGCGAATGCCCTTTCCAAACTCCGTCCTCACGCCCAGCAAATTCGGTATACGAGACTTGCTGATAGTCATATTGTCAAGCGTCTCCGCGAGATTTGCGAGTTGGAGGGATTGCGCGCTGATACCAGGGCTCTGAGTACCTTGGTCGGCGTGGCCAAAGGCGATCTCAGAGGCTGTCTCAATACTCTGCAGGTGTGTACTTACTTGATGTGCACACTACACTTATAACATTCTCAATCTTCATAGTTCATCAAGTCTCGCAATGATGAGGTGACTGAACCTCTCATTCGCCGTGCTACAGTGGGCATGAAGGAGGGGGACACTACCGCGACTTCAGTAATCAACGAGATATTTGCGCCCTTATCCCGAAAACGTGTCAAGGAGCTTGGCATGGGCGAAGAAGAAGAGGCACGTTATGTGAACCGCCTAAGTCATACAATTGAAGGATTGAACAATCCTGCAAGTATAGCGAATGGTCAGTGCAACATCTACGACATCCATTCATTTTTTTACCCGAGTGTAGGCTGTTTTGCGCATTATATCAATTGTCGCCGACACGACGCAAACTTGAACCACTACGAGAAGGCTGGCGAGTGGTTGACGACCTTCGACTCCTTTTCATCGGTCATGTATACAGACGGTGACTTCGCGCTGCATACATACCTGTCATATTTCCTGGTTCCTTTCCATCCGCTATTCCGAGAGCGAGGGGAAAAACGGGTAGAACGAGATAGTTCGGACTGGGATGTAAGCGTTTACTTTTTGTGTGGTTGCAAGATATTTACTCCTAGTAGAACTTGCAGCTGACGCGCGCAAACGAAGAAATTTATAAATCGTTAGCAAACGGTATCCGCTCAACTGGTCGGACTGCAGGGGCCAACAGACACCTTGTTACAGGTCAAGTCTTGCCACTCGAATTTGCACCATTTATCAATCGTATAATTTCCCCTCCTTTGCGACCGGTGAGTGGATCTTGCCACACTTGCTTGTCATCTCAAAATGTATATTTCTCAGGTCAACAGTCAAGTGATAAAGCCACAGGAAAAAGCTTTGCTCTCGCGTTTGGTGGAGATTATGGTGTCTTTTGAACTTCGCTTTGTGCAAGAGAAGGCTGAGGATGGCCAAAATGTGTATAGACTTGATCCGTGAGTTCTGCACGATGCATCCCCCTGCCCACTGACATAATTTGTTCCGCGCAGTCCAATCGACGTTTTTGTTACCTACGACGGCAAGCGCGCCGAAGATATCGCGGTCTCTCGGTATGCTGTACGACAGTTGGTCGCCATTGAGGTTTGTGACTTTTGCATGAATATGAAATGACCTTTCTCACTCGACCCAAGATTGACGCCGCACTCGTCGCAAAACAAGCAGACGCAGTGGAGAAAGGAAAGGAACAAGCAAAAACCAACTTTTTCAAAACGTTTGTCTATCTGTTCATTTGGGATCTGCATCGCTCACTTGACCATTAGATCAAGGAAGGATGTCACGGCATATGTCAACGAAGCTCCTGAGCCCATAGAAGTCATAGAAGGCAACAATGAACTGCGCCGCATGGATGCCTCATCTGAGCCAGGCCCTGAAAACAAACGAGCACGCACTTCCGAGAAAGTGGACATTGCAGACAAGGTTAGGATAGATCTGTATTGTGTAGATCATCTGCTGAATTCGTCAACTAGCCGCCTGTGGACTTCTTTGGAAGGCCGATCGCTATGAAGAAAGATTCAAGGAGGTCACTGACGTCGAAAAAGGTAGTCCCTGATTTTCGCATTGCATATAAGCATCTGGAAGGAAACTCGGCGGCTGTCCGTCGGCCGACGAAGGTTTCATCGTTTCTTTGATCAACTCCGCAGTTGTTGTACCAGATAGGATCATCCATCGCACACAGGACACCTTTATTTTGTACAAGTAATATATCATAACATCCCCCAAAACCCCAAAATTACAGCAAACGTACCAAACAATACAGGGGTGGACAAGCAAGTTATAGAGAATATGAAAATTATTATATAAACTGCGTCAAAATATGAGGAAGAACCGGAAATCCGAGGAGAAGTTTCTGGGAGGAATCAAGCATAACTGCCAAGGCAACACCTACAGAACATAGCGGAAGTCGCGGTTTTGTTTGTCCGTGAGATCAAGGAAGGCTTTGTCCACCTTCCTCTCCGCACCCGATTCGTCTAGTATGTACACCGCATCATGCTTGTCGGGGGTTTCTTGTTCTCGTTTCCTGTTCTCACTGGCGAACATGAAACGAAGAACCACCAACGCGATACCGGCAGCAAAATTGCATGAAGTGATCACAGCCCATGGAATGTGGTTCCTACATTAAATTTAACGTGACCCGTCATGATCGGTGGTGCCTGATAATAACGAGTTCGTTACGCACCTAGGTTGATATTGTACCTTCCACATAAACTGACTGACGGCATTGCCAACCGCATACGAGCACAGGACGATGCCATTGGTGGTAATCCCTGTGCAGACATTATTAAGCCTGTGACTAAATGGTGTAAAAATAAATGACCCATACGTTTCGTGTGTCCGGATGTTATCGAACTAACCCAACCAAGGAAGATAGGAAATGGTGCAATCGCAAAGACTGGACAATGAGATGAAAAGGTCCGTCAGTGCTTTACGCCTCGAGGCGCTTCTCGGATGAAATTATGGAACGTACTTGAAATCCAGTATGAGAATAGTAAACCTATTTTGTTAGAGAACGGAAGCGTGCTAACTAGTATCGAGCCAAGTATCGCAGGAATGTACATTAGTACACCAGCATATGACCTGCCGATGGATGGTTGTGAAACAAGAACCGTGACTCCCAGCCAAATGGTGAGAACTACGTAGGGGAAGGTGAAAAAGGTATCGTATAACACAAAGAGAGACGCACTTTCGACCGCACCATCAACACAGCCAAGAAGAGTTGTCTGGATACTATTGAACCCGAATTGTGAGACAATCAATTGGCGTTGATTGGTGAGCTGATATGCATCCGTATTTAGTATGAGAACTCAAATTATTGAACAACTTCTTACAGAGTTCACGATGTTTCTGACAAAACGCGTGAATGCTTAGATACGCGTATATATGATGGTTCAAAGACGTACGCAGACCCTGCAAAGAATGCCATTAACCACGTCTTTGGGTCCTTGACAGTTTCGAGGAACCTGCCGAAAAGAGAATGACGTGATGCGTCGCGAACAAGGATATTAAAACTCACTGTTCTTTCTTGAAACGTTTGTTCTCTACGCCACTTTGATTCACTTGAATTCTGCGAATCGCCGCAACTCTCTCTTCTGGAGTTAAGAACCATGCAGTTGTGGGCGAATCAGGGAAGAAGAACCTTATCGAATCGAAAGGGATGGATGAGAAATCTGCATGATCATCATGATTTGTACACACCAGAAGAGCACAGAGGTGATCAATGTAATGGTTCCAGTGATAATCATGAGCCTTGTGCGATCAGTAAGGTAACGCCCCCGCATCATGTAAGATCGTGTGACTCACCATTGCCAGGGCATGAAGGCTGTATGCGTGTGAAGGAGACCAAAACTAATGAACCCCAAAATGATCACAGCAAAACCGTTCATCAAAACTGAGAGAGAATGAGAGAGAGAATGAAGAAATGAATCAGAGCTTACACCAATAACCGACACGCCTCGTTTGCTCGGCATGAGTATAGAACATGGATGTGACAATCATGAAGCCGGGGGTAATAGCACCTTCACACATCCCCAGCAAGAAGCGCACCGCAAACAATGATCCGAAAGATTTGCAAGCAGCATGACATAGCAGGACCACGGCCCACAAAAAGATATTGATGCTGAATGCCCATCAGAGTAAGGAACGTGTTGGATGCGAATGACTCTTAGCGCACCTCATCCATTTTCCAACAGGGAAGCGCTGCAACGCCAAGTTCTGAGGGTATTGAAAAACGAGGTAGCTCAGATAAAATATTGTGCCAAGCCAGTTGTACTGATTTTCAGTGAGATGTGCACCATCCCTGACATAGCGAGAGGTTAGTGCATGCAAACATAACAACATGTGGCCAACACGCACATTATGCCCAGCACCGCTGCCTCTCCCAGAGTGGTTTTATCCATGAACGTGATTCTATAGAGACCGTTGAGAAGAAACATAGCAATTGGTGATAGGACGCTCACAAGTACATGACTGTCAATGCGTCTTGGTCAACCGAACAGCAGCTTCGAGGATCTCAAAGACTTACTGCACATGAGTGGTATAACATGCCAATCAATCTTGGCTCTATGAGAACCTATGAATGGAAGGTCTACGTGATACTGTTTAAAACAACATACCTCAGGCGAGAGGCCTCCCGAGGAGTTAGGGAACTGTCCGTCTCAGCAATCAGCTGAGCACCGACGTCGACATCGTAGCCGTGTACGGTACTAGAAGCATGTATATGGGCCTCCTTTTTCTCGGAATCTTCGCTGGCTGAGTCCATGGTTGCTAGCTGATTGGGAACAGCGAAAGAAGGGGGTGAGCCTACACTTTATAAGTTGTAGGCTCTGCCGCGCCTTTACGGCATTTTTGATCAGTCAGTGAAGCGTGGGCGCTGATCCAGTTGAGGAGATCACGTAGTAAGGCGATTAGAGTGACTAACTTAGTTAGTGAATGCCGGCGGAGGGTACCATCCGTTGACATCGGCAGCTTGGACACGTCGGGTTTCAAGCTCGGTTTGAGAATAGAATTATGAAAAGAACTCGAAGACAGGAAGATGCTTGACTTGACCAAACAATCCCATTGAAAACTTTGAGTTTAGTTCAAAAACTAACGAAATTAATTAGCAAGCTCACCGCAGGCTGCTTTGCTTCTTTGCCCTTCACTTCCATCCGTCGCAATCAGAACCTTCCGCGAATACGTCGTCGCCGCGTGTGTTGGAGAACAACGCAGATTGATCTGAGCTCACGAAGCTGCGAAGGAGACCGCATTCAATCTCGTTCCGTCAGAATCTTTGAATTTTACCACTTTCTGTGTTGAGACATCACTTAGCGGTCTATGATGTCTGATTCACATTCTGATGGAACGCAGCCTGACATGAAACAGTGGGTTCTTGAGCCGGAGACAGAGTATAGGTTCGAGCTCGACCCTGATACCTCCCTCGCAATCAAGGTACGTTGGTACACAACCACGAGGCAAATTCATCCCAGGCAGCCCCACACCTTCTGAACCCACTCCTCAGCTGGCTCATGGACAGGCAGAGGTCTTCGGTGCTGAACTCGCAGAAGGCAAAACATATCTTTTCGGGACCGAATGCAGGGCCGCAGTTTTCACCTGGCAAGGTTGTACCTTGGAGATAAGTGCTACACCTTCTATCGTTACTCACAACTTGTGTTGCTGATCTATTTCGTTCAGTACATTACAGGCCGCCCTTCCACCGAATATGTATCTGAGGAAACCCCTATGGCGGCATATGCGAATGTGCACATTGCGTTCGAGCAGATGCGTGTCAGAGCACTCCGTGTCGTGCATGGATCTCCCGCTTCAGATGATGATGCCAATGCCAATGCAGAGCCACCAAGAGTCCTTGTTCTCGGTCCTGAGAACTCGGGAAAGACAACAGTATGCAAAATTCTGACAAATTATACTGTTAGAGCAGGGCAGAACTGGTCCCCTGTGTTGGTAAACGTCGATCCGAGTGAGGTGAGCATGCGGGAGGCGGATCTATCTTTATTGTGCTGAATCACCAGTCAGGGTGGTTGGGCAGTTCCTGGAGCAATCTCGGCCGCTCCAATTCGCAGCCCTATAGCTACAGCATCACCCGCCAATCCTCTTGGCTCTGCTGCTACATCAGCTCCTACTGCCCTCTCTTCGAATGCGTTGATACCGCTAAGCTATTGGTATGGGCATTCAGAAACTAAACGGAACCCAGTTCTACTAGATCGACTTATCCGAAATCTGGGAGAAAATATCAGACAAAGGGATGATGATGACCTGGAGGGTGCGGAGAATTAGCTTCTGTTTCAAGCGCACGACAATCAATGATTCGTGGATCCTTAGCTCGCGTGTCGGGTTTAATTGTCGACACTCCATCGTCTTTTGCATCGAGTTCTGGCAGCGCGCCAGACAACAGGCATACTCTCATAAAAGCATGTGTTGATGCTTTCAGAAGTGCGATTTGTTGAATGCATTGGTACTTTATCTGACTCCATGATAGTCAATGTAATTCTCGTGGTCGGACACGAAAAATTGACCGTTGAAATGCAACGGCTGTTTGGCAATCGGTTTACAGTGGTCAAGATACCGAAGTCAGGAGGAGTATGTGCTCTTATCGATCCTATTCGATTTGTGCCTCACAACACCCGACCAGGTCGTTGAATTGGACCATGGTTATCGGGAACGCGTGCACAAGTATCAGTTGCACACTTACATGTATGGCCAAAAAATAGACCCACCCCCTGGCATAACCTCCGCAATTGTTGGAGGCGAAGCGGTGGCAGACCTCGTCCTTTCACCATCCTCATGTGTCATCAAGTTTGGAGATTTGACAATATATCGCATCGGTGCTGGTAGGCAAAGTTTCTGCACACATCAACACGTGGCTGATCTTCGAGACTGCTCGCCGTAGAGAACATGGCTCCTTCTTCCGCATTGCCTATTGGTGCTGCACGCATGTTGTCGGAGATGCAGCCCGTGCTTGTTGATCCTGCATCCAGCAGCTCGGGCCTACTTAATTCCATCCTCGCCTTGCTTGCGCCCTTCAACCCGGATGAGTCCGAGCGCTATGACGAAGAAATTTTGGACCTGACTGTGGTTGGTTTCCTCGTTGTGTACGTCTTCTTGCACTTCATTGCGTAGTTCTTTCTTTCTTTTGTAATTGCTATAGCGTTCTTTGCTCACTCTTGCCTTGTTCATTTTAGTACCAGCATCGATGCTCCCAACCGGAAAATGACGATACTCGCGCCTAACCAAGGATCACTTGTCGGTAAGACAGCCCTTGTGGGCTCCTTTGATTGGCAGGAATAGAGTCGAATAAAGACAATTTCATGGGATCATTCTTCGAGGATTCTTGTACCTGGAGTCCTTGACCAGACAAATGACTGAGTGAACTCAAGGCTTCGGCACGTCTAAGATGCCCTAGATCTGTGAGGGAGTTGGCAAGGCACAGCTTTTACTCCATTGCTTAAGCGCAATTGTACTTCACATGGTTCCTTCCGCGATAAAGAGTTGAACGATGAATATGGTTTCTCACAATCTCTATAGTTCTGATTTCAGACTAGAGGATTGCGAGTACAAGGTTTGACGACCTATTCAAACATCAGTTACTAGATGCTTTGCTAGTAGTAACTAAGCTTCACCCGCTTTTGTCACGACAAAAGGTGACTTCACTTCAACTTCACAGATTGTTACACTAGCAACACGTAGTCGAACCTGAGGCCTGGATTTGAAGACCCGAACAACTTTGCTGCATGGTTCAGGTTTCTTTTGCCCTCGCTGTACCGTACACTTCCCGTGTTTATTCGGTACTACTTACCAAATGTTGAGCTCTCAACAGAAAGATGACGACTCCACCTAGCCAAGGATCGCTTGTCGGCAAGACAGTCATTCCAAGGTCATGGTGATTGGCAAAAATGAACACGATTACCATACCCTGATGGTTTGTTTTACATAAGAGTCCAATGAAATGATGCGTACACAGTACACATTGTGGAGAGAAGAATTGAGTAATGAGAATGAATGAATAGGATGAAGGATGATATATCGTTGATAATGCAAATCAAAGCCTGGACAAGTCCCGACCCCATACGCCACTGCGAATACAACCATCAACATCGGCATGAAAAAGAATGCAAAGCCCGTACCGAATGATCCAATCTATCATTAAGAGAAATCGTGTCCTGGCCGAGACCTGCTCGCTCCAGTAAATGCTTCGCCACGCGTACATGGCAGCGAGGCCACCCATGAATGACAGATTGCCCAAATCGAAGACTGCGGCATTGCCAATATACGCGAGACTGCCGAGATGAGTATAGCGAAATGTCTTGGATACAGCCTCGTCCAGGTCATGTATGCCATTCACCTCGAGGACTTCTCGTTTCTTCGCTAACTGATTTAGCTTCTTGCCAAGATATTTTCCTTGCTGAGAAGCCACTTGAGCAGTCTAGATCAGGACAGTACCAAAGTCAGGGCAATCATGATATGACGCTGAGCACCTACGGCAGGAAGTGATGTTATCTTATTTCCGATTTCTTCCAACAGTTTACACAGTTCGTTTAAAGAGAGACTGTTGTCTGCGTCTGAGTCATACAAATCGAACAAAGTTCGGACCTGAGTGAAAGGATGGATTCAATAAGGCCTTCTGAGAACATGCACGAAAACTGACCTTCTGCAACTGCGACTCAGCCATCGGAATCCGGTGTTTGATCCTTGCAACTACTAGTCGTCAAAACAATGTTTTCCGAAGAAGCCCACCAACATACCCATAAAATCAAATTCATTAAAGTCGATCTTGCCATCTTTGTTCTTGTCGGCCTCATCAACCAACTCCAGCAAGTGGCTCACGACGGACGTCTCAATCTATATGCCATGAAGTCCACGCCAAGCAGGAGATAGTATAAAATAGACGCACAGTTGCACAATCTCCAATGGCATACACATCGCCCAACGGCGCACCTTTTACACGAAGATGGGCATCGACTTCGATCGCTTTCTTGTGTACTTGATTGGGCAATAAGGCGGAGACACGACGAGTAAAGGGGTTCATTGCAATGCCAGTCGACCACAGGACAAAGTTTGTCGGGATCTCATGAGTAGTTATTGTCCCATCCGGAGCCCGTACAGTGTATATGACGTGATCAGGGTGGACGGCACTGACCCTAGCAGAAGTTACTAGGTCGACGCTATCACGACGGAACTTTTCCTGATGCAGTTGTTCGGTTAGAATACCTTGAAGCACTCTCGATAAGTCATCCATACCTCGACATACTTTGAGATGGCTTCCGAATACTGCGCTCAAAGTGAGGTTCACACTTTAATTATTCTTAAGAGGTTTCACGCACCGTATTGAGAATATGCTCGCGCGACTGGATTACATGAATCGAGACTTCTTCGCGGCATATCTTGGGGTACTATACAGCACGAGTCAGGTACAAATAAAGATAGAATGACTGAAAAATATACGTAGTTTACGATGTCTTCTTGACAGAAATCGTATATTTCCTGCATGAGTAAATTCCATTTTATCGTATATGGACATATTTTGATAGAGATAGACGTACAGCTGCTGTCTCAACGCCCGTGGGGCCACCTCCGCAAACAACGAATGACAACAAACGCTTGCGTTCTTCAGGGGTTGTGATAGGAAGACTGGCCGTTTCGAAATTGTCTGAAAAGTCACAAATGAATGATAGAGGCGTCAATCGCGAAGATCTTACCGAGGATTCGTCGTCGGATGGCTTGCGCATCTGATATAGTCTTGAGTTGGAAACAGTGTTTTAGACCCTGGATGCCGTGTGTACTGGAAGTTGACCCGCATGCAATGATTAGTTTATCATAGCTATAAATGGCCATTAATGACGTAAAGTAACATGAGGGTTTCGACAGAGTTCGACAGTGGCTACTCACGGAAGATAAACATTTTGGGGATTACCAGTCGAGGTCAGCGTTTCAAGTTCCAATAACCGCTCAGACATCACAAGGTCAACAGCCTTGGCGTCTACGAAGTGGCCGCGAAGACGCGCTACGATCTTGCGTAGGGGCTCAACCAAAGTACGAACTTGGACTGTACCGACCGCAGCCGCTATATATCATGAGCAGGTTCAGCTAAACTTGTAAAATGTCAATTTAGCACTTACAAGGTAAAAGTGGGGTAAATGTAGTGAAGGTTTCTGGCGATACGACGGTTACGTGCCAGTCACCAGGAGATAGTGTTTGCAAGACTGAAATAGCCTGGTAGAATGTCTATGTCAGCGATAGTACCGGTGCATGAAAATTCACTCATTACCCCCCAGCCTCCTCCTACAATCACCAACTTCGGTTTATCCAAAAGTTTCTTTGCTTCATCATCCTCTACGTCATCCACGAGTGCTCTTACGATTGGGAGGTTCTTTGGCCCCCCCTGCTCCGGATGAAGTGCGAGAGGTAACACCGGTACACGGTGGACATCCTTGTTCGTATAAGTAAAAGCGTCATGAATGAATATCCCTGCGCCTAGTAACAGAATCCCAAATGTCGAAGAGAGGGCCGCAAGTCCGGTATATTTTGCTACCAGTAGGATACGATTAACCAGACGCGGCCTTGGAAGAGGCTCAGTTGGTATCTGTGGCCTTGAACTTGAGGGTTTTGGTGGTTCCAATGCACTTGTTGCCAGTAGCCGACTCGGAAGGGGTCTGAGAAGAGGTGGACGTAATCCAATCCGTAAATGAACGAGGTTAGCCCTGCTTGGCTTGCAGACCCGAATGAGTTGGTACATTTTAGGGCGAACGTCGTTCTCGAAATACCCACTAGGTCAGGACTCAGCCTGTGTAGGCAGGGGCAGTGGTTTGAACCTGAGTTGGTGACGGTGGTAATGAGAGGTAATTACATATGTAGTAACCGATATCATGTACATAACAAGTTATTCATAGCAAGCCTCGAGGCTCGCATACGTCATATTCACACCTGAGCATCACCAGTCCCTCTCAAGGCCTCAACGTTCAACGTTCTGTGTAAAGCCTGTTGTCTCTGCAAGATTTAAAACTCCGTTAGAACTTTTAAACCGTCGCGCACTTTGTCCTTTCACTTCACATTGTTCTTTAGATTTGCACGCCTCTGTTGTTAAATGGCCGCCGCATATCCCATTGCCATTCACTCTCTTGCAACCAAGTTTCCCGATTTGCTGCATATCCCCGTTGTAGAGCATCTGAGAATCAATGAATCCAAGGCTGCTGGGGATCCTCTTGATGAGAATGCTGCACACAGTGCAGAGATGACGGTAAAGGAATTAACCATCCTCAGGCGTTTTAGTAAGTCCAACAACATCTTAGTTCAAGCTCGTGTGATAAACATTTGCATCTCTGTCAATTCAGATGCTGTTCCGGAGCTCACCGATGCTCATATGGAAGGTGTCAGAAACCGCGCACATATGTTGCGTGCAATTCGTGAGTGAATTCTCTCCTTGTTTCAGGGGCAACACATTGTTTATTAATCCCAATCTTAGATGCAAGTAGAGCAATTGGGCCGGGCGACATTCTAGCTACCTTGGATGACATTCGAGGAAACGTGGATGACATTCGAAGAAACTTGGATGACATGCAAAGGAATTCCGCTGAAACCTTGGAACAGATCCAAGCAATCATGCAGCGGAACCAGGCCATGTTCGCCAATATTCGACTGGCAAGACAAAACCACGTGGTACCTCGTGATCGAGACAACTACGCTCCACTTCAGAAAACCGTGAGTCACTCAATTTCTATTTCTTTTCTTGATCTTAAAGTTTCTATACAGACAAGTGGACATGGTCGTAATCTTGCAGTACAAGCGTCCCGGCAAGAGCATCTTAACCAGATCCCCCCCAGTGCCACCATCCAGGTCGCTGAAGTAGGAACTTGCCCCCCCTTCTGGAATCCTATCGTCGATCAGTATACAATGAGAACCATCTTCCAGTTGATCATCTTCTATAACGATGATTTCGACATTCAACCGGCAGATAATGTGGAGGTCAGGAAATACAAATTTCGTCGCTGGCTGTGTTCGGTAAGTCTTGTTGTTTACATGCTCAACTCATGATTTTCTTCGACTTACACAATGCTGTTTAGTAAGTGCTCCTGTTTCGTTTTGCAGGCGACTTTCATTGTAGTTCGCTGCCTCACGTCATGCGTTGTATTGTTATTGTTGTCATTATTGGTCATCGCATAGTAGAATTCCCTTATCATACGTGTCTGTACGCTCTCGTACTACTTTCGTTCCGCCGTCTCTTACAATTAATTTCCTAGCATGTATTGCATTTCAAGTACAATCGTTGTCTTCAAACACGTGTTCGAATTCAGGCCTATTATGAGCCCCAATTTCTAAGCAAAATCATACACTAAAGCTATCGTGGCATTGAACACTGCATCCACTGCTCAGCGCTCAGTGACTACGACTCGCCGTAATTTTATTGTGATAATGTGTTCCTTTCCTCGACAGATCACATTCCCGTGTTGACGGGTCCAGACACTTCAAGTTCGCGTGGAACCGCAAAGTATCGTAGTATACTCTCGACACCGAGGACTTTTGTTGTCCATGATGTCACGGACAAGACGGAACCTGACAACATTCTCGAAGCCGCCTTACCAGTCAATCCAGCGATATCAACCGACGAGCCTATCAATAGGGGCCGATATGCGATTTTTTGCATTTAAAACGTGAGCACGGCTCCATGCTGACTCCAGGAGTACTTAGAAGCCTAATTCAATCGTTTGACAAGATCACTTCGCCCGTGCTGAATGTTAGCCCGGTCAGACTCGCATTTGCACCAGTCGGCTCAATGTCGACACATAGTTTTAACGTGTAGCATGCCCGTTATATTGAAGTCAAAATTCCCCTTTTGTGCATTACTGAATAGAGGGTAGCTCGCTATCACCCTTGGCACCACTTCAAAGAAGCAAGTTGGAGTCTTCTCTGACATGTGACAAGCATATTGCATATCAAGCCATCGATTTCAGGGTACCGAACGCCTCCCGGTTACACATCAAGCACGGATTTGGATTGCTACGGTAGGTTACAATGCGGGATATAAGTAGAGGGCAAATGATAATGACGAAGATGATAGTGTATGGAGAGCCAATGACAGAGAATAAATAATCATCCCTGATGCAACCCGGGGGATCTTCGTTAGCAGCATCGGCTTCGAGACCGACAATAATTGAATAAAAGATTTGGCTCCGCTTGAGAGCCCCGGAGATCTCAAACGGCAATGCGTTCCAACTCTTTGACGACTTCAGACATAGTTGGGCGATCATTAGGATCATGGGCCCACATCCGCTCGAGGAGGTCAATAATTTCTGGACACCATTGTTTCCGCAGGCCTGTAATAGACGGTCTAAATGTCTCTCGTCAGCGTGCGAGATAATTGGACTACAAGGAGACAACTCACCTCTGCCGTTTCGTTCCAACGATATCGTAAATGGCATGTTCATTCATTCCCTTAAAAAAACTGAGACGAGATAGGAAGATAGTGGTAATATATTCACCTCCCAGGGGAACTTCTTGTTGGGTACGTGCCATTGGAACATTTCCCAGTACACCATGGCGCACGAAAAGACATCAACTTTGTGGTTATATTTGGGATGCGCATGCCAAAGCTCGGGAGCTTGCCAGTTAACAGTGCCAACTAGACTGCGAACCATGGACCGCGTGGACTGCTTCACTTTGGCCAGACCAAAGTCTGCAATCTTAGCCGTACCGCGAGAAGTAATGAGGATGTTGGACGATTTGCAGTCTCTGTGGATAACCGAAGGCTTGCGCATATGAAGGTATTCCATACCACGCGCAACATCCAGCATGATGCTCAACTGTGAGGAGGATGCATAGGCAAGAAGAGAAAAGGAATAACAAGCGTACGTACAACTTTTTTCAGGGACGGAGCAGGAACATTGCGAATGTAGTCGAAGAGGTCGCCATTTGAGCAAAGTTCGCTTACTATCATGACGGGTGTCTCGCGCGTGTTCTCCGGTATGCTGACGCCAAGCTGTAGAGCACAATGTAAATCGCGATTCCAACAGTCTCGACGGGGATGCTTACGAAGCGGACTATATTCGGATGATCAAAACCACCGAGAAGTTTGAGTTCTTTGATATCCACTACAGCGCATGTTTACAACGTGGAAGCCTCATGGGTAACAGTTGCGACGTACTTGAATTGAGCTGATCTCGAAATTCCGCAATGGCGACCCGTCTGCCCTTGAACTTGCCGATGAATACGTCCTTGAAGCCCCCACTTCCAATCTTCTCCAGTTTTGTGAGTTTGTCAGGCGGAATTTCTCGATCTTCTAAACCTAGGCTTTCAAGATCCAATTCTAGCTCTGGCTCTGGCTGACTCGTGTTCTCGCCTGACAAAGGAGTGCGTGGTGCGTCTTGATGAATTCGATGGGAGCGTAAGAGGACCGGAGGGGTATTGCTTTGGCTGCGGCTCTTGGTCTTTCTCCGGCCATTAGCACGATGGTGAGCGGTGGACGGCGGACGAATGGTGCCTGTGGAGGAGGGCGAAGAGAACTCGCTTGTTCGTTGATCTCGCCACTGAAGGAGCGACCGTGCGAGTTGAGGCTTCGTACCAGCAACATCCAGATCCCGAGTTTCGCACATCCGGACAAGGTTATCACGACGCATACGGAGAAGGGTCTTCTTGGTGGCCACAGCGAGATCGACTGCAAGAGTTGTGTGAGTAATATGAAAAATTAAGAAAAAACAAACTAACAGTCATCTCCGTCTATAGCTTCATCAATCTCCTCAATCTCCTCTGTCTCCTCCTCATCCCCCTCAGCGTCGATGTCAATATCCTCAGCCTCTAGGTCAACTGACTCGTTACCATCTTGCTCCTCGTCTTCACCAGGCGTATCCTCTTGGCATTCCTCCCCAACCACCTTCCCGTTGCGGAGCTTCCGTGGAGTAGTTGTTGGCGGAGGTGACGTACTTTCCTCCACATATACATCATCATCTCCGTCCGCATCTCGGCTATCCTCTGACTGCTCGTCATCCATACTCGAGCCATCCTCCTCCACGCCCTCTTCGACTTGTTCCTCGTCAGCTTCCTCTTCATCATCACCTTCCCCTCCGTCGCTTGGGGGAGTATGTGTTTGTAGTCTGCGAGAGCGAAGACGTCTTTTAGCGGGGGTTGCTCGACATCGCATGGGTGGCGGAGTAGGAGATGGAGATGAGATAAGTTCATCGACCTCTTCCTCGTCCTCTAAACTATCTTCTACCTCCTCCCCTCTCGAAGTCTGCCGTCTAGATCTTCCCCGTTGCTTTGGCGTATCAGATTCCTGATCATCGCTAATTCCACCACGTTTCTCCCGACTTCGCAGCCGACGAGGACTGGGTGAGCCCGATGCAATCTTCTCATCCAGCTCAGTGAGATCGGTGAGCTCGCTCTCCTCGCCAAATGCAGCAGATTCAGCGATCTTGACATCTTCGCTGAATTCGACTTGTTTGCCCTTGCCCTTGCTCCTAGTAGAGGCACGGGGAACGACAACCTCAGCGGATACTTTACGAGCACGCAACCTCGTAGCAGGAGGGGATGGGAGCTGATTGGAGGAACTTGGTGTGGGTGAAGATCGGCTGGATGTAGACCTAGTTGTCCGTCGTCTGAGTGAGATATTAGCACACCGAATTCAATTCGGAAAATTCAACTCACGTCAGGGCGACAGTACCATTGGTCTTACATGCAACCGGTAGCTCGTCGGGACATGAGTGACTTGCGTTGATATGGCCAACGGATAAACTACGTGTTTTCAAGAAGCGTGAATTCGCCTGATTTGTAGCCAAGTGAACTGTAGCACGACGCCGCAGACCCGGGGGAACTCGATATCTGGTTCCAGCGTCCGTTTCCTCGCCGCCTGCTGCGTTTCCCTCGTCTGAGGAGCAGTCGCTCGGATCCTGCCCAGGAGATGAGGGAGGTAATGATACGATATCGTCTCGCGCTGCAATAATTGCTTCTGCGAGCTCCAGCTTTGTGAGGTTGTGCGCATCGTCCGATAGACCCGCTGCAGTGTACAACTGAAGAAGTTCATCTTTTCGACGACGTTTGAGCTGGCCCAAGGATGCTTCATTTATCAGAAACTCATCCGCTGATAGTAGATAAAGAGATTAGTGCACCAAAGATCACAATGCACAAGTACTTACATGCTTCTTCATCGCAGTCAATCTCAGAAGCGTCAGACACATTCCAGCGACCAGGAACATCAACTTCCATGTCACTAGGTTCTTCGCTGGATGAGTCCCGGATCGACGAAGCTTTGAGCTTCTTCAGTTTTGGAGCCCCACGCGGGGGCCGACAGCCAGACATGTTTTCATTAACCGACGCGACGCGTTTCCTTTTTGAACCAATAGGAACGTCAAGATTTTGACTCACATCTCGAATGCTATTTTTCATCAAAAGATACTGACGGGATGGCAGCCGTCGCAAATTGGGCTGCAATGTAGCCAGTATGGGACGCGAATCAACAGTAGTGTCCGAAGATGATGGTGGGGACGCGCCCACCGTGTGGGAATTAGCCGAGGAACGCTGGAATCTATTCACGAAAGCAAGAGCGCGTTTGGCAGCGGAGGTATGGCGGAGCGAATACTGTCTACGCGCCAGATTATTGCTATTCGGAGGAAACGAGACTCTATGTGGTGAACGGCGTTGAACCATGTCCACGGCAACAATAACTGGTCCAGTCTATTGGATCGATTGTCACCAACCTTTTAGACGAGGTCGTTGAAAAGTGCGAATATCCAGTTTGTTGAAGTAATTAAGGTGCAAGTGCGAATGGGAATCGGTCAAAGGACCTCTGGGTCGTTTCAGCCGTCGTCGTTGTCGTCGGTGTTGAAATCACTGGTTCTGACACAGTTTCAACCCCTGCCACAACGTCAATAAAACCAAACAACTGGTGGCGTGGGCTTATCTAACCAAATATAGCATTCGACTCAGGATAGATCCGTGCCAATGGGCAGTCCACTGCATAGGCATGTCCTACTGGCGCTCTGATGGCTCAGAATACGGGAGATTAATGTGATTAGACGGCATAGCGGACAGACAGTACCTAGGAGGTTAAATGATTAGCAAGCTTGCTTCCGCAGATGCGGAGTTCTTGATGGAAGTTCTAGATCGATTATTTGACAGCTGATCAAAGGGATAGCTGAATCGAGCTTGGTGTACTTCACTGCCAGCGACCCCTCCTTACCACCGCACACATATGTACGTATAAAAAATCCCGCTGTTCTTGAGGACAGATTTCCACTTCCCCTTGCTCGTCGCTCTTCTCTCTGTCAAGTCAACAGCAGGATGCTCCTCAAATTTTCAAAGTCGGATATCCTGAACTCGGCTCTCGTTTATCCCGAAACTGGTGCTCTTGGATATACCATCCTTACCAGGTCCTATTTTATTCATGACAATAATAAGGATTTAAACGCAGAGAGCGAAGATGAGAGTCGCAGGACGACTATATATAATAAACTTGGGGAGGTCATCGCTGAGATCGGATGGAAGGGCAAGCAGCCAATAGAGATTGTCATCGGCAAGGAAAAAATCATCGGAGCGAAAGGGATGTTTGGGTGCTCGAGTGCCATACTATCGTATGTTCTTTTTATCCACCTTCATATCCGCACGTTCTCAACACCACAAAGTCACAATGTCCTCGGCATACCTACACGCTTCGACACGGAATACTTTTGGATGGCAGCACCAGATGCACTAACAGTTTGTGCTTTCCTTTAAGCCTGGTATCACTACTGAACGTCATGCAGCTTCTTGACTATGATTCAAATCAGACAAAAGGTTCTTTCCACAGCAATAGTATGCACGTGGGGGAACGCTTCATTGCTGCTCCGATACCCGGCTTGGGACATGACTATCTAGAGTTTGAAACGCATCCCCTCGCATCAACAGAGGAACTCCTCGGTACATCTTTTCTACTCCTTTTAGCTAGCGTCATTATCTGACATCGCTTCGAAGTTTCATTTATCCTGATGGAAGTACTCCGCCGAAGTCGCTTCAATCTCCATACAGACTCATCGGATCGTTCGAAGCTCTGGCGGAGCACACCACTCGCCAATTGGGGCCGACGATTACGACGGAAATCTATTTGATTGGTCCGGTTCGATGATTCAGATTTTTCATCGCTTTTCTGTTGCATCCTATGTGCTTTCTTCCCTGCATCTCTTGCTACCACTGTATATTCATATTCTGTTTGTCGATGCTTTCGCTAATGTCGCTCATTCCTGTGTAGCTCTATCAGTCCTATCGCATTTCATTCAATCTCATGCATTATTACTCTCTGGCGTTTAATCGCCCTTTCAATGTAATACGGTACATACTGTGGTGCTGAGGAGGATACATTCCATCAGCATAAGATTTAGGTACTGTATTTATACCAGATAGGCTTGTTGTTACAGTATCAACCGTGTGTCGTCTTTTCTCGCTAAGTTACATGTACTGTGCTATAGATGTTACGTAAATGCCAGACGTCGAACCGAAATCTGTTTTTAGTTCATTCTTTGTAATCACCAATGAGGGAACAAAGACACTGATATAAATGGTAAGCTTCTGTTCCGAATGTGCTTACAGAGGATGCTCGTCTAGACTAATTCTGACGTGTGCATCTCCCGTGGCTAGTAGGGTCGCTATCTATGTCGATTACGTTCAACAGTTAACCAATCCCCGACTCCCACGAAATGCTTTTCTCAGTTACATCCAGCACATCTCTATCAAAAGTTCCCCTTATCATGATAGCACTGATGATGATCCAACTAGATCGGTTAAAGTATTCCACACAAACACGTCGATCGTCATGGATACTCCCCAGCGGCTCGGAGACTTTTTGAGTGAGGCTCAAGATTGTTGCCTGGCCTCAGGTTCTCGCTCACTCGTCACCTTATGACCATATCCCAGCTACCTGCACAACCAGTCGGACCGACCAGATCTTACCCGCTTGGTATGTTTGGCTTCACCTCATCGATCTAGTCTTAGCTAAGTGGTTAACAGGTTCGAAATCCGCCGTGACACCTCTACTATCGTAACTTGGGCATTGGCTCTCGGTCTTAATTTTTAAGGCTCATAGTAGACAAGTGGTTAACAGATTCGAAACCCGCTGACAATAGTTTTGTCTATCATCGCACCTTGGGTATGAGCTCATGGAGAGGTCTTCGAACGTCATTTCAACCATAAGACTTATGGGCGAGTGGTCGACACATTGGATGTCCCTCCTGGATGGTGCAAGTTCCGAGGACATCTCGATCCTTTGCACCTGAACCATTTAATTATGATAGCTTAAATTTCCTTAAGGACCATATTGTCCGGTCCTAACTGAGCAGTGTAACAATTGGAAATTTGTTCCGCTTCGCTGGATTGTTTGAAACCTGCCTACGACATCGTTTTTAATCGACTCATTGGCCCAGGCGCAGTTCGGAACTTTCTGAGATCCCTGTCTATGAAGCTTAGGTGTACTACTTACGGAGTCAGGAATTGGTGTCGCGCACTACTTATCTCAACGCCAAAGCTCTCGATGAACATAATACGGTAAGTTGTCACTTCTAAGAATATCATGATTTCTATCAATTCTTATCCTGACCATCACTCGTACACATTCGCAACCGTGTACATCTTTGTAGTGGACACAGGCTTCATTGGTTCCTCACCGTAAATCTTCTCCACCTTGTACATCGCCGAGGAGGGGACAGGACCAGCATCGGTGGTAGTCCCCGAGGGTGGCGGCACTGGAGCCTCGACGGTGACAACACCAGGCTTACCCGCCTTACTAGCCAGATTGGCTGCACGCCCATCGGGAATCCGGATGAACTCGAGCTTCCCATCCTCCGCAGTGCCGTCAAAGATGAAATAACCCTTCCTCTCAAACTGAATAATGTCCCCTTTAGTGAGCGTACTTACGTTCGCATCTGCGAACGCCTCCTCCCGGAACTCGCTCACGGGCGTGACGAAATCTTTGATGTCATCCGTCTCCTCAAGCTTCTTCTTCGTGATCAGGTAGTCGTAGTCAAGGAGCGTTACGTCGACCAAGGGATAATCATTAGAGGGTTGGGCAAGCCAAGTAATCTTTTTCTTTGTCTTGCGGAAATCACCCTCAATATGGAGGTCCATCGTGAGGGAAGTAACATCGCCCGAGGGTCCCGTGGTCTTAGACCGTACGATGGCGTTTCCCCAGTCCATCAACGTTATCTGACGCGATCAGTGCGGATGAGACCTGTCTCTCGGCTATCGTTGGCATGACATACCTCTTCTTGATCATCGAAGGAAATGGCGTCTTCCTGCTCGACGAGAATGGTAGATGTAAATATGGTCCTTTTCTCGCCGACATCTGAATTCTTCTTATGCCGTGGTAGGGTCTTCACCTCGGGTGCAGAGGGGCCACCGTTAATAGTCACAAAGACACTGGACGACTGTGTCAGCTTGCAGATAGGTGTTTGGTATTACTGATGACGGCACCTGTTCTGCTTCACAATGGCCCAAAACCGCGGGGCAACAGGATCAATTACTTTCTTATTAATGGCCCAGATCATATCCCACTCGAGCGATACAATCGCCTGTGAAGGCCCTTGAGCCAACATGAACTGTGACAGCGCGTCCACAGTCAGCCCGCGTCTACGGATCCCTGCCGCAGTCGCATCAGAAACAGCCTTGTGCTCCACAAGGAGAACTAACCCCGAATGGTTGGGAAACGTGGGTCATCCCAACCCCCAACTATTCCGTTGTCCACAAACCAATGCAACTTTCGCTTGGACAAAAGTGTATAGATGAAACTTAGACGACTGCAGGGGTGTCAGTAGTTTTTAAATACAGATCCAAGAGAGAGATTGACCTGAAGTCCCAGATATCAACACCGCGCATGCCAAGGGCTTTGATCATCCACTGATATTGCGCATTTCGCTCGCGGTACTCGTTCGTTCTGAGGGCATGGCTAACTCCCTCAAGGGAGTCCACGATTGGGCACGCAAAGTCATAGGTGGGGTATATTTTCCACTTATCTCTGTGAGATGGATCAATATTCGGTGCAAATTTAAGTGGATGGCTCCATACCCAGTTCGGTGATGAGGGATTAAGTTACATCGGTAAATAACGGGGTCACGCAGAGCTTTGTTCTGATTGTCCACGCTGATTTTCGCGCGGATGCACCATCTGACACCTTCTGGAGATCCGGTCTTCATCTCCTCCAAGTGCCTCAGATTGTCCTCGATCGAGTCATCTCGATGAGCAGATGCAACACCTTTGCCTCGTTCCTCGCGCATCTAATTTTTGGCCCTGTCAACATTTATGCATGATTCCTAAACTGAAGCTCCGCACCTGTAATTGCTCGGTATCATCGGCGTAAGCTTTACCACTCTTGATTATTTGAATGGCCAATTCGTAAATCTGGTCAAAGTAATCTGATGTGTGGGTTATTTTATCCCCGCGGATGTTTAGGAGCTCCAAATCTTGCAAGATAGTCTCCTCGAACTCAGCCTAGGCAATTTACTGTAAGACTTCGTGTGTTTGTGAATAAAACAAGGGGCTTACCCGTTCTTTTGTGGGGTTGGTATCATCAAAACGAATGATCATCTTCCCATTGTACATTTTTGCGAAATACTGGTTCAGCATCGCAGCCTTTGCATGTCCGATGTGGAGGTACCCAGAGGGTTCAGGCGGGAAACGCGTGACGACCTGGCCTTCCTTCGCATTTTGGAGGCCAAGAGCAAACCCTGCGGCTGTTTTATTCGATCTGGCTTTATTGGCTTTAGCTGCTGTAAGGCTCGCGAGCGCAGCTTGAATGGACTCGAGACTCTCGATGTGAGACATCCACCGAAGAAGATGGACATGCTGCTGCCCATTTTTGAGAAACCCAATAAATTTTGGTGCAACTGATGAATGTCAGACACGACGATATCAACGACTTGGCTGATCGCTACCTTTGATTGAACCCCAGATGATGAAATCAGCTGCAGTAATGTCGTGGCCGACGAGGAATGTGCGGTATGCGAGATGGTTATCCAAAGAATCGAGAAGAGCAAGGATATCTGGGATCGCTGTCAATGTCGGCACAGTTTTTGCGAGCTCAAAATACACGGCAGTCTGTAATTGATTCAGTTAAACTTGTATGAGTTATATCAAAGATTCGCAATACCTTTACGCTGTCTCCAGCGAGTCCTCCTGCGTTGGCCAACACGGCTACGATCTCATCGTTCGCAGAGATCTGTGAACCCTCAAAGTCTAGAGTGACACCATCTACTGATTCGTCGTAGTTTATGTCTACTTTCTGCGTGTACGTCGCGATGGCGATCGAAGCGTAAGGAAACGGGGAAGTTTTTGTTGAAAGTGTGATAGACATGATTGTTCAGTTCAGAGAGTAGCGATGATCATGCAATGACTCACTACCAGCTTTTGCCAGCAAGATGAACTCTAATCTTATCTATGTGATGTACACAATCTATCCTTGGATCTCCTCCCAAGCTTTTCTCTACAGATAAATTGATCCACTGATCGCAATCGATGTTGCCGCAACGTTGAACATCGAACGTTCAAGTTGAAGCTTTCAAGTTGAAGGGCTACTCTAAGCAGTCTGATCAAACTACCCTCGAATGTTTCCTCCGTCCCGAGTGGGTTTTTCAAACTTTAGATCTGACGAGGTTGTCGACTGGGTTTGGCAAGAGAGGCCGCATTGGCCGTATGACAGTACCAGGGTTTGACAATGACTCCATCTGACTCCATTCGTACCTGGAGCATGATTATTATTAATTGCCAAGGGGGCTTTAAAGAATAAAAGTCCATCGGCTTCTGCAGACAACAGTGTGACTCAAGTACTCGACTGCCTGCTTCAAATAATTTTTCTTCCCCCAAATATTTGGTTTCTCTTTCACCAAGTCCGCCCATCATGCCTTGCATGCTGTCCGTCCTTTCTAGTTTGATTTTCATCGCTTCTTATTGATCACGACCCGTAGCATCGATCCAACTCAAAAGTACAGACCATACGTACCACTGGTCCTCGACAATCGCCAATGGCCAACCAAGACGTTCACCAAAGCTCCCATATGGCTTTCCACAGATCTTCGTGACGGAAACCAGGCCTTGGCATGCCCAATGACGGCAGATCAAAAGCTCACCTTCTTCCGTTTGCTGGTCAAATGCGGATTCAAGGAAATCGAAATCGCCTACCCCTCTGCTAGCGACACCGATTTCTCATTTGTTCGATATTTGATCGAAAACAATGAGATCCCGGATGACGTATGGATCCAGGTAAACACTCTTGCAAAATTACTTGGTTACGTCTTCTGATGTTTGGTCTAGGTTCTGACTCCAGCTCGCGAGGACCTCATCCGAAAGTCATTCGAAGCTGTCGCTGGTGCAAAGCATGTTATCTTGCACATGTATAACGCGCTTTGCCCCATGTTCCGCAACATCGTTTTCCGTAACTCGAAGGAACAAACAATCGAACTGGCTACTAGACACTCCAAACTCGTCAGCGAGCTTGCTGATCAATACTCTGCATCACACGGCATGAAATTCCGTTATGAATACAGCCCGGAGACATTCACCCAGACAGAATTGGAGTTTTCTCTCCAAGTTTGTGAGGCTGTCAAGACTGCATGGGGCAAGGCTGGGCCAGGCATTGACCGCATTATCTTCAACCTTCCCGCCACTGTTGAAATTGCTCCTCCTAACCATTATGCTGATCAGGTAGGCGCTTTTATGACAGTCTAAACCACGTTCGTTCACCATAATCAAAGATCGAATACTTTGCCGCTCATATATCTGAACGAGAAAACGTTATCATTAGTTTGCACCCACATAATGACAGAGGTGCGTCATGAACATATTTAATCACAGACGTATTTCTGATACTTCATAAAGGCACTGCTATCGCTGCTGCTGAGCTCGCAGTCCTTGGCGGCGCTGACAGAGTGGAGGGCTGTTTGTTTGGTAATGGGGAACGTACAGGAAATGTCGACATTGTGACCCTAGCATTGAACTTATACACACAAGGAATCACTCCCAATCTCGACTTCAGTAACATCCAAGAAGTCATTGACGTCGTGACCTCCTGCAATGACCTCCCTGTACACCCAAGACACCCTTACGCTGGCGAGCTCGTCTTCACGGCCTTCTCTGGTTCGCACCAGGACGCCATCAAGAAAGGTTTCGAAGAACAGGGTATTCGTCACAAAAAGAATGATGAAAACGGCGAGCTCAAAATGTGGCAAATACCATATATGCCCCTGGACCCTGCCGACCTCGGATGCAGTTATGAAGCTGTCATTCGCGTCAACGCGCAGTCCGGAAAGGGAGGCATCGCGTACCTCGTCAAGCAACACCTGCAACTCGACCTTCCTCGTAATATGCAGATTGCATTCTACAAGGTCATTCAGCAAATATCCGACCGCGAGGCGCGCGAAGTCACCGTGGAAGACATCACGACGGCGTTCCGCCAGACTTACCGCTTTGGTGGATCGAAGTATGAAGGTAGACTAGCGCTCAAGTCATTCCGTATGACAACTGAGCCGTCACCTGATCCTACTGACGACCGTGAACCTTTCGACGAGCGTCGTCGCTTCGATGGTACAATGTTGGTGGATGGCGTATTGCGTGTCATTCGTGGGGATGGCAATGGTCCCATCTCTGCTCTTCTTGACGCTCTGCGCACTCATTTGGACATCAATATGACCCTCCGCGAGTACACGGAGCACGCAGTTGGCGAGGGAGAAAACTCCAAGGCAGCCTCATACATCGAACTCGTCAATACCACTGACGACATCAAGGAAACTCGCCAATCATCGGAGTCGTGGTGGGGTGTTGGACTCGACTCTGACATTTCCGCTTCCAGTTTGCACGCCGTATTGAGTGCAGTTAATGGTGCCATCGGTGACCGTGTATTGCCTGAGCTGAAGCTCAGTGTCGGCTTCAATACCACCTCTGGCCAATCGGATGTTTCGGACGCTATCGTCAATACTCTAGGTTTGACACTCCCTCGCAGATTGCAAACTTCCTTCTTCGAGGTCGTGCAGCGCGCCGTGCGTGAGTCAGATAGCAAAATTTCGTATGAAGACCTCACCCGTCTCTTCCGGGAGACATACGGCTACGAGGTTGAAAACAAGGGCAGGTTTTCTCTGGGTGACTTCCACTTTGAGCGCGTCGAAGGCGGCGGCCCCCAGTTCAAGGGTGATATGGAGATCGACGGCGTAGTGTGCAAAGTCGTTGGTGAGGGTAACGGACCTTTGTCCGCAGCCCTCGCTGCGTTGCATACACAAGTTGAAGGTACTCTTGTCTGCCGGGAGTATTCAGAGCACTCTGTAGGAGAGGGTTCAGAAGTGAAGGCTGTCTCCTTCGTGGATCTCGTATATGAGCTGCCAGGAAGGGTCAAAAAAGAAGCTGCTTGGGGATTGGGCAGCGATACCGACATCACTGCATCTGGTATCAGGGCGGTGTTGAGAGCGGCTAGCAGGCTGAGTGTAGTTGCAAAAAAAGCATAAGCTGGTGTTGAGCGCGAAGAAGATATTTTATATGAAAAACGATGTATCAACTGGATGTATAATATCTGACATGCAATTTCATAGTTATGTTCAAAGGAAGAACACACAGTCACGCAGTCACACTGTGACGCCACTAGTTTTCGAGCGTCTGTGTGACAAAGGACGCGTCCTATCTGGCAGTACGAACACTGACAACATCAATTCTGCCATATTCTGTCCATGAACTTAGCCTGAAAAACTCAAGCCGTAGTTTATAGGTGATCGGTCCTTCGAATGTCGTCTCCACCCTCAACTCGCCCCTCAACGTCTTCCAGAGCAAATCTGCATGGCTCACAGTCCATATATCCTCCAGGAGGCCTCATGATGTCCAGTTCACGCCCCTTCCTCAACATGATAAATCCAATGAGCCGTACACACCAAGGCTATTTTCAAGCCAACCAGTTCGTTGTCGAGGAAAACGAGAACGAAAGCACCGAGGAAGACCTAGAAGCAGGCCACGCGACCAGAGGGATCCTGTCCAAGAGCACCAAGTCACACGGAAATCACAGAGTATCATGGGACGGCCAGAGCTCCGAGATGAACATGCTACGGCCTAACATACGAAAGGAGGACAAGACATACGAACAGGAATCAGATGACGATGCCCCTCAGCGCTTTATGATAGAGGATTCTTCGGCGTCTGGCCGCCCCTCTAAAGGCAAGGGCCGCTCACAACCACTTTATTCCACATCTGCACGATCTCTTCCACATGCAACAGCGCCTCCTGTGGATACTCTACCTATGCTTTCAATACCCCCTAGACCGTCAGAACTAGACGTCGACGAATTTCCGCAGACGCCACCATATCAGCGGCCACAAGAATCATCCAAGCCTATGCGTGGGTTGGATGATTACGAACGTGCTCTATGGAACTGGGTCAACGTATATAACCTGGACGCGTTTCTGCAGGAGGTGTATCTGTACTATGAAGGCAAAGGGATTTATTCCATAGCGTTGGCAAGAGGGCTCAATCTCCTGTCAGTGTTTCTTTGTGCATTCAGAATTAATTTGCTGACTGCTAATGCGTAGCACAGTAGGATTCGTAATTGGGTTTTCGACATTCCTACTTGGGTGTGTTGACTACAGCCGTATTCGTGAGGATCAAACTACTCGGTTGTCGGACGTGGTAGTCGGCCGCTGCGTATCAAAGTGCGCAATCGGTTCCAAGAAAGTTAACAGTTACGACATACTGACGTGCGTGACATAGGTTCTCTGGATTTACGCTACTTTTCTTTCTGCTTTTTGCTGCGTTCTATATTTGGCAAATTATATCTTTTGTCTTCGAGGTCAGGCGCTTGGTAGACATGTATAAATTCTATACCTACCTCCTACGTGTCCCAGATGTACGTACACTTCAGTCTTCACCCTTGCCCTGATGCTCATACGCCACGCGTATAGGCCGACATATCAACCATCGCCTGGCCCGAAATCGTGCGCAGGATAGGCGCAATACGAGAAGAAAACCCTATAACGGCCATATCTTCAGCGCACGGCACTAATGCTGCAACGCCAGCAACTGCTTCTCTCGACGCTCACGATATCGCGAATCGCATCATGCGGCAAGAGAACTACCTCATCGCACTGTTTAATAAGGACTTGCTTGATCTTCGCATGCCACTTCCTCCCAAGTTTAAACAAATATTGAGGCAAAGTGATGACGGCAAGGGGCGGACGTTAACAAGGGTGTTGGAGTGGAATTTGCGGTTTTGTTTGATGGAGTACCTGTTTGACCCACAAGGACGCGTCAGGAAGGTATTCTTGAAAAGCAAGAACAGAGCCGTTTTAATTGAAGGGTACGCCTTTTCCTCAGCTAAACGCGAGAAATTTTACGCTCATGTGATTTAGGCTTCGTCGACGTCTCATTTTTATGGGTATATTGAACGCTATTTTTGCACCATTTATCTTCCTCTACATGATCATGTTTTCATTCTTCCGCTATTTCGAGGTGCGCCACCCCTGCTATAACTTGTGGTGTTGCCTAACATCCTACAGGAATACCACAAAAATCCGTCATCGATTGGTGGCCGGCGCTACACGCCCTTCGCTCAATGGAAGTTTCGCGAGTTCAACGAACTCTCCCATCTCTTCACGCGGCGGTTAGATGAGTCACATCCCCTAGCGAGCATGTATATCGGCCAATTTCCCAACGAGAAGATGACCATCATCATGCGGTTCGTTCATGACTTCTCTCCTCACCAATTGCACTGATCGCCTTTTTAGTTTCGTAGCTTTTATTGCCGGGTCCTTTGCAGCGGTGCTCGTGCTCGCGTCTGTCATCGATCCCGATTTGGTCTTGCACTTTGAGATTACGCCGCATAGGACTGTCTTATTCTATCTTGGTATCTTTGGGGCCGTGCTTGCCGTTGCGAGAGGGATGATACCAGAGGATAACAGGGTATTTGATCCCGAGCTGCTCATGACAGAGGTCATTCAATATACGCATTACATGCCAGATGAATGGAAGGGGGAGCTACATTCCAAGAAGGTTGGTTGGTCCTAGCTTTCCATCGTCGAACTTGTTGACATTGGATCGTAACAGGTTCACCAAGAATTTGGAGAGCTTTTTGCGATGAAGATACCCATTTTCATACAAGAGATCGTCTCAGTCTTGACGACACCATTCATACTCTGGTTTTCATTACCTTCATGCGCACCCGCTATCGTGGACTTTTTCCATGACTTCACTGTCTGGATACCTGGGAGAGGGTATATTTGCAGCTTTGCCGAGTTCGATTTCAAGAGGCACGGCAATGTCAAGGTGAGACAATCGTTCTAAGTTGTTGTCTACGTCTACTGACCATTGAGTAGTTCGGAGCTCCCGCACAAAACCAAGATGAGCGTATGATGTCTCGAGAGGGCAAGATGGAAAAAAGTTTTTTGAATTTCAAGGTTTGTGACTTTAATATATAATAGTCCGTATTTCTAATGACTGTTCCTGTCATTCAGGCAGCGAACCCCGACTGGAATCCATCAGATCCCTCCGGCTCCCTGTATCTCAGTCGCATCGCCGACCTCAGTGCACGGCGCAGACTTTCCGCTTCGAAGACAGCATTCGACAATACCATCCTACTGAACGATGGCAACAAGGACCCCGTGGAGCGTGCTCACGAATACGACCGCGCTCTTCGGCAGAGTCAGCATGCTGCCCTCCGGCGAAGACTCCAGCTAGGTGGAGGCAACATCATCGCAGGTGGGGGCGGTATCACTTCTTCGACTATATGGCAGTCGGCCATTGGCTCGAATTCAGCTATGGGCATGGCACAGACCGCGATACTGGGCGACTCTCAGGGAAGTATTGCGCCTCTGCCGCCGCCGATACTGGATGAGGACAGGGATTTAGATGGTGGTGTTGGCAGTGGACTGGGCGATTCATACGTTGATGGGGACACTCAGGGCAAGAAGCCGTACGAGTCACAGGAGGAAGGTATCAACGACGAAGAGGAGTTAGAGGACGGTGGGGTGCTTGGGCTACTGGCGCAGATATATGCTGCGAAGGGCCCTAAACATGTCCCTGTCATCTGAAGGCTGCGTACATGATTTCTATTAAACCACATTAATGCTTATATCTTGCACATTTGTAAATACTCGCACATATGATTTCTATCCTGCGTTTTTGTAATGCCGACTTCGCGTGAGTCCGGGTAGACTGCAAACCTTCCTTCGAACAGAGATCTACAATAGAGAGCTGCGCGGTATCATATCTTTCTCCGTGAATACAACAAGAGGGCGTGACATTCCTGTGACACCCGCGCAGTCATTGGGTCATGTGAGATGTTTGGCGTCAAATACGAAATTACGTGGTATGTCGTCGAAAACATGAAAAACCATACACTATTCAAGCAACGAAGACTCAATATGCAGCTGCTCTCTCTCTCGCTAGGATCTCTTCTACGCGTTTCACCTTGTGATCATTGCCATCACCCACGGGGGTATCTCGATCTACGCGTGTACCAATACGGATGTCTGTGGCAACTCGAGGGGCACCTTTGGCGTGAACTGCAGTATGGCAATCATGTATGGCTTGAGACACTTCACTCCAAGGCCCCTCTAACAAGAAAGTTCGATAAAAGACCAAGGGTTGATTACCTCTTACAACGTACCAAGATTAGTGCCGTACCCGCTGAAACATGTGTCGTTATCAGAAGTTCGACATCTGAATAAAAAAAATCTTACTGCATCTGAAGCAAGATTAGTTAAATTGAGTATGACAACTTGCCCATGCTCACCTTGAACGTCAGCCCTGATTTTTCCAAGACTCTCTGACACTCTGCGATATATTCGGCAACCTAAAACGCATTTACTTTGGTCGATAATCCCCTATTTCCCGTGGACGTACGGAAGATTCTCCTGTTCCCATTGGGATGAGACAGAAATCTGAACAAATTGTGAGGTCATGAGGTAATGGATATTACTGAAACTACAAACCTGCTACGGCATAAAGATCGCTGGGCATGTTGGGCGTTATTGTCAAAGTCGAAATACCCCCTTTTTTTCTTATAAGCATGAGCTCCGGAGAGTGCCGAAGGCTTGATTTAGGAATAAATATTAAAATAACGTTTATGGGTTGCGCAGCGCTCAGAGTAGAGCCATAAGATGCCTTCAGCCGCGCTGCAATCGAGGATCAAAGCTTTCGAGGCTCTCGCCGACCAGCGTCCTTCTCAAACGACGACAAAACCTTCGTTTGTCGTTTTAAAGGCAAAATATCCTCCTTCATCTAATACTAATAACCTCCTGGAATCACCTATCTCACCTACCTCAGACTCAATCCCACCAATTGCTCCATTTACGCCGTCAAAGTCTTTGAGCAGGTCACCCTCACCGTCGCCTCCAAATCTAGGTCGTAGGACTTCATTAATTGACTTAAAAGACTGGATTGTAGATGATGGACCAAACGGGGCACCGTCCGGCGTCTCACACTACAATGGCAGGCATCTGAAAGGCTTTCCAGATATCAGGAGAACGCCCCCACAGGTTCCCCATAAACCTGCTGCTGCTCGTTTAGCACCAATGTCTTCAGCACTACTCATTAACTTGGAATCCCCTCCCAAGTCACGTCCGCCCCTCCCACCACGTAAACCTTCATATACATCGACAGACTCTTCACCTTCAATTTCAAATTCTGCTATCTCTGACAGCAGTGCTACTCTACGACCCCCAGGGCGCTCAGATTCACTCACTGTAGAGCACACTTACCCCCCTCCCCATCCACATGCTTTTGGCTCAGCCCGCGCAAGCCACGCGCCCGCTTCTTCCATTTCATCATTTCATTCCGTATCTCTTTCTGATGGAAGCGACCTGAAACCCATGAGCTCAAGACTGTCCGTACAGTCATCGCTTGTGACAAATGGTGACAACGATGGCAGCGTGGACGGGGACATCGCAAGCATCGCTGACTCATTTGAGAATGTGTCTGTGACTTCCGCGATAAGTCCTACCACCAACGTCCCTTTTGATTGGGGGAAGGCCGTTAGCGCTAACGGCAACGGCATACCTAGGCCCGAGCCTCCAAAATTACCTCAGCGACCAGGTACAAAACTTCCCTTGTCGCCCCCCGTTTCGAGATCAGTATCAACATCGTCATCTATAACGCCCACCACTCACCGACCCCGACCTCCACCTCCACCGCCTCAATCACGCACTAAACTTCCTTCCCGTACATCACCTGCATCCACCTCTGCATCCACCTCCGATCGCTCGTCCATCCTAAGCAACGCAACCAGCGCCTCCCTGACAAGCATAAGTACCACAAGCATAAGTACCCGAAATAGCGGGCAGTTGACACATAAAGCTTCATTACTCCTGCGACCCACGCCAGTCCCGCCTGCCGCACGGACCCGCTATGAAGCCTTATTTATTGCGACTGTGATTAGTCGACGGAAAGCTGCCAAGAAAGCCAAGCTGAAGTCCCCACCATCATCTACATTATCGGTCAAGAAGAGCAGACAAGCTGCTGGCTGGAGAGGGCTTTCAGTCGACCTGATCACCAACCCGGAGGATCATCCTTTACTACCCTTGAAGGATGCAGAAAGCGAGAATGACGACGATACAGATCTAGTCCCAGTTGGACCTGAAGAGAGACTAGGCGGCCGAATAGTGAAGCTCGTCTGGAGTGCTTCAAAACTTGACCGCGGCAAACTCCGGGACATATGGTGCGCACTGCAGTCCTTTTGAAGCACCCATATTCATTCATTCTTCACTGCAGGAATGACTGTGATCCATCCTCAACCGGCTTTCTTGATCGTGAAGCATTCGTCAAGGGAATGTGGCGAATCGACGAAGAGCTCCGGAGAGCCCAGCTGACTAGACGGACGTCTGCACTCAGCGCCGCTTCGTCACAACGCATTCCCCACCGCCCGAAGAATGCGAGCAATCCAAGATTGTTATTGCAATAGTAGGACGTGCTTCCCTTATACCCCCGCACTCTCTTCCATACCCGTGGACTATGTAATAAGTCATCTCTCACGACCATGCAATATACTCACGATCTAATTACTCTTGCCGGACTTGGGTGCGTACATATGCTTTGTGGACTTTTAATTTGTTTGTGGATGCCCACAAGCACCAAAGCAGTGGAGTCTTGAATGCTCTTATCGACGGCCTGCGTTTTTCCAAGATTAAATAAACACGAACGCTACCAGTTGGAGTCATTGAGAAGCTGGGACCACGTCTAATTCGGACAACCTACCGTCACCAGGAGATAGCTATTTATTAAGATGAAGCTTCCATTCCAGTCTGGTCAAGTTTGGAACACGGATGCGATACTGCCAGCGCAATGCCAACGATTGCAGGGGTTCAGAGCGAAGAACGTCGAAACATTTCACCGACATTTCGCAGTGGTATCATAAACACTAGAGTGCAATCTACAGACGAAACTTCCCACATCATGATCATGTTGGTCTTCTCGGGCGCCGCGGTCCTAGGTGGCTAAAAGTTACCAGTCACTTCATCCAAGGTCGCTACAATGGGTACTTCAACCCAGAAATTGAATATACAAGTCCCTATACTTTTCTGAGATCACGGGGGAGACGGCACAGGGTACCTAGTGTGATCAAGTTGCAAATCATTCATTCAATTCCATACAACGAGCAACCTCTCCCGCCCAACTCAACAGTTCCTACACACCCTCACCCCAACACCGTACCGAATAATTCCAGATATGTGCATATCATAAGAACGAGAAACAAAACGTAGTAGGAAAGTGTAGTCGCTGGAACGTCGCGAGGTATCTAAATAAATAAATGAAACTTAAACATGTGGTGATACCTGCGTCAAATCATTAAAGACGACATCGCAATGATCGTTGAAAGACATACACTGGCCCGAGCCCGCGGTCCAGCTCACGAACGATATCAAAGTCAATAGCGTCTGCCATCAGAAACCAAACTGCTGGTACGCCCAGCGTTCCGCCAGTCTGGCTGGTTAGATGCGACAGGTCGATCTAGGCATTCCTGGGGAACCATGCCTTGTTCACCACGCCCATTCACGCAGAGCGCCCATGCGTCGTCATACTGAGCAAGCACATGAATGCGCTCGCCCGCTGTGACTGAGAGCTCGTCAGGAAGCGTGGGAATAAACGCGCGGTTGACAACTGCCTCTGGGGCAGTTGGAAACATGGGTATAGGTGTTGTAGTAGGGGCAGGTGGAGAGTACAAGTTGGCTCCTACTGCTGCACGTGCCATGGCAACAGCAGACTCTCCGGGGCTTAGAGAGGGAAGTGGTGGTGGTTGGGAATACATCGGCACTGGATTGTTATACGAAGCGGGAGGCGGGGCTGGGCCTGCATACCCTGTGAATGGACTCTGCATCCTCTGGATTGGAGGCTGTAGGGGGCCCGGATATTGCGACTGTCCATGAGCTTCAAAAGGTGATTTTGGTGAATTCCTCAGCGAAGCAGGCTTTTCAGAGAAATCTTCACTGGGAGCTGCAGGAAGCGGCTTGGTCTCGTTAAAAATATTACCAGCGGGCCAAGAGAGGCGACGGTTCTGCCTGCGGCGGAGATACGTTTTCCGAACGATGAATATGATCAAGGCCAGGGCAACAACTACGGAGGCAGCGATAATACCACCAAGTGCGCCGCCAGAGAGAGTCTGGCTTGATGCGCTACTGACATTGTTAATAGCTGTAGCGGTTGCGCTTGGAGTGGTAGTAATGAAAACCACGGATTGAGATGTGGTATGCGAGGGACTGATAGTCAGTCCCGTGGCAACGGGGCTGCTCGTGGACAAGGTGGTTGAGGGTGAAGCGAGAGTAGAAGTGGGAGTGGATTGAGAAGCTGAAGACGTCAACGTCTGCGAGGTAGAAGGAGATGCAGACGACTGTGAAGAATTAGTCTTCGCTGTCGAGGACACTGCAACAGGTGTGGTGGATGTCGTTGAAGTGGTTTTGGCGGTAGTACTTTGACTTGTGGTAGTTGTAGAGTTTGTGGTAGCAACTTCAGCAAACACGAGAGGAGACGCATATGGGTCGTTTACAGGCTGGACATGACCTAGCCGTTTTGCGTGCCGCACCCGCTCAGCAGGCATGCGTCGAAATTCGGAGTGCATATTGGTACAAGCGGTTTAAGTAGACTCGAAAGGTAGGAGTGCTGAACGATTACAGCTGGAGTTTTGTAAGGAATGTGGGTGGAACCCTCAAGGGAGACCTGCCACGATGAAGATGGCAAAGAGAGAGGATGGGGCTACGTAGATGGTTACCCGTTACGATCACGGGACAGACCATTTACTACGGGCCACAACACGTTGTCAAGAGTCAACGTTTCAACGACATCAATATGTGTCGATAATAGATTTTAAGTTATAATGGAAGAGAAATAAATATATAAATGCACGATCCATGCAAACTGCGAAGCAAACCGCGAATGCTAGGATACATAGAATAACAACGATAGAATACAAGTGCCTAGAAGTCGGACGCCTTTTCCAGTTGTTGTCGTTTCCGCGACCCACCACTGCAGTGAGACCAAGAATAAAACAAGTCAGTACACCATCAACAGCAGTGCAGCGCCCTACTCACACATCGGTGTCAAGACCTCGTTTTTTCCCAGACTTTGCCTCATCCAAGAATTTATCCAGACCGAAGACGTCCCCTGTATCCTTCTCAAATTGTACAGGTCCTTCACGGACTTCTTGATCCTCAGCTCCCTCAAACCCAACACGTGCCTTCCCAAGACCAAATCGATCATTGTCGAGAGCCTTACCGATACCTTCCTCGGTCCCACCACCGAATGAGTCGTCGTTGCCTTCTGCAATATTGCCCCTAGCCTTGTATATCGCCGCTGCCGCTGTCGAGCCGTGGAACAACGGCCGATCGTACAAGTTGTAGTTGTCTTCATCTGCAAACGAACCACTGAGCGACTCCTGATTAAACAGCCTTGAATCCAGCATGCTCTCTTTCGACATGGTCGGCTTGGCAAGACCGAGCGCAATTTTCTCTGAGATATCACGATTTTGTTGCCGTGCAAGCATCTTGGCACGCTGCTCGGCGCCCATGTTGGACATCCGCATTTCGCGTTCGCGTTCACGACGTTTCTCGGCACGCATTTCGTCGCGGAGTTTGCGAGCTTCCTGTTCTTCTGAATCTTCCGGTTCAGCGTCCGATGCAGAAGATTCACTGCCGCTGCCATAGCCAGCAAGAGTTGACGTGACTGCAGCCCGAGATTCTGCTGTTGGTCGGGAAGGTGCGACACCACTGCGCTCTTGGCGGGCGCGCTGTGCAAGCATGCGGAGGTTTTCCTCTTTGGATTCTTTCTCTTTTTGTGCAAGTTTTTGTTGCATGAGTGCACGTTGCCGAACTTCTTCACGAGCATGCCTGTCTGCGACAAACAATGCTTCTGAGAACTTGGCAAAATTATCGTTAATGTGAACCTATTAAACAAAAAATCAAAAATATTAGCCTGAAATCAAGAGAGATAGTACTACTGACATCTTGAAGACCCCGACCGTCTGCGGCCAACCGTTTGTCGAGTGGGATAGTAAAACCTTTGTTGTTCTTCCAATTGGATATACACGGTGGGATCATCCACTCCTTCTGCTCTGCCGCCGTCGCCTTCCTTGGTGGACTCCGCAGTACAGGAGGGGGCGGACTGGGTGGTCCCCTGGGAATCTTCTTATGCTTAAACCTCGGCGGCTCCATCGGATCTTCCACAACCTCTGACATTTTGATAATCCTCTGCTTAAGCGCGCCATTGTCCCCTCCGTTCTGCTGGCCGGGTGTGTATCGTATATAAGTCGTCTTTCCCTGCGCATCCGGGACATGCTTCGGTTGTGCAGCCTTGATCTTTCCGGAAACAAGTTGCTCAAGAGCGGCCCGGGTTCTATCCGCAGTGGCTTGAACATCCTCCTCAGAAGGGCGCTCCATCGTCCGCTGTTCATCCGTGAGGTCTTTTCGATGAGCGATAGGGACGAGGTCTTTGAATTGGGACTGAATATATTTGCCAGAACGTTGGCCTTGGTGAGCAATAACGTCATAACGAACATTGCCTTCGCTATCGACTTGAAGAGCAAGAGTATTGCCTGCGGCCGTCTTCAGGTGTAGACTTAGTAAACAAGTGCAGAAGCATGAAAAAGCACTCGCCTTCTTCCGCCCGAGGTCTAATGGATATTGTGCAACATGACATTCGGGATATGAACCACCATCTCCTGTATAAAAGCTCAGCAGGCTCATAATCATGGGATAAAGATGTATACGTACCAAAGTCGTCAGATTTTAGCGGCTTCCATCCCACCCGTTGGCCGTATGGCGGTATTGGTGTGCGAGTGATCACAGATTGAGACGGAGCAGGCTGAGGAACTTCTTCATCTTCATCTGAAACAACTGGGACATACGCGGGTAGTGGAAGTAGACTGTACCAAAATGTCAGCATCATTAATTATTATTCACAAAGTAACTTACGCAGCGAGGGCAGCCATAGCAGAGATGATCGTTCAATTCAATTGCTTACGGACACTACGAGTTTTGTTTATCTTTGTTTGTGGCGGCAGGTGTAGCAGTATTTTTTTGGTTGTACTAACAGATATAGCACGGCTCGATACATAGCTACATAGCAGTAGCACGGGCATGAGCTCACAAAATGTCGATTCTGCGCCAAAACCTAGCCAAGTGCAAAAGTCCGGCGTAAGAGCAGCTTTCGAATACACTGGAATTCCACCATCGTGGTTCGACAAGCGTCCCAAACTTCCGTCCCGGAACTGGCTCATATTCCTCTCGGTGACCAGCTCTATCGTCGCGTACTATGTTTATGACCGCAGAGAGTGTAGACGTATACGTGCGGATTATTCCTCACGCGTCGAGCATCTTGCCAAAGAACCTCTGGGTACTACAGACCTACCGCGCAAGGTCACCGTATATGGCGCGAAATGGCCCGGAGACGAGGACCATGATAAGAGCTTGAAATTTTTCAGGAAGTACGTCAAGGTGCGTACTATGTATTTGAATTTGAAACACGCTCACTGTGTCTATCTGTAGCCGATTTTTGTAGCAGCTGCCGTTGACTATGAGATGATTTCGGGGCGCCGAAGTGGTGACCTCGCAAACCGCATTGCGGACGAGATTAAGACTCGTCGACGTATTGACGCTGGTATCGAACCTCCATCACAGAGTCCAATGCCTTTGCCTAACCAGCCAACTCTCGAACAAAAACGCAAGCGAGAATTCGAGGGCGGCATCGTCCTCGTCGGCCGGCACACATTGAAAGAGTTCATGTCGGGGCTCAAACGCGGTTGGACGGAGAGCATGGATCGCGTTGACAGGGAAGACATGCTCGCACAGGAGCTGGCGTCGGATGGCCGATTTGATGAGCCAGAGGAACCTGTTATAGATCCCGAGGTAGTGGATGGGGAGCCCCTACCAACCCGTTCGCGCCTTCTACCTTCGCAGAACGCGGTATTATTCCCTTTGCAGATGCCTTCTTCAAGCCCATCAAAATCCACGCAATATACTTCAAACATTCCTGCACATTTAGACACGCCACCATCGACTATACCAACCCTGCCAACGCTTCTTCTCGTCCCCTTCACAAATCACATTGGCTTCAGACAGGTTCCTAATATGTTATGGGGATTCTTCAATGAGCGGCATAAAGTCCGCGCTGGTTCTGAAGCAGCTTACTCTCTGATAATGAGTCACGTGCGATCATTCGCAGCAGCAAACACGATTGTTACTGCTTCAGAAATTCAGGAGTCGCAGTTGGATGGACGTCAAGGAGGAGACCTTGATTTCGACCTTCCTGCCGAATCCTACTACGATGGTGCTTATACACCGTCTGAAACAGAGAAGGCGCGCAAAACTTACTATGACGCACTGCCCGCAAAGCTATCGACTGCACGTGCATTAGCACGAGGCACTCGAGCCCCTACGAAGGAGGAGGATAGTCACCCTCCGCCAACGGAAGTAGAGCTCCGTGCAGAACGATTGAAGAAGGAGATGAGATGGCGTGGCGACGAGGCTGGTTGGGAAATCGTGAAACCCGGTCAGCTTGTGCAATGGGACGAACGATTTGCCGACGCCCTGCAGGTTTTTGACGAGCCTCGAGCAGACGACGTTGGTTGATGTGACCCAGGAGCTAGCGCCAAGCTGCTGACTGACATCCACTCAATTGACCCCATACAAATGATCTTACAGCAAGTACCCATACGTTACAAAGGTTCTACCCATCACACATAACAATTCATTATTATACAATGTCAACTGCACCACTCTCCAACCAACTTTCGAATTCAGCAAGGACATCAACATCGGCCGCGTTTTTAGCTTTTATCTCTTGGTTCGTTCGCCTGAAGGAGACTGGAGGAGGGTAAGGCTGGTTGATCGTGTTGTTTTGTACACCAAATTGTGGCTGGGATCTACTAGGTTGGAGACATTGCGATGTAGCCTGAAGCTCCGCGCCAGAACGTGCGATTCCTGTGGCCCGAATATACGCCCCAGTCTTCTCTTTATCCTCACGGAGAGAAGGTTCCACTGCCTGTTGAGGCTCCGGCAGGATGTCAAAGTAAGATTCATCAAAGAAGAAGTCATCAGAGGGCTGTTGCTGGGAGACCTTGGATAGTGATTGGATGCCAACCTCAACACTGGAGGATCCTGCAAGAAAGAGCGAATGGGAATTTGTGGACTGGACAGGAATATCGCCCTCCTAGAATAATTGGAGTCAGTTGACGAAGAGCATTTTTAACGCTTTACCTTTGCAGCCAGTAGGGCAGAGGGGGAACCGAAGAGCTTGTAAGATTTGAAGCGTTTCGTACGACGGTCGTCGTTCGCTGATTCCTGTCTCGGGGAGTAAGGCCTGTATGACGCGTTATTGCCCTTCAGACGCTTCCGAGGGGGCGAGCTATCGGGAGGTAGAGGGTCGCATGCCCGTTTGCGAGTGGGAGAGGGAGTCAGGGAGAAAGCATCCATCGCGGTGTCGTTAAAATCGTCATCTCGAACTAGCGCACCATTCTCTGAGCTCGAGTGATCCTTCGAGCGAACATCCTTTCCTTCGCACAGAAGCTCATAAATATTCGCAAGGTCGTCATCTGATTGTGAGTCACTAAGTATGTCCTTAGAGGAGGGCGGTGACTGTGAGCACTTCAAGGTGACGAGCTCGATATCAAAGTTTGGGGCTGGTTTTCGTTTCCTTGACGAAAGTGCTGAGGCATCTTGTTTCAGCCGTTGACCTTCAGAGAGCCTGAACTTTCCATTGGCATCAGCACCTGTATGAAGCGAGTCGCGTTGCTCAAGAACTAGATCACGTTTGGTTGTCTTTTGTCGCTTGGGAATTGGGACGTCGCCAAGCGGAGCGGTAACTCGACTGTTGGGCCCAGTAGATGACAGGTCGATGGAGGAGTTGTGAGCTTTCTTTGAACTCAGCAGATGGCCGGGCTTTGTGTTCTTTATTGGGACGCGAGAAGGTTCTGTGAGCCCGTCACGGCAACTATCGCGCACTTCTCGTCAGCAGGAAACCGCCTAGTCAAAAAAAAAACTCACCAAAAGTGACGGCAAGCAGATTTATCCTTGCAGGTGTGATTACAGCTGTGATTTTATGTCGGTATTAAGCAACCAGATAACAATAGAAACGACTCACTTATATTTCCCGTCTGAGCGTTTTTTAGGCTGTGCGTCGTCCTGCACGGGCGTATTGGCTGTACTCAGACCATCCCCCTTCACTGTAGGACGCGAGACAGATTTCATTGTCTTCTCTTTGTGAGGGTTGATACTCTTTTGTGCTGATGTGTTGCTTTGCAGCGGGCTACGGGGTCGAGTGAGATCCTTAATGGGGAGATTCAATTCGTCATCGTCATCAGGTCCCATATCCCAAAAGTCGGCAACATCTTCCAGCCCTTCCAAATCCATTTCCTTCGAGAAGTGAGTCCATGTAATGCGATCTGCATTTTGCTTACCAAAGAAGTCATCGGGCGAGTATTGAGCGTTGGATATCTGTTTGTGGGTAAGGAAGGCTTGAAGCTCTCAGTTACGGTAACCCCAGCGATCTTTTCCTAATTGTATGAATTAGCCAATATGCTCGCGATATTAGTACTCCCTGCTGACTGAAGAGATCGAGACGTTGATGGTCTGACTCGGTCTGGTAAGCTGCGCGTTGATTACGAAGGATTTCCCTTCCCTCAGTACCTTCGTCCTAAGGCATTGATTTTAGTGACACTCCACATTGATAGTATAAAACGCACGAGATACGGCGAAAGTCAATGAACACGAAATCGGAGGTAATGGTGAGAAGAGTTGTCATATCGAATCCACCCCTCTTATGTTTCTTGGACCCCATAGAGGCTCTCTTGTCCAAGAGGAGGCCACATTCAACGGAGAGTTCGATATCTACTGGACATTTCCCATCGCTAGGCGAAACCTTCACTTCCGTCAAGGTGAGGAAGTAACTCGGTAGCTCGTTAGCAGCCAACAAAACTTCAGAACCAAAGGGGGATCTGCGATTGAGGAGCTAGCTGGAAGTTAGCTTGTTATAGTATCGCCCAGTTACGAGGTTTCACCTCTTCGAGTCTCGATGGGCTGGTGCTTCGTAACTTGGGAATTGAGGTTATGTGATTCTCGGCCAATATCTACTTATGCTGGTGCTTGTAGTCCGATTAAGATGAGTTGTTTCAGATCTCTACCTTGATTCTGCAGGACCGATGTGAGTAGAGCACATGGAAAGGCAATTCACTGACGATTTTTCGCCGATATATTCTAATTGTTTCAGGACAATCGGTCTATCTTCCCATGCCTTGGCACGAAGACAACGCACTCTAGACGATTCTTTTCAGCCATCTAAAGATGCCAGCCACAGCAAACGTACAATTCCAGTCCGTGCTTCACTTGCGCTCCGTTCTTCTTTATGATGGCAACTTCCGCAACCGCTGGGATGTTCAGGTCGAGGAATTAATGCAACTTTAGAGAGGAAACTTTACCTAAGGCAATCCGGCTAACATGACGAAAAACCGATAATGCCTCAAGGCATGGTTGACTCTCCCCGTTTCTGTATTCGGCACTATTTAAGGGTAGACCGCCTAAAACCGCCTTCAAGGACGTCATTTGAAGCACAGGCAGGTGTGAATACAACAGCTACCTGCATAAGCAAGAACACTTTGTCACTCGTGCCTTGAATTTTTTTGACTGCGAACCGAATATCATTATGGCGCCTGATTTTCTCATATACCTAAAAATGGTGGACCTCAGCAATGACATTCATGCTTCACATTCCTTACCTGTTTTTCACCACTTCGTAATTTGAGGTCGGATAATCTGTATAAAACAGTTCGTGCCGCGAGGTCAAACTAGCTGTTAAAACTTACTCCTCCGAGGTGGATATCATCTCAAGCTGTCACCATGATTCCATTAGATCATCGCTGAAGAATGCCCATTAGCTTACAATATCGCGCAAAGATGCAGTTGGAGAGAGGTCCAAGATTGCCTTCATCTATTCATGATCAGGAATGTGCCGTTAAATGGTGCGAAAATCTCACCGTCCCACGACGAATGTAGAACTTCGTAGGCTGTCAGATTGTATGCCACACACAGCAGAGAAAACACTTCACCTTGCTCATAATATCGCCAAATTCAGTAGAACTCAGCTCTCCATTGCGCGCTGAATAAGTGACCAACTCGGTTTCCCGTAGCTGCTCGATACTGTCCATCACAATGCTGTCCACCTTGTCCTGCCAAGACTGGCGGTCGTCTTTTCCGATATTATAGTGCTGTGGATTCTTTTGTATTCGGCGATAGAGGAATGAGCGGAGAAGCCATTCCTGTGCTGTCTTGACGTCGGAAATAGTTCCCAGACCAATTTCAGAGTTTAGGTGCTCGGTCAAATTTGTGTGCAGACTACTCTCCAGAGGTGTGGTACCCTGAACGAGATCGCGATATTTCCTCTCGAGTTCAGTTTCACATAAAATGATAGCAACTCCTTCAGTATCTGAGTGCAGGACGAGAAACGTCAACAAAAAAAAAGTGCAGAATGCAAAAATAGGTACCAAATTGTGGGCGACCCTATCATCACAACATCAGAATCAACTGATAAATAGGTCGTAAATTGAGTGCGCACCGCTCGTCCCATCATCTGCATAACATCGAGATCCGAGTACTCTTTGGATTCGCCGTTTTGATATAGTTTAACGCCCTTTATGACGACCAGATGGGCAGCTGAAAGTAGGATCAGTGTGGCCGAAGACTACCGACGGATGATACCTTACGCAAGTTGACTCCGACCGCTAAAGTCTTTGCGTGATATTAGTAACACTCAATAGAGGAGAGAACAGATCCCAGTATTCACCGACGTAGCCAGAAGAACTCGTAATACTTTACGCAGATACAGGTCTTCGATGGTCTTCCTGTCGTCGATAGTGAGTCCAGCATGATGCACGCCGATTCCCAAAGCAGCCAGAGCTACAAGTGATGAGTACCAGTAACAATATTTCCTACCGTGCAGTGCTCACGAGCGAGATCTTTGTCATGGAAAGTCTGGTCAATCCTAACCATTCATGAATATCTTGTCTTGTTTAATGTCTTATCGCTCACTGCAAAGGCATGCTCCACGGGAGCAGCCGTTTCGCCTTCATGGTTTCTTCATATTCTTTAGCCAATTGCCTGGCGGTTGTGATGGTCCCTACAGAATGCCTGATAGTAGTAGATGTGACTAGTAATCACGATGTCGTACCTTTTCTCGTCGGACAGAACACGAGAATTGGTTTGTCAACGGCGTGTTGTTGTAAAACGGTGAATAGGCGGGTATCAAGAGTATGCGCATATGCAAAGTCATTCTGACCTTTCGGCTTGACCACGCCATAAACAAACCGAGTGAGTTTACAGGACCGATATTCGTCACCAAACTGTATTGTTCATTAGCATGAACTATGCACAAAACCAGACGAGCCTTGATTTGATTACCTGAAATATTTGACCGGGATCATCACTAGACGCATGATTACTCCCAATCCAGCTTGCAACATCTTCGATGTTCGGGACTGTTGCCGATACAAGAAGGAATCTAACATCGAATCCTCTTGCCTTCATACGAGAGACAACGACTTCTAGGGTGCTGCCGCGAGATTCGTTGAGGATGTGAACCTGACCAGCCCTTGAATGTTTTCTAGCGGGGAAATCTCGACAACAGACTCACCTCGTCCACAAGAAAAAGTTTGATCTGAGATAATATACGACTATGATCATCCCTGAAATGAGTGTGAGCGTATGCTACTGTCACAACAAAAATGTTTTACCAGTTTCTTGTGAGACTATCCCACTTCTCGGCCTGAGATATTGTAAGCAGTGTTTTCAAAACATGAGCAGACTGGAAACGTGCTGTAGTAACACTTTTGTAGATGAAGTTACACATCAGAATCATCAAACAATACGATGGCTAGACTTACATGATTCTAGCGTTCTTGGCGTCACCCCACACGCCCTTGCCGAAGACTACAGTGTCGCCCGTGAGCTCACAACCTAACTCTTAGAACGCGTCATATCTGAACTACAATACGTTACATACTGGGTATCCCAAGACTGCCAAATTTGGCGGTCCATTCCTTGTATTTTTCCGTACAGAGGGCCTGTATTAACCTGTAAAACGGCTTCAAGTGGGTGCAAGAGTAACACAACTTTACCTTAGTTGGGGCGACATAGACGCATTTAGTGGCTTCGTTTGTGCTCGAAGGATCGGTGACCATGCGGATAATGCTCAATTCAAAAATAACAGTCTTGCCACTTCCAGTGGGCGCTACACACTAGCTAAGCCCGAAGTACGTCGAGAAGAGTGACCACACCTACCGCTAATAACCTGCATGCCTGTTTAGAGACATCTCAAGTGATAAGAATAACGCACCATATTCTCATTCGAGTGAAGTACCTAAGAAAAATCAAGTCTGAAGAAATCTGAATGAAGCTTCATAAATCTTACTGCATCAAAGCAGGTCGACTGAATAGCGTTGAAAACACCAAACTTGAAGATGCTGCGAAACATATCCGCTGTCCCACCAAGTTAAGGTTAGAGACTAGTAGTAGGCAACGGTGAATATTCCTACGAAGTTCGGAAACAGGGCGCAACCGCACTGGTTGGGGTTTCTGTTGCGTATGACCACCAGGCCTATCATTACACAAGGTGCCGTAATTAGACTCGAAATTGTTTGTAATTTTATTGGAGTTTCCATAGTGAGTTTCTCCAGAGTACTGGTATGGGTGGTCTAAGATGGATCCATGTTGATTATAACAAAGGACGACGATGCACATGGAAAGACTGACGAATTCTCTGTGGAACATCATGGTGGGCCTGATTCTGGGTCTGCACAACAGTATAATTGACAGGGCTTGGTGTGTATTCGGGAGTAACGCTTCCATAGTCTTCCCAATAAGGTTGTGCAGCACCTGAGTAAAATGCATGGCTGGTTGACGGATGACTTGCAAAGGCTCGAGCACGGTTGTTGATGCGTTCCGGTGGAGACGGAGAAGAGTCTAAAAAATATAATATCCTCGAAGAATATTTGCGCGCATATACCCACCAAATTCGTCCCCAGACCTAGCAAAATCATCGTAATAGTGTTGGTGTTGTCTGCGGTGTAGTACGACGTCAGCGTAAGTATCAAGGGAATTTATGGCGTACTGTGGAGGAAGCATCCCCGATGCCTGGTGTATCAGAGGCCACCTGCGAAATTGTTGCATTAAGCCGATAGTACTAGTGATATCAATGTTGATGGATACGATGCAAGAGAGCAACGCGTGACATGTCACGAACGCGACTGCACGTGTGGACAGAAATCAAATCTTGTCACGTCTGTCACACAACACTCTTTCTCGAATCTCGATCAACGTTGTACTTATCTCATAGACGTGTTTCTAGAACTCATTCTCTGTTCAATACCCTTTTTTTCTCAATGGCTGATCGCCAACTTGCCAACAAGATTGAGGAGTATATCGAAAAGTTAGCCGTAATGTTTCTTCTGTTACGATACGCTCATGTGGCTAATTTTGACATACAGGATCCACTATTCTGATCGCTACTCTGATGACTTTTATGAATACCGTCACGTCATCCTACCGAAACCGTTACTCAAACTTGTTCCGAAAGAGTTCTTTGACGACAAAGTAGGCACTCTTCGTCTACTATCGGAAGCGGAGTGGAGAGGGATCGGCATTACTCAGAGCCTCGGCTGGGAGCACTATGAAGTACATGGCAAGTAGTCATTTCAAATGAAGTCAAGGATGCCATTCCCTGACAAGAAGTAATTAGCCCCAGAGCCACATGTCCTTCTTTTCCGTCGTGCGAAGAACTACGGACTCCCCACGCAGCCGCAACCTGCTCCAGCTGCGAGACAAGCCAATGCGAGGAAAAAGTAGCATGCTGTTCTTGGCTCCGGCATTTCGTTCTTTCGCTTGTCTTGCATCGCTTTCTTTGCAGTTTCTTCAGTATTATCCAGTGCGTTTCCGATACATTGTATCCGTTGTTTGCGGTGGCATTTCCGGGCTTATGTCCGTTATGGTGCTTCCTCTTAAACCATCAAGTAGTCTCACTTAGCACGATATTCAGGTTTATCAGTGAGGCTATGAACGTGCTTATACTGTGGTATGCGGCACTTCAGAGCTCTCTATTACCTTGTGCAATTCATCATCAATCAACTTACTAGCGGGAAACCGAGGTTATCTAAAACTACATTGAGCGCCCCGGTGCTACTTTGGTGACTCGGTGAACTCGGCAGTCTCGTGAATGATAGGATTCCACATCCTTCTCGTGTTTAAACACTACAAAGATTTTCAAGAACCTTTTGATCCATGTCACTAGACTGGCGTTATCGTACCCAATGGTTGACGTGCGTGCAGCTTTGAGCTCTTTGTTTCGTTAAATGATCGGCTTGATAGGTGCGCTCCAGTATCTGCTAGTTCAGTCAGTGAACATTAATATTCAGGCATCTTTCGCTTGAAGTTTCGTTTCCGGATCCGCAGATTTTGGTAGGAGGTTCAGTTATCGCTGCGTTGCTTTTTATGCTGTTGATAGCGAGTCTGTGGATAAGGTAGGGAATGTCATGCTCCTATGTTCAACGAAACAAAACACTTTCGCAGATGCGGCGTAGGCGCACTGCGCTCGAATTCTGAATATACAAATTCATAAGTCACTTTGTGACCGTAACATGCGACTCTCGACGCGAAGTTGTCTATTACAATGCATACGCATCGACTCGAATGCGCTGGAGATATACACAGCAAGCCGTAACAAAAAAATGGATGTTGTCAAGAGGTGTGTAAATTTGCAATATATGACACAGTACCCCGCCGCAAATACTAGCCCCCCGTCACAGTGGCCCAGGAGATATTTCCCTTTATTTCTCAATGGAATTACAAAATTGATTATACATTGGTAGCATCTCTACATAACAAGACTGCTGAGGTTTACCACTCGGCGATGCGGCTGTAACATTACAGCTGAAGCGAACATGTTGAGCACTACGAGTCTGGGGTCATCTATTTCAGGAAAACTAGACTGAAAACGAGAAAATCACACAGCGTGTCACTGCGGCGTATGGAAACTTCTGTATGTATTTCCGCACGCTCTCAGGCTGAGCGCTGAGCTCTCGTATACCCCAACCCGTCCCGGCGTACTATCACTAATGCAGTCTCTTCCCGGTCAGATGTCTACCAGCTTTCGTCAAGTACTATACACAATAAAACTTGAATGCAAGCCAACTATAAACCGTTCAGCAATTTTCTCAAAATGCATACAGCCTGCACTCTCGTACCCTGTTATCATTCGAACCTTACTCGGTTCCGAAGAACAACCCTGAGTAAACACAATCTGGACACCGGCATTCGTGACACAATGGGAAGACCATCCTAAAAGGCCTGGTCCATTCTAAAATGACATTGTCAAATCGACTCGTAAATTACTCACGCGGACCCCGGTGAGGTCTAACTAAGCCTTTCCCGAGTTCTGACTTGGCCACTACCCGCGAGACGTTTTAGTACGCCAGTCTGAATTTTGCCGCAGAGTATCCTCGTAATCCTCGCTGTATATAGCTAGTACACCAGCTAAACCTTCCATGTGACATTCCTAAACCTTTTATTCATAGTCTACCAGGCGTCTGTTTTACTCAGGCAAACTTTGAGTAGTTTAAGTGATTTTACATGCAGAACTCTTGATACTAATGAGACTTATTATATTGGAATATTCAAAAGACTTGGGGGGAAAATGGAGCCTGCATGGAAAGGTTTACTAGGAAATGGTGTAGCCACGGCCCACCAACGCGTAGCTAGTGGTCAAATCAGGAAAGGTGGTCCGCCGTAAGAGAGAACGGCCGACATTTAGATTTGACCAGGCCTATCAAATAATTAAATATTGTGTTCGTAAGTTGGACTGCAGTGTGGCACGTTGATCCATCCATTGCAGTACTAGTGAGTGGGACAATTATGTAACGCCAAAACCAGGCAGGTGGACAAGAGATAACGGGTCCTGGATAGCCCGGCCGGAGGGCTGTGATGAATTATCACGGAAAGAGCATAGTAGATAGTCTTTCTTACAAGTTACCTTATTTTAAAAATGATGGAAAGGAGACCCGCAATCTCGAGATGATAAAAAGAATTCTACTTAAACTCAATGTCTAAAACTTCAGGCTTCGAGGGCGATTGTAGGTCACGTGATGTCTGCCTCGGATGCAGAGAAAGGGACACTAGATATTCATTCTCCTCAACTCGCCAATTTCGTCAAGCACGAGAAGAACGCAGTAGACATCGAGGTATTCGACGTGCAGTCTCTTGAGAAAGATGTGCCTGTTACTCCCCAAGATGTCGCTAAGCCGCCGCCAGCCCCTGCGAAATCAGCAAAGAAGAGTACGCCCTTGTGGGTCCTCTGGGTCCTCTGGTACAATGCGTATAGGTATGGTATTATACAACAACACATGTGGTCCAATACTCACCCTCCTGATTCATTAAGGCGTTTTTTCACCGTCGTGTTCGTAGTCAATTTCGTTGGAATTGGCTTTGCGATTGCTGGAAAATGGCCATACGCTGCAAGATATCCTGGTGCTTTGGTCCTCGGTAATTTGAACGTTGCAATTCTTGTGCGTAACGAGATATTCGGCCATTGCTTGTATTTGTTCGTCAACACCTTCTTCGCCAAGGTCTGTCCCATGCATGTTTAATATTTCAATCGGTGTTGATGTGTTTTCTGTTATAGTGGACTCCTCTATGGTTCCGCCTTGCGTGTACCTCCACTTTGCAGGTCACTTTGAACTCCAAATGGCGATTTCAGGGAGCTGACGTTTCTTTACAGCATCTCGGTGGTATCCACAGCGGATGTGCAATCTCCGGCGTAGCTTGGATAGTCCTCATGGTCGTGCATCAATCCAAGACGAAGCATATGTTTAACGACTCTCTATACTTGCCTTCGGGGTGATCACCTCAGTCATGCTGTTCATCACCCTCTGCGCTGGTCTTCCGTGGGTGCGTAACACGCACCACAAGTGAGCATTCTTTTCGGTCGTTCATCGCAGCCTTTTGACGTCGGCACCCAGCGTATTCGAGCTGAATCATCGTTTCTTCGGATAGACTTCCTTGTGCATGACCTGTAGGTTCAACCATAATGTAGATAAGCTCACGACCGTACTAATTTTTGAAGGGGTATACGCCATCCTGACCAATGCCTATGACACTGCAGACGGGAAGTTCGACCACGTCGGAAGATACGTCGTCCAACAGCAGGCTTTCTGGTACACGGTCGGAATGTCTATCTTGTAAGTATTGCTTTGCCTGGCTTCTCAATTGGATTGGTGACAGCTGTTCCGGCATTGTTCTGCCTTGGATTTGCACGCGACACGTCGAGGTCGAGGTCGAACTTCCCTCTCCGAAAGTCGCTGTTCTCCGCTTCGAGCGTGGTATGCAACAGGGTCTGCTTGCTCGCATCAGTCGCTCGGCTGTCAAGGAATATCACGCTTTCGGTATCATCTCGTAAGTCTTCAGTGTCGTCGCTATGCAATACTGCTGACTCTTTGCAGCGAGGGTACCCATGAAAAGCACCACTACCTTATCTGCGGCGTGCAAGGCGATTTCACTAAGGGACTGGTCAACGACCCGCCTAAAAAAATTTGGACTCGCGAGCTGAAGGTAAAACGACCAAAGTGATTTTCCGATTAGATTGCCTATTTTTTTCCAGTTTGCTGGTGTCTCCAACACGTCGACGCTTTACAAGCGTGGAATCCGAATCTGCACTGGAACTGGTCTTGGTGCTGCCCTTTCTACTTGCATTCAATCTCCCTATTGGTACCCAATTTGGATCGGTGCGACAATCTGAACCCGAGGCTTATGCATATCATTGACGCGTCTGCTAGGCTCCGATCAAGAGAAGACATTTGGCCCAACTATCAGTGGTCTCATTCACAGGCACATAGGTCCAGAGCGTCTCCTCCTTTGGGACTCGAAAGTCCGTGGGGGTCGTCCACCCACCATGAAGATCTTGAAGGAGGTATACGACCAATGGCAGGCGGAGGTTGTCTTCATCACTTCCAACTACGTGGGTAACTTTGAGATCCAACATGGTTGCAAGGAAGCTGGGATTCCTGCATTCGGAACACTTTGGGACTTTGTGAGTGACCCCAGACTTTTGTTGCTGATGGAGCTGAGGAGAATGTGCTTTTTCAGTAAATTTTGTGTCTGGATGTGTCGGACGCCAGACCTCACTCGAATTTTTTGTCTCAATAGGTACGCTTTCTTTTTTTTTCAAATTGATACACTATCCTCAATCGGATATCTTGGCTTGCTATTTTTGCGCACCTTCTTTGTTTCACATAATACTGATGGACTGAAGGAGTTGCAATCTATCATCGAGCCCACAAGTCGTATTGATGTCATAGTCATGAGCAGTATCTTTGCGCTGTTGATGCATATGTTCATGTATATAGGCGATTCTAATGCAATGTATTTGACATTGGCTGATGAGTGGATTCGAGGGTATTCGGCCCCATTTGAAGAGGAGTAACAAAAGGAGACTCAATGCAAACTCCTTCGCCAGTGTAAGTAAGAAGGAGGAAAGTGTTGCCAAGGGTGTGCGGGTGCACCCAGGTGTGAACGTGAACGTCCCTAATACTCTTGTCAACATGCATTTCAACTGAGTCGTGCGTTCCAATGCTACATGTATACGTACAATGTTTGCAGCGTGTGAAATTTGTTTTGTTCTAATAGGAAAGGACACCATCGACACTACATTCGCTAAACACATTCATTTTCGAGTGTGCATGCGGGACTTGTAATACATGATCGTCATTGAGGAGATGTCTCCCTTTATTCAGAATATCTAGACAATTCGTCAGGGTGGCCCGTACGTACGCCCTGGTAAGGTTGCAGAATGGCTGAATCCGTGCCAAACATGCTTCAATGGCTCAAAGGGCATCAGGGAAACGTAATTCACTACAGAGTGCTCCAGACCGTTCTGTGGCATTCTGTAGCACAATCCAACCCACCGATGAAGGACAACATTCACACCTGAGAAACCTCCCGTAATGTTAGAATCATCATGTGAAGCACCGTGAAGCAGGAAATACACATTAATACATGACAACAAAGTAAAAGAGTAACATCGACGACATCTAAAGCTTGGCGAGGGGCAGGTCTCCCCATTCCACCAAAGGCTCCGGAAGCTCTGTAACTTCAAGGGCTGATTTAAAGTCTTTAACATTTTCAACGAAAGTCACCCCTTCGGTCCGAATGTGTTGTACTTCATCATCATCTGGGTACTGCACCATCAACCCGGGGATTTTCTTCATCAACTCCTGATGATTGTCGAACCCGCTGAGTGCGTCTTGCCAGTATTTTGCAAACTGCGTCGCAAAGGGATTCTCGTCAGCCATTTCCTCTTTCCACCCTGAAGGGTCGGCGAGTGTGGTTTCAGTTCTGACCAAAGCTTCGAAGGCCTTGGTGGCTGTAGCGCTGATTCGCGGCGGCCGTGGCTTTCGGGACTGTAATTGGACGGAGAGTTTAGACCTTTTAACACCCAAGGGATGAACGCGAGAGAGAAAGAGTTCTAGGACGTCGTGCTTGGTAATGTCTGTCAGCAGGTCCGAATCACTGTAGCCTATATCCTTATTAGGTGGAAACAACAGGAAACGAAAATGAATGAAACACACGTCTTAGGAAGTCCAGATACCCTGAATCGATGTGCTCCCAAAAAATCGCGCGCTCCTTCTTCAAGTCCTTGATGACTTCAGTCCACTTTTGCTGTAGGCCAGTTTTGAACTGCTCGAAATCAACAGGTTCCATATCTTCGATCTTACTCTTCATAGTGTCCAGGAATGCTTCCACTCTCTGCTCCAGGTATGCAGGATTCCGTTCGCTTTGCACCACCAATCGCAGCCCCAGAAGCGATGCTCCAGGGAGTCTCAGTTCTGAACAAAAGACAATATAACCAAGTTGTTCCTTTGTTCGAAGAGTGTCGAAAGCTGGCTCCGACATCATATGTATGAGGAGCAAGGCAGTCGTACGCAAGCGGGCATCAGTAGAACTTCCAAGTTGAAGATAATAAGTCAGAGATGAATTGGGATCGTTGGGGTTGGGTATATGCGACTTCCAGATAAAATCGGAGCCTGCCAAAGTAAAGATTAATCGCACCCTCGCTGCATGACGAACTGAACATGCCTTCTGGCAGGATGAGCGCGCGTTGAGCGGTCTCGTCCACTGATATTGGGGAAGTGTTTAGAATGTTCTCCGCCATCTCTGATAAACCAACGGCTTCCTAAACTCATGTTTGATTACGATCACCTCGTTTGCCAGCGAGAAAAAATGCGTACGTCTTTGTGCATGTTGCCGGTTACTAACATCTCGATGCTCAGGCGCGCTAGAAAGTCGTCGATGTGTCTCTGCAACTCGTCCTCTGTGACGCCTGTCATAGTTGTGGTGTTAAATTAGTCCATTTCAAAAACATCGATGCTATAGCTACTCACTAGAGATCTCCTGCAGCTTGTCTGCAATAGTCCAAGTGTTATGAGTGAGCATGTATTGTGTATAATAGTCCGATAATCGGTAACCCTGATCCATGAAGAAATTTTCCCAATCGCGCTTAACCTAGTTGACCATAGTAAGCCCACTTGCATCGGAGAAACATGACACGAAGCAATAACCTTTTCTTTGATGACTGCTAATCTGTCCTCGCGGACTTGTAAATTTCTTACAGTCTCCAAAACGCGGCGAGCAAGGACAGGCAACTTTTCATTGTAACCATCTAGAGTGATCATCAGCCCAAGGTGATGTGAACCACTGTGAAAGACAAGTCCGGCAAGTTCTGCGTCATATGCAAATTCCTGTAGCGAATCATTTACAAGATCGGCAAAAAGCCTGGATCAAAACTATCGTCAGATCAAACAGGTGGGTTGCAAAGCAGCTCACCGTGTCATAGTGTCGGCGCACGGAGATGAGCCTGCAACCGGACTACATTGATAATTAGTCCACAGCCCCCAGAATTCTGGTGATGTAAAGTACATACCTACGAAGTTCTAGTACGAGCGATGCCTTTGGAAGCCAGAATTGGTCATCTTTCTTGTGCCACACGGACCCCATTGGCGTCTGTTTGATAAGTTGAGGTCGTTTAGCCGGCTGTAAGCGACCGATCGCGGTCAGAGTTGGGGACATCGGTATGCATAGTTTAGCATACCTCAAGGACGTCACGTTTCTCCACTTCTAAGTTGGTGGGTATGAATTCGTTCGGGCCTGGTAGGTACAGCTCCATGATATCATTGGGTCCTTCAGCCTAGTCACCGGTTTGTCAAATGAATACCGCAATGGAACCTGACTTGCCTGTTCAACGAATGATGGGTCCCACCGCTCTACTCTGTACCCCGTACCATACCATTTCTCGTGCTCCCAGTGTTCATTCTTTGAAATGCGCTCGAGTTCCTCTTTCTTCGCCATGAGTACTGCCCTACCCTTTGTGATACGCATCTCGTCCAATATTTCACGAACTTCTCGCTCTCCGTCCTCAGCATTCCATTCACATGGGATGACCGCCCCGCGCAGTAATAATTCAGGGGGAACGGGCTTGCCCAACCTCTCGGAAAGCGAAACCGCATAGCCCTCCGCATTCTCCTTCGTGGCAAATTGGAATCTCGTGCGCGCAATTTTGACAAGCTCCGATTGATACCACTTCGGGAATGCAGAGGACCGCAAGAGAGAAAGGTATTTGTATGTCGCAAGGGCCACCAATTGGTAGTTCTCGAAACCAAGCTTGGTCAAATGAATGGTGAATTTGAACATTTCGAAGCCTCGTGCGAGGGATTGAGGACCCGAGTTAAGTGACGTCGCCCACCCCTTGCTTTTGATGTACGAAAAAAGCGAACCAGGACCTTCGTGACCAGTAAAGTGTGAAATAAAATGTGCAGGCTTGTACTGCCAAAGCGGGGACTGCCATACTAGAGGAAATGAGATCTCGATAGCGTGGAAGGCCTTGACAGTCTGGACAGAAACTAATGTCTAATAAGCTATATCAATAAACCATATCACCAGCAATAAGACACGAACTTACTCCCATTTCGTTCGGGCCAAATGGATGATCAGGAATTACGGGCAATGGATCCTGCTCTCGGTTCTTGATAGGTGTAAACAAGGTCGAGACCATGTCAGCCAACGTGTCGAGTGGCTCTACAGTCGAGGTGACAAAGTATTCACTCGTAACAGAAACGGGAACGTACCTTTCCCAACAATACAAAGTCGCATTCTGCCTGCACAATATTCTCTATTCCACCACTCAACTAACCGTCTACGGGTCTCACGCCCGACGACACCACCGTCTGGTTCGTTCTCGCTGCTCGTAGATATATTGGACGGGACTGGTGATGGAATACGCGAAGGGAGCGGTGAGGACGCTAAACTCCCATTAGATGATACTGGCGATACTGGCGCACTGCCATCCATGGCGGTATGCGTCCCATTCTTTATCCCATTCCCGTTTAGCTTACTCGCCGCCTTGAATGTTCTCCCGGCAGCACTTAACGTCTCGCGATTGCCACTGCCAAACTTGCTCCACGGATGACCTTCCTTGGTAAGATGTTTGTTCAGCTGGAAAATGCGCCATGGATCTGCCTGATGGTTCTTAGAATGCTCCGAGTCGACTGCATTCATTTCCCGCGTGGTACATGAGGGCGCAAAGAGAGGGCAGTGGAAAAACGCGGAAAAACGCGCTAATGCTCCAGGGAGCGCCGAGGTAGCGACACGGAAAAAGTAGTTGGTGTTTGCCGGTGCTGTATAGGCATTAGAATGGCCGTTGTTCTTGGAAAGGTACTGAATTCAGAGCAAGTCAGTTAAATGTCGCTGGGTGGACCATGACACACACCTCGGAGTACTCGTTTTCTTTCGGAAATTGTTCAGTACCCTATAATAAATGTTGTTCAAGCCAGGACTTGTGACAAGAAAGACTCATACCATGAATAACAAGTGTTCGCAAAAGTGGGCAAGGCCGGGGATATCATCCTATGAAGCTTTCCGTTAGTAAGGGTTCCAATATTCATCACTCAGAACAGTAAAAGATACTAGAACTAGCATCCCTTCGCAACAATGTAGATACACCGTACGATGTCTTCAATCCTCGGAGAAACGCACTCACTGGGTCTGACAGGTGACCAACTGCGACATCTAAGCTTGCGGCAGCGATATCTGCTTTTGCATCTTGAATCAACAAGGCTAAGAGGCCATTGTCGAGCTTGATCAACCTGTACTCCCGCTCATCAAGTTGGGACTTCTCTATCGGTTTGGTGAAAAACGTGTAAACAGGGACATTCGCGTGGTTCTCAACTCTCTGCCAATCATGAGCAGCCATAGTGAGAGCGCGATGATTTTTGAATCGGAGACGGTGGGTTGTTTGTAATATGGAACGAAGGTGAGCTGAATAAATACCAAGATGAGCCATCAAGAGTGTCTATGGCACAACTATGGCATATTACCATATTACAGTAAACATTACTAATACCGGAAAACAAGAGAACCATCCCAGTCCGGGTCCCGGAAGCTTTACCGTGACCGGCCACGTCTTTTCAGCTTTTTGCGCTTGGTCGCAGATAACTCATTTCCTCTGGTACCGACATAGGATGTGTTCCAGTTTCAAATTGGTACAAAGAAAAGAACTCTGCGACTTGGAATTGTCCGAGGAGAAGGGATAGGGGCAGTGAGTCTTTTTGGCTGATAGTACCCTCTCGGTTTCATAACCTTGAGGGTACTGCTGCTGCTAATTAAAGAAACCTATGTATGCCAGCGCTCAGTTCACGTGGTACGTGGTTACTGGCACTCGGCGTACCCTGACTGCTAATTAAGTGGTTCGTATATATCATTATCATGATACTCTAGCTAGCAATTAACTGCTTGTAGAGTGAAAGCCATTGCGAGGGATGCAAAATGAACTCATCTAGTAACTATGAGTAACTAATCATAGTAAATCCTGCCACGCCTGCCAGTGACGAAATTGTATGTCGTACGACTTCCATGGCCAGTACGTCACGGTCATTGAAGATACGCTTGCCAGCTTCAAATGGTGGGGAGCACAAAGCCACGTAGGCCACTAAAACTGTGGATTAATAAATTCAGTAACTGAACAGATCTAACAGGTCGATTAAAAACTTAAAAAAACAGTTATCTCGAAGCTTTTTCGTAGATCTGCGGGGGGTATAAAACCATGTCGGGTTCGACACTCCCACAAGTTTAGAAATCATAGGCCTAGGACCTGAATTGATGGAAAATTTGAAACAATTATCTTGGGCTTATCTAGATATTGCTCACCCTTTCTTCCAGAAACATTCAATGGCACCGTCTTTCTTCAAGTGAAGCCATAGATAGCATCATTATGCTCTAATGCCGCATGCGTGCATGTGAGGTATTCAGAAGTCAAAATATGTTTTACCGAACACCAGAGCTCAGGCAACTGAAATGAATAATATATACCTAGTGATGTGCGATAGCCTGGGTTCGGCGGCACTCTCTGTAACTCCACACCAACACAAAATTGCCATGTGGAGACGAATTCCGCTGGCTTGTGGTACCGAAATTTCGCGCGGCCCGCGGGGAGAAGGCAGGCGGATTGCGTGCTCTAATATCGCAATATATGAGTGTTGTATGTCAGGCGGGCCACGGGTACTGGAATCCCTTACCATGGGGAAGGTCTGGTGGTATCTGCGAACGAAATCGAAGACCAACACTTGGAAATTCGGAATCATTGTGAGGAAGCCGTAGCCAGAGGAGAGATCGTACCAAAAGCACGGGAGTCATTCAGTTCTTCAAGCCACGAAGCCTGTCTCTGGGAGTGCCTCGGAGCACTCGAACATGAAACAACACCGCTTGGTCGTTTCACCTTTACTAAAGCAGGAAATCTCAAGACTTCAAGTCCCGTAGACAAAACCAATCAAAGGAATATGTTAGTATGCAGCAGTGCCGGGGTTTGTATTATGTAGTAAGAGAACTTGTTGCCGCAAGCTATCAAGGACAAGAGTCAGGCCGAGGATAATCTAGCATGCAAAATGAAGGTGGCCTAAGTTCAATGCTAGAGCGGCGATAGACACGAAGACGGAGGTCCGAAAGAATGCCCAGGATCATCATAGATAGATGGTTTGGCAGTGACCAACGGGATGACACCAAAAGTTTCGAACTCTCGGAACTCCCGCGAGGTCACGGACCCAGCCTCCTTATTCAGCCGAGAGCAGACCCTGGGCTATAATACGTCGCCCTCTCAACAACTTGACCCCAGATTCGAGCTATGTCTTGCTTGCAGTCTAGAAGAAGAGACCTAGGTACTAAGTAGTACGTCACTTATGAAGAGTCACGTGGCCAGGGTCACAGTACCATAAGCGCCGATCGCGCAGACCTACTACCGTACTATTACTAATACTTCACGCCGAACAGATTGTGCCGCATATCTTAATCTACAGTCCCCCACCATCCCCCACCTCCTTTCACTATCCTACTATCCAGATATAAGACTAGAGGGAAATTCGGCGAGGCCACGACGATAATATGCCCAGAACCCGGAGACTAGACTGAAAACGAGAACGCCACTAGCACTACACAGCCTATCACGGTGACTTCTGTGCGTACATATTTCCGCCCGCTCTCACGCTGAGCACAACCCTTTACGCGCACGCCGTGCTGTCGGTTGTCTACTATGCGCAATAAGTTATTATACTTAATGCAAGCCAACAATAAACCGTTCAGTAATTTTCTAAAAATATATACGGCCTGCGCTCTCGCAGTCTGTTATCATTCAGACCTTACTTGGGCCGATTCTGTGGCAAACAACTTCAAACCCTGAACGAACACAGCACGGACACCTCACCGGCACCGGTCGCAGCATTTGCAATGAAAAGATCTCAGACTCTACTCAACATGTTCGCTTCGGCTTCATATTGCAACACATCACCGAGTATGATGCGATCTGTTCATTGTGAATGCTGTGAGGATGTGCTAATGATTCGGTAATTACTAGTATATCTGCTAGTGCATTTGTCGGCAGCGGCATACAGAATTACTGGTTTCTCATTTGCTGGACGAGCTGTCGGTATCACTCTCAAATGCATTTTCATATCGTGAGGCGAAGAGGTACACTTCATTTCAACTCGTTAGTGCCGAATCCAGGCTGTGTCGATCTTCCTCAGTTATCAGCGATACAGACATGGTGCCACTGGCCCAGATCAGAATAATTGTGCCTCGAATGACTCTAGCATTTAGTACGTGTTCAATATCTCTAGCTAGACTCCCAGTCTCACTGGCACTGTGTCGTGAACTCTCGACAGCAACACTAACTGACTGAGGCAAGCGGCCCTAACAATCTACTAGTAAAGCAATTAATTTAATCAATTCACTCTCGGTTCGGACTATTACATTACGGTTTTATAACGGAAGAGCACAGATCCACAGGCTCGATTATCTTTCTCACAAGTTACCTTGGGAAAATCACGGAAAGGAGACCTGCGGTCTCGAGACGATAAAAGGACTGAAACCGAATATCTAATACTTCAGGCTCTACGCATAGCGGGTGGTTTCTCTTCGCAACGTGATGTCTGCTTTGGCTTACAGTGATGCAGAGAAAGGGACACTAGAAGTCCACTCTCCCCAGCTTACTCAGGATCCCACCAAGGACGAGAAGAACACAGTAGACATCGAGATATTCGCCGTGCAATCTCTTGAGAAAGACGTGCCGGCTATTCTTCCAGACGTCGCGAAGCCACCGCCAGCCCCTGCCAAATCAACAAAGAAGAGTACACCCTTGTGGGTTCTCTGGGTCATCTGGTACAATACTTACAGGTATGGTATTATACGACGACATATGTGGTCCAATACTCACCCTTCTGATTCATTAAGGCGTTTTTTCACCGTCGTGTTCGTAGTCAATTTCGTTGGAATTGGCTTTGCGATTGCTGGTAAATGGCCATACGCCGCAAGATATCCTGGTGCTTTGGTCCTCGGTAATTTGAACGTTGCAATTCTTGTGCGTAACGAGATATTCGGCCATTGCCTGTATTTGTTCGTCAACACCTTCTTCGCCAAGGTCTGTCCCATGCATTTTTAACATTTTCAATTGATGTTGATGTGTTTTCTGTTATAGTGGACTCCTCTATGGTTCCGCCTTGCATGTACCTCCACTTTGCAGGTCACTTTGAACTCCAAATGGCGATTTCAGGGAGCTGACGTTTCTTTACAGCATCTCGGTGGTATCCACAGCGGATGTGCAATCTCCGGCGTAGCTTGGATAGTCCTCATGGTCGTGCATCAATTCAAGACGAAGTATATGTTTAACGACTCTATACTTGCCTTTGGGGTGATCACCTCAGTCATGCTGTTCATCACCCTCTGCGCTGGTCTTCCGTGGGTGCGTAACACGCACCACAAGTGAGCATTCTTTTCGGTCGTTCACCGCAGCCTTTTGACGTCGGCACCCAGCGTATTCGAGCTGAATCATCGTTTCTTCGGATGGACTTCATTGTGCATGACCTGTAGGTTCAACCATAATGTAGATAAGCTCACGACCGTACTAATTTTTGAAGGGGTATACGCCATCCTGACCAATGCCTATGACACTGCAGACGGGAAGTTCGACCACGTCGGAAGATACGTCGTCCAACAGCAGGCTTTCTGGTACACGGTCGGAATGTCTATCTTGTAAGTACTGCTTTGCCTGGCTTCTCAATTGGATTGGTGACAGCTGTTCCAGCATTGTTCTGCCTTGGATTTGCACACGGCACGTCGAGGTCGATGTCGAACTTCCCTCTCCAAAAGTCGCTGTTCTCCGCTTCGAGCGTGGTATGCAACAGGGTCTGCTTGCTCGCATCAGTCGCTCGGCTATCAGGGAATATCACGCTTTCGGTATCATCTCGTGAGCCTTCAGTGTCGTCGCTATGCAATACTGCTGACTCTTTGCAGCGAGGGTACCCATGCAAAGCACCACTACCTTATCTGCGGCGTGCAAGGCGATTTCACTAAGGGACTGGTCAACGACCCGCCTAAAAAAATTTGGACTCGCGAGCTGAAGGTAAAACGACCAAAGTGATTTTCCGATTAGATTGCCTATTTTTTCCAGTTTGCTGGTGTCTCCAACACGTCGACGCTTTACAAGCGTGGAATCCGAATCTGCACTGGAACTGGTCTTGGTGCTGCCCTTTCTACTTGCATTCAATCTCCCTACTGGTACCTAATTTGGATCGGTGCGACAATCTGAACCTCAGGCATACGCATATCATTGACGCATCTGCTAGGCTCCGATCAAGAGAAGACATTTGGCCCAACTATCAGTGGTCTCATTCACAGGCACATAGGTCCAGAGCGTCTCCTCCTTTGGGACTCGAAAGTCCGTGGGGGTCGTCCACCCACCATGAAGATCTTGAAGGAGGTATACGACCAATGGCAGGCGGAGGTTGTCTTCATCACTTCCAACTACGTGGGTAACTTTGAGATCCAACATGGTTGCAAGGAAGCTGGGATTCCTGCATTCGGAACACTTTGGGACTTTGTGAGTGACCCCAGACTTTTGTTGCTGATGGAGCTGAGGAGAATGCGCTTTTTCAGTAATTTTCCATCTCGCATTAGGCGTGGGACGTGTCGGATGCCAGACCATCCACACGTTTCTCATCCTTGTGTATCCAATACAATGCCAAAGGTACCGGTTCCTGAACGCTTGGAAGGAACCGGCACCACACGTCCAGCTGAGCGACAAGCTTTTGTTCTTGCTCTTTGTTTACTTCATCACTGCAGCATACGGTCCACTCGTTCTCACCACACTCTCGCTCGCTCACATATTTTCGCCCACACTCCATTCCCAGGATTAATATAATTCATCACAACATTCATTTCGTTCTTTAATGCATTTTGTACACGAATACCCGCTCTTACCACTAGTAGCGTCGTATCTCAACATTCATAGACATTCAATCAACTGGCATGTCGAGCTCTCCCGCCCACTCGGCGGTAATCTCGCCAGCGTTTGAACCGAGCTAATCCTCAGTCTCAGCCCAACCACTGTTTGTCCGACCTCATTGAATGCACGTACGATACACGACGTTGGACTGCTCATTCTGCACCTCCGCGTATCAATTTTTTTTTCAGCTAACTCTCAAGTGGTACTTGCTGGCACAGATGGCTTGGTCAAACAGAATCAGTCCGCTCGCGGGGGAATGAATGCGTTGCGCAGATATAAATGGGTGTGTTTCAAACTTTAGCATCCCTACCCCCATTGTGCCAGAAACCATTGATTGGTAGCAAACATCCATACAACAATCGCATCTCATCATCAGAACATTAGGGTATGCTCGAGAACCTTTCCAGGATTTCCCATCCAATTCCAGCGACACTTTAGAATGTCTTGGGTTCCAAACGAACTCCACGAGGAGCAAGCTCAGTTATCGTGTGTGCGATGTTCCACGTGTCTCTGGCCTATGGGAAGAAATGGCAGTGTGAAGACGAACAAGAATATCAGTAAGGTAGACGTTGCCTGAGGCAGTCGGGTACTGTATTGCTGTGCAAACGACCGTGAAATGCTGGCAACCCGAGGGCTTGCAACCGCAATAGCATAGGTGCCTGATGATCGATGACCAGATGAGATTGGTCGAATCTTTAAGTTGGCTCACATAGATCTGTCATCCACGCCCTTATATGACACCGTCGTCTTTCTCTGCCAAAACCCTCCTTCCCTCAATATTCTACATTGTCTCGACAACGCCGGACACGTCGTCACCCTTGGACATAAGCAGGTTCATTAAATCATCTTCCGTCTTACAGTTTACTAAGTAGAATAAGCACTGTGATATTTGTCTGATGACTGGACGAAAGCAGGAAGCGGCGGAGGGCCTCGGGAGGTCAACTGGTCACGTTCTGGCGAATCAGCGTGAGGTTTCGAGGTGTGGAAGGTGTAGAGGCAGCGTCAGGCTTTATGAGGTTACAATTGGCTGGTGACACGGGAGGGCGCAGCTTTGGGGCTACATGTAGTGGGCAAAGGGAGACCGCTGGCAGGTCGGGCGTGGTGGGCAGCAGTAAACACGCAATAGCAAGACTGAAGCAGAAAGTGCCTTACCGAGCGGTGCTGAAGGTCTTGACCTCTGCTGTAAGTGATATGTTAGGTAACACACGTACATTGCTCTTGTCAACACAAAGTTTGGGAGCCGGAAGGGTTGGGTGAGCTAACATATGTCTTAAATGGCTTAGAAGCGAAAAATTAAGGTTCTCTAGCCCAATTACAAAATTGAAGGACTGACCTTTGACAAGTTTCAACACCAAATCCCCGACCGGCAATGGCTAGTACCAGTGGTTTTACAGCCGCACATTGCCGCACTAGGGGTCGGCGTTGCCCGCCGGATACCTTGCTGGTTGATACCTTTCCACCTGACTCGACTTCGCTCAATAACAGACTCCATGTGATACTATGCCTCATGGCTGAGCGCTCCGAGCCGTGAGTCATAGCATGACGATCGATAGTGCTAGTGATTATTTAGTATTGATGTTTCATATTGTTTATTGATAACTGATATTTATATGTTCGGACGCTCACGTGCATGTTTAGAACATATCACGTTCCATCGAGATATTAAAGTAGCTCCGCAGCTTATAAGAAGGTCACTCAGTCCATTCTACGTCGGAATCTGAAATTTTTACTCGCAGATGGGCCGTATATTGATGGAGCCTGCGGACATGGCCAAGACTTTTTGATTTTGGGCGTTGCAGATACGTTCTTTTGAATCATCGATTGCATTGTCGATAACAGCTACAAATCTGTTGGGTCAGATGAGGATAGGTGTAAATTTTTTGACCTTCCTCTGATCAAAATCAGCAACTTTGAGTGACAGGTTTGAAGCCGTACATGTTCCTCATATGTCCTACAATGCTATGGATCTATGTTGGAAGGTCCTATATCCAAGGACTTAAAATGTGAGCTAGGGTTATGAAGCGTTTGCAACTTTGACGAAACGATTAAATTAAGGTTCAGTGTGGAGACGGTCAACGAGTCTCGTTGATTATCAAAATCCTTCAAAGTTCAAACAAGATCTGATGGAATGTTCGAATTCGAGTACCCGGTGGTAGGTCTCATACCGTATTTGCATCCGAATAAAATACATCAAAGCTTGACAGATTTTGCAATGATATACATAGTTCAATTAACATCCCTTTTGCACGGCGCACACTCCTTACGCCCTCTGGCCATGCGTATTTCGGGTCGCCTATCGCAAAGAAGTCGTCGTTAGTGCGAGCCCCTGGTGCCGAGTTCTTTATTCGGTTCTCTTATAATTGAAAATTTCTAAGCCAAGTGCGTTTGCTTCTTTGTTCCCAACCACGCCCGCCGATCTTAACACTCTTGACGTTCGGGACATAAAATATGGGCTTCTTTTCCGACTTGTCCAACTTTTTCTACGATGCTAGAACTGTGTCTTGGGATGTCATCCTCACGCTCCTCAACCTCGTAGAAAGAAAGCGTCGCATCGGCAATGTCACCCCCGAGAGCTACCCAGGCTACGGAGGGCACTGGCCTGAGTTTAGGCCTCCCCAGGAGACCGACTCCCGCTGCTCCTGCCCCGGACTCAATGCGTTAGCCAACCATGGTTAGTGATTCTGCTCATCTTGGTAATCAGTCTTGGCATGACGGCATGAGAATGTAGGCATCATCTCGCGCACTGGCCGTGGCATATCATTTGTCGACCTTGATCGCCATGTCGCAGGAACCTACAACATCAGTTCTACCTTGTCCTCATTTGTCGCACATTATGCTGCTCGCATGCTTAAGAGAAGCTTCAGCAATGATACTCTTGATTTACAAGAACTCGACGTTCACAATGGTATCGAACACGACGCATCTCTCTTACGTGAGCGATTTGATGAGGTTGTTCTTCTCGGTCGAATAATTTGTCTTCAGGTCTTGATGCTGCTTTCGAACCAAACCAATCGACAAAGCACGTACCTTACATCGAGGAGCTACTTGCGGCAGCTTCCAGTAAGGACAAGGACGGCAACGATGTTGTTATAGTCCAGGATCTCTCCAAGTTGCTCGGCAAGCGTCGTGCAGTGTCGCGTGCAGTGAACAAGGAATTCACGCTTAAAACTTTCCACAGGTTATTTGGTTGCGCAAAGTATTTAATTTCATCATCCGTTTCCAAGCACAATCCTGACCGTCCCGTCAGTGCCTCGCTGTTACTTTCAACCATGGGAGGTCGCGTAGAGGACCTGCGCAGCTTTCTTCTTCATGAACAGCTTCCAGAGGGCTGGGAGTCGCGCGTTCGCCAATCTCACGGACTGACCTTGGTAAACTTCAACAAGCTTGCATTGAAGATCGAGTTCGGTGTGCGCGAGAAGGATTGGGCGCAAGTGGCACAGGAGGCTGCAGAACACCATGGCACTGTTTCTGTCTAAACTGACTCCAAAACGACTACTCGGATACTGATGCTCGCCTGAATGTTACGATGTGCTCTCACTTCTTGACTTATGCCACTTATGTATTACTGACGACGATCGATTACGACTTTTCATTACCTATTGTCTATTGGATATATTTTGTTATACTTACTCGTTTCACTCGTTCTTGATTGTGACACAAATTATGCGTTTCAATGAAACTGATGAAAGACCAGCCCTACTGCATGCTATCACATTCTCGAGAGTACCACAAACACTCGAGTGTACGTCCGGGCTACATACCACCAAATTGTAAAAGTATTCAAGAAGGAATCCAACTTGCCTTGTAGCTGTGTGCATTTACACTAGCTTGAAGCCTCGGGCAGGGAAGCCTATCTATGACTGGCTGCCGACGGCACATTGCAGTAGCCACCGTAAACAACAAGTACCATTTCCAAGTAGTACTGACCAGAGTGGATGGATGTGTAGTACGGCGAGCCTTGCTATATAGTAGGGCATGCATTTGAGCAATCTCACAGGTTAAAAGGTGGGGAAGATAGGTTGCTGATTGTAAGTCGTCGCAGAGCTCTGCGATGTATCGATTGATATTCCTATTTGGTTTATTGCGTCTGACTGTGAAATAGTTCCAACTTGTGCATATCATCGATGCATGGGTGGCTACATAGTCTGCAGACACAAGATCCCGGTTCCTTGCCAAAATGTGCTCGTTGGTCGGATTTCCAGTGGCCCCGGCCGGGTTCCGAGCGGAAGTGACAAGCCAGCGCTAGCTGCAGAGGGGAGAGTTACGGATAGGGTAGTCTATATAACGGTCATCACGTCGGCATAAGAATGACGGAACCTTGATCATTGAGTTGAGTCTCCTCCGAGGCCAAGCTTGCCTGGGCTTCCGTTGAGTGGCCGTCCAAAAAAGTGGTTGTTGGTTACGGTCATTGATCAAAATGACGTTTGATGCCTTTTTCATGTATATCCGGCAACGCGTTTGTGGCAAATAAACTTAAACGCGCCTTTCCCGCTGACCGACCTGCTTTTTGTTCTCCATTTCTTGCACAGCAGTAACAACGGCTTGCTGGCCTCTTGGCGACCTGTTCGGGCCTCTTTGCGCGCTATATAAGGTAGCAGAACCTCTTTTTGGTTCACTTTTCCACTCTCAAGGCTTTACGACAGTGATATCAAAACACGCCAACAAACAATCATAGCGCGTCATTTGACCAGATAGACACGCGAATTCCATGTATGCACCTGCGCAATCGCGACATGCGCGTACAATCAGTCCACCA